GTTTGATTTAATAAAAAGTATAAAATATATCTCCCGTTGTTTTAACTAGCTATAAAATAAGAAATCTCCATTATTTCTATTAACAATCTCGAAATTGTAGTACACCTCAACGACAGGCAGAATATCTTGTTTTGTAGTAGTATGACTCAACGACATGTCAGTAGTTCTTTTCCTATTTCAAATAGTATATATTATTTAATAAATTTCATAAGAATTCTTTCATAGGACATAATTAATCTTATTTTACTATTATATTAGATTAATCTGCGAAGAGAAATTATTTCGTTAACCTAATTAATTTTTCGTTATTTTTTTTTTCGTAATTTGATTAATTTTGTTACAAAAGAAAATATATGAGTAACAAACGTGCGGCTTGATAATAATCACAAAGCGATTCTTTATTCAATATATTCTGTCCTTATTACAGAGTATACATATCTTTGGCGTCTAGATCTGTCTATATATATATATATATATATATATGCTCCTATTTCTCTTATTATTCATACCATTTATCCGTAAAAAGGAAGATGCTTTTATTGAAAATGGACATTGTTGCCTCTGTCTATTCTGTTCCCAAGTAGTAAGGTCATATTAATGACGTTTCTAACGTCAATTACTTGATGTCATTATACCTGTTGGGTTTTTTTTCGTTAGTTTCTTCACTATTAATCCATGTTTTTTGCACTCAACATAAACGAGTATACTTTAAACAAATATCTTTTACACGTTGCACATTACTGGATTCCATATGTAATATGAAGTTTTATTGCATTATTTTTTTTTATTTTCCGGTTAATTAAATAATAGTTTATCTCCAAATAATTTCAGACATGTACCGTTGTTTATTAAAATTCTAATAGCACAACAAATCTTTAGCAATATATAATTACAGGATTCAATTTTATAAGTTATAATAAGAAATAAATAAAAATATACAACACTATACGAAATTCCTATTACTAACACTTCTCAAAAACTAAAGTTACAGTCGGTTCTCGGTTGAACGATACTAACGATTTTTCTGTTGCAATTTCGGCGAACAATAGCGTATTTAAAAAAAGAAAAATGGAGATTATATGTATATATACCAAGTTCGGTAATATATCGTTTGTATTTTATTTCCATTCTTCTTTTTCTTAATACAGAATTAACAAATCGAAGAGTCCACCGTTGCAAGATGATATGATATTTATATTAACAAAATAAAGCGAAAAAACTTTTATACACTTAACCTTATTCATTATTCTTATTTTGTGTAACTAATTACTATCGCATTGTTTGTGAAATTCGTTCGTTTTTTCCTATATAATTCTTATTAATAAACAAAAAACAAAGAAAAAAAAACGAACAAACTTTTATTTTTCAATTCTCAGAAAAATCCGTCCGTTTTTTCGTAATGACTCTTAGACTAATCAAACAAATGAAAAAACGAACGAACTTTTGTTTTCACTTAATATCATTTATTATATCTTAAACAATCTAATAGTATAGAATTTTTTACAAAATTCGTCCGTTCCTTGTAACATATTGTCCCTTATAATTCTCAAGCAGTTAAAACTAAAAACGAACGAATTATTATTTTAATCATTTTATAACATTACCCGAGAAAACTTGTCCGTCCATTTATGTTAAGAAGACAAAATAAGAAAAAACTGCCATATTTTCCTTTGTGTCTTTTGAGAATATAATGAACAAGATTTGAAACAAGGAAAACGAAAGGCGTATATAAAAGTAAATGGATGGAAATGTCAAAATTTCGAAACTAGCAGTTATTAGTTTCAATAATTTCGTCTTCTATTATTTTCTGATCATTATCGTGCGTCTCACATACGCCGTCTATTCTCTTTTCCACTTCTGCCATTTTTTTATCGTTGTTGCCCGTCGTATCAATGCTACATTCCTTCTGTTTATCATGACTGAAAGCGTCATTATCATCCTCCATTGTCTCTTTTGTTTTATTTTCTTCAAGTGCTCTATCAATTTTATCTCTCGTCTCTTGATTTTGATGCTCGTTATTCTGACTTGGCGTCTGACTTGGCGTATGATAATACGATGGCGTAATAGGATAATAAATGTTCTCTAATTGCTCGTATTGGTCACTACTTTGGGGACTAATACTTTCTTTACAGGTAGTTTTTGGGAATAATTCCTGCTCATATACTATCTTCTCCGCCTTGCGTAATCGCTTATTTTCTTGCATATCGCGATCTGATATGCTTGCAACGTCATCGGGTTGATCGTTCTCCTTTGTGAACAAATAGAGAGGACGCTGGAATCCTCTCAAAGGATGCTGTGGGATGGAGATCACCTCGCATTTGTAGAAGCCTACTTCGGAAGACAAGAGATATTGTGTGAAGTTGTGGGGACGGAACTCGATGGTGCGATAATTTTTGTAAATTCGTTCCTAGAACAATATTTTTCTTTTGTATTATGACGCAAACAAATAACAATAAAAGTAATTATTATATCTTAATAAATAATAAAAATAAGTATTATATCTTAACATTTACAGTGAGATTCTTCTTTTTGTTGTAGCTACTCCAATTTTGGGGTTCTAACACTAACACTCCGCCAGAACGTAATTGCGCATACATGCGCTTAAACATCTGCTTAATGCCAGCGTCACCAAAATTGAGATGTATCCACTTAGTAATAGAGAGACACAGGATCGTATCGAATTGTGGTTGTTCCGCTTGTAGAAGAGCATCGTCATCCAATATATAGTTACCCTGAAATTCTTTAATTTTGTACATACAAAAAATACAAACACAAGATAGTTATAAACTAATTATAGAAAGATTATAGACTATAATCTTTACATTAATATTTTATTTAACAAGCAGAAAGATAGAACGTTGCGTGTTTTGGCTACAAACATTAAGAATGGTGAAAATGATAAGCAGAAAGTTTAAGTTTTGCTTTCTTTGAAAATAAACTGGCTACTACTCATACAGTACCTGTACAAACGTGACGTTATAAGGAAAACCCTTGTCCTGTTTGTGCTTTGTGAATCCCGGAATGTCTACAGGCCCATAGCTGATAGGCATTGACTTGGGAAAGAAATTAGTATCCGAATCTAGTACCTTCCTGTCGCTTTCCTCGTTACTCGCCGGTGATTGCACGCAATTTACATAATGTTTTACATTTTTTCGGGCAATATTGATCAGTGTCCTATCAATATCAATTCCTGTGATGCTCTTTGCTCCAAAATCTCTTGCCACTGACAAGGTAATGTGTCCAATATTACACCCGATGTCCAAAATATCTTTTTGTAAGAATAATTCTTGACGACTACTAAACGCTTTAAGTCGAGGATCCGCTTCGTAATGAGGATTTCTGTATCCATAATACCTACCCAGAAAAGAAAAATAATTAAAAATTCGTCGGAAGATGTTACACACACACACACACACACACACACACACACACACACACACACACACACACACACACACACACACACACACACACACACACACACACACACACACACACACACACCCGCGCGTGCGCGCACACATACATATATATAAATATATACGCTTAATTACAAAAATATAAGTATTAATATGTAATAAATATAAAAAAAGACCTGTTATAATTGCCATATTGATAGCGAGCATCCTTTTGTCTGAAGTTTGGCATTGTTTGTTGTTGTTGCTTCTTCTTCTTGTCCTGACTAGGCCTGTGCTGAGCGCGAGGCTTCCAGGCACCTGGTTGAGGAATCACAGGACTCACTATCTTATCCTTAGTGTCCTGAATGAAAAAAATTTTAACAATTTAAAGATTTTATATAATCAAAATATAAAATAGAGGATAAAATGTTAAGCAAAAAATATATTTATTGTCGTTTCACTTTTCATTATTAAATAACGGAGAGAAAATAAATAATTGTAATTAAAATTAATATATATATATAAATGAGACAATTATTATATTGAAATTCATTACCTTGCGCAGTCTTTTGTCCTTTGGTTCTTCCAAACCTTTTAGTCGCAGTTTGTTTTTGTCCTCTCTCTCCAACTTGTTTCCAATTTTCCCTACATTACCCTTACTTTTATTTTTCTGAAGACTCTCCACATTGCTTTCCACAGAATTTTTATCCTGTACTATTTCGGAATCTGTTGGTTGAATCCTTTCATTGGGACTTTTCTCTGCTGAACTTCCTATCATTTCACAAAGCTCTTCGTCACTTTTCATTAAACATTTAGCTTCTACAACTTCGCTCGTAATCTCCTCTTTCGATGATGAAGAACAGGCTCGTTTTTTTTTCTTATTTCTACGTTTAGAAGTTTTCCTTTGAGGAAGAAACAGCTGCTTTTCGTATTCTTCATTATCATTACATGTTAAGAGTAGCGGATCTCGACTATCAGGCGGAATTAACACTTCTATTACATCTTTCTTATGTTTCGGAGTAGGGAGAGGGCTGGATTTTGGTGTCACTGCGTTCATAGCGCGATTTACTTCTTCATCTTGCATACTATTTAAATTCAGTGGATCGCGAATATTTCCGCCTATATAATAAAATTAATGTGAAATATTAAATATTAAAACATTAAAAATAAATTAAAAATTAAATATTAAAACATTAAAATATATTATGTTATATGTTTGAGAAAGAATATTTCAGAAATGTATTAAGAGATTTTTAAGATCATTTTTATAAGATTTTTAATTATTAAATATTAGGTCATTGAATGTGAAATGTCTGAAAGTACTAAGTTCGGCAGTCGATATCTCTGATATTTCACTGTTACAGTTTCACTGTTCCAGTTTCTTTTGTTGTGAAGATACAGCATCACTCTTTCAAAAATATGTTTTGGCTTGTGATTACCTTTCAAGTTGTCTTTATTACAGCAATTTTTGTGTAATAATGGATGAGTAAAAAATTCGTGTTATTTTCGAATACGAGTTCCGTCGTAGGACCAATGCAGCGCAGACAACTCAGAATATCAACGAAGGTAAAGTGGGGATGTGGTTAATGAACGCACAGTACGTCGATGGTTTGAGAATGTTCTTACCATTTACGTTCTGACCATTTTAATCTTGCAGCAAGGTTTAACGTTATTATTTCAACAATATCGAACCATTTGAAACAAATCGGCAAGGTAAAAAAGCTCGATAGATGAGTTCCGCATGAATTAAATGAACGTCAGAAAAGAAATCGTCCCGATGTTTGCCTTTCTTTACTATCCCGACATAAAGGTGAACCATTTTTATATCGTATTGTTACGTGTGATGAAAAATGGATTCTTTTCGACAATCGCAAATACAATAGTTGGATGTAAATGAAGTGTCGAAACACAGTCTGAAACCGAATATTCACCAGAAAAAGCTAATGATGTCTGTTTAGCGGTCCAGTGGTGCGATTCTGTAAAGCCCTAAACACAATGCCAGGCAACAGGCAATAAGAATAAAAATAGACCAATCACAATCGATTATTACAAGAATAATCTATTGTGATTGGTCTATTTTTATTCTTATTGTCTGTTGCCTGGCATTGTGTTTAGGGCTTAACTCGTTATTGGAGTTAACGACAGTTTCGTTATTGTTGCGCAGCTTTTCTACGGTATACAAAAGCTGCGCAACGATAATGAAAGTGTCGTTAACTCCAATAACGAGTTACAGAATCGCGGTACAGCGCTGGTATTATCCATTACAGCTTCATGAAACCTGGTCAATCGGTTGCAACAAGTGTCTACTGTAACCAACTGGATGAAATGATGAGTATGCTTGCGATTAAGCAGCTGAGATTGGCCAATGGACAGGCCAATCCTCTTGCAAGAGAACGTTCGACCACAACAACACCGACCAAACAACGATGCTCAAACTACAGGAGCTGGACTTGGAAACTCTCTGTCACCTATCATATTCACCAAACCCTGCACCAACTAACTACCACTTCTTCTAGGCCACCACTTCTGGGACACTTCTCACAAAGAAAAATATTTAATTTTCAACATGCTGGTAAACGCCTTCCACGATTTCATCGCCAACTGTTCTTCAAGCTTTTTCACTGCCAGTATAGATAAGCTACCGTTAAGATGACAAAACTGCGTCGATAGTTTAGGCGTTTATTTTGATTAATTGTTCTACTTCTAGTTTGAGTTATAATAAACCAAACTTTTGATTCGAAATCGGACATTTCATATTTAATGACTTTATATATAATTCTAACAGCTAACATAAGCAATAGTTAATAAGTTAATAAAAATTATATATTTTAACTTATCTGTGGGAGAATAATGTATCATATACCAAATATTGTATCATATAGTATATGTCATGTACCACAGATTTTTAGTTATTTAACATATAGTGTGACATATATTGAAATTCCAATAGATAAAATTTGAAAAGAAAAAAGTTTTTATATTTAAAAATCATTAATTTGAGATCGAGTCAGTCTAATTACAGGAGGATAATAGAATAAATCATATTGTGTGTATTTTGAAGACTGTTCTTTTAAAGTTGTGTTATTGTGTGTATTTTAAAGACTGTTTTTTTAAATGTACTAAGGCTGCAAAAAAATTTCATTACTTTTCTCTTCAATATATGATTATAAAAATGTTATATTTTAAAGCCAAAAAGTAAAATCTGCTTCAACTAAAGAGAACGAACTACATATATCTTTGGCATAAGAGATAGATGCACTGTGAGATGAGAAGAAAGAGTTTTCTATTATGTACCTAAAAGAAATTTTGTGGGCGGAATAATGTTGTTGCCATCTTTTTTACGTCGTTTATAAGGTGGATAAGATTTTCCACCATTGTTGCTTTGTGTACGTTTTCGTCCAAACTTGAAATTTGTGAATGAATTACCACTACTGCCACTTCCTCCTCCACTTCCACCAATTCCTCCCCCACGACTGTCATCATGTTTATTGTGCTTTTTGTAGGACAGATTAAACTGTTTTCTGAATTTATTATCATTCTCTTTCTTGCTATGTGAATGATGATTCACTTTGGTAGGTCGGTCTACTTGTACGGAGGACATTCTTTTAAATCTAAAAAAAACATAAAAGTCAAGCTTAATCAAGAGGCATGGTAGTGCCTTGCACCATAAATTTGACCATAAAGGAAATTTTCTTGTATCAAGTTTTAAGACAAATCCAAGAAAAAAAAACGAATATTGAAAGAAACTTATTTAATTTATTAACTGAAAAAAGTGGCATAATTTAAAATACAGGAATATTATCTTCGCCTAGCTTTCTCTAGAATAGAAATGAAGTTAGATAGAAAAATTGAATTCCTTTGATATAAGCTATCCTTTAAACTATCCCTATCTACAATCAATCATATGTTGGCGTCAGATGTTGGAAGACAGTCAATGGTCCAATGAGAAAATTTATTTTCCGAAAACAAGTTTTCCTCATTGGACTACCGACTGCCTTCTGATATCCGACACCAACATACGACGTATTGTAGAGCCGGCATTACAGATATGTCTCTCGTGGAGTCCTCAGCTGCGTCATGAGACACATGCACGCACGCACACGTGTTGTGCATTGGGTCAGGTTAGGTTTTAACGAATATAGATTATGGCTTAAAATATGTGAAGTTAAAATTAAATTGTCACAATTATATTTATCCAATGTATCACACATTATTAATCAAGTTACTTAATATTCATTAGGAAAAAAATTAAATTCATTAACATTGATATTAAAATTAAATCGTGGAATGAGGTAGGTAGGTAAGGTCAGGTTAGAATCAACAATCTTTTTCTTATGATCAGTGTTTTATGTAAGGTGTAATCGAATCGTATGATTAAATAATGTTTATCATTATTATAAATTTAGATTTATAAAAGTTTTAAGAAATATATGTATCCTTTGATTTCTTTCATATGCAATATAATTGCATATTGCATTTAATTTTATTTTAGCGAAAAAATTTTTATATCATATTTAAAAAATCTTCGTGGATATGTAATATATTTGAACACTATCGAATTATTGTAATTGTTCCTTTAATATTTAATCCTTATTGCGAACATAAATAATATTAAATTATCTTCTATAGTATCGGTCTGTATTTGATTTCTGTTATAAAAATGTAACTAATAAAAATAAAATTGGTCCGAGCCATACGCATGCGTTTCGCGCGCCAATAGAGATCCTCCATTCTTTCTTTCTTTCCCATGTACCCTCTATGCTCAACACGCATGCGCAGTGATGCACGAACTCCAACGACTACGGCCGATAGTGAGCCGTGGCCATGTTCAGCCACGATTTTCTCTGTTCCCGATTTTCACGATTTATCTCACCGTCTGCGAACGAATTTACCCTGATTCATCTGACTACTTTCCGTATTAACTATTCTAAGGTTTTACCTCTCAAATAGTTAGCTTTTCAACACCCAACGATCCTCAAGTCGACTCGTAGATGGCTCGTGCTCAACTGGACATGTCTGCTCACCAGCTCACGTACAAGTTCATGCAGTGTTGTCAAATGAGGTCTTTCGCGCGTGCGCATTGCATAGTTCAAGCAGTTCAGGAGTGTATACATAAAATAAAAAATTTATGATTAGAAATGAAGACATTTTTAAAGAATGATTAGCTCCTCATTTTGAAATAAATGTGACACAAATACAAAACACGCACATATGCTATTTTTAATGATTTTATGAAAAATTTACACAACTTTTTAGGAACATCGAAATGGCGGCATACAGCACCTTTAAATAGCCGAAATAACGACTTCAATGGCTGAACCAAGGATTTCATACTGATGTCATACACAGTACGCATGCTCAACTAGTTAACACTGGTTCATGGATGGCAAATAGCTAGTTTATTAGAGAAACAGTGCCTTATAAACTGTATTCTGATATTGATGATATCAGTATAGAAAATCTATATTTTATGTTACCTATACTATGTATTTTCAGTGAAGTCGGAACTCCGCCATTTTGTACTGAAAGATTCGGCGCGAAAATATAAACATATAATTCTCATTTTATTGCATTTTTCAAATTTTTAAATAAAAAATAAATATGTATAATCATTTTTTTTTATTCGTCTTATCCTAATTATATTGAAAGGATGAGATATGATTCCTGCCAATATTATTACTGTTTGTAAAATAATAAGATATAAAATATTTAAAAATTATATAAAAATGTTATAATTCTATAATAAATTACTGTAAATCTCTAAAAATTCTAAAATAATATTTGTCGTACGATCTTTTTGTTTTATAACATTAAATTTACATAAGATTAATTTTAGCTAATATACTTATCATATATGTACGAGGACAACAAAGAGAGGGACCATGTGCCTGAGCAATTGAAAAATTAATATATATAACACATTAGTACATACAATAAAAATTAATAACATATAACAGTATATTTTTCAGGTAGCATATTTTTCATCATAATACTCAAAATATGTTACGCGATATATAATGATCTTTTGCATCGCCTCTAATGCATCGCCTGTACATGAGGGATGTAGTTTTAATAAGAGAAAGATAATATATATATCGAAGTATGATGTTGCATGAGTAGCTCAATTGGAAGAGCATTCGCCCAGATAGCGAAAGATCTCGGGTATTCGATTCCCGGTCCAGTCTTTACCATGCGTGATGGTAAAATGCACGCTGAAACGTGTACGTTGAAACAGCGATACAATCCATCAGATTTGAAAATAAAAGATATTTCCGCGCTAATAAGTCTAATCTGTCAAAAGAACAAAGCTTGACATAAGACCTATTCTCTTATAAGACATTTGTTTTATATCACTAAAATGCTTAAAATATAGTTATAACATTTATTTTGTATTATATTATTGCTTTACATAAAATCGCATATAAGTATATAATTTGTTTAAAGCTTTGTTGGTCGTGTAAACTTACATAGTCAGAGACATATTCAAAGGATTTTATGATTCATACAAATAAATAGAGCTCACTTGAGCTCACTAGAGATCTCTAGCTACACGAATAAAATATATATTCTCCTTTATGTCACATCTTGTTAAGATACAGAAAATAAAACGCTCGCTCAAAATCACGTGAACCTCATTTATATCTCAAGGATTAGAAAAGATCTCTCCACATTGAATAAAGAATATTAAATGATGTTAAGAAACATTAATACTTTTATATCTCTAAACACTTATTTAGTAATTACATTTGGAAGGTACGCATAGAAGTAGAATATTTGGAGGAATGACATTCGGCACATATTGGCATAGAAATAGATATAAATGAATATAGACCATTATAGTCAATTCAGAGATTCGATAAAATGGACACATATACACAGACACACACACACACACACGCACACACATATATGTACTATGTATGTATGTACTATGTATATATGTATGTACGTTTTATTAACAGATACGTTGAATTAATAAAATAGACTAGCATGTTATCTAAAGTTAGTTAAAATATACTAAATAGTCAAATATCAATTAGAAAACAGTATAAAAATAATATCAGTAATATAAACTACTAACATTGCATCACACATTTACTGCCCAAATAAAAATCATTGGAATAAAGAATAATGAATTTCTTGAGTATGCTCCTTAAAAGATTGTAATAAATTAAATAATTTAAATTTATTCCATATTGATTTCCAGGATTGAAAGTAAGTCAATTTGAAATTATTATTATCTTATATATTATTACATATGAGACACATGACATAAATGCTATAAATTGGCAGCAAAAGTGTCGATTGAATTTTTCTTCAATATAAGAATTCTAATACTTGACTTTTACTACAAGACAAAATATCTAAAATAAATGTATATATCAAAGATCCATTAAATATTTCTTATAAATGTGCATGTTAAAGTACAACGTGTAATTGGGAAATAATTAAAAGATCCTTTATATTGCACATTTACGCTGCATGAACCGACTGAAAGAAAAAAATTAACGATAAGTTAACGATAAGTTAACGGTAAGTTAATATAATAAATAAAATAAATTTTATATTATTACTTTATATTAATATAATTTTATAATTATCTATATTATTAATACAATTAACAACAAATTTGCTCAATATACTGTAACATAGATTATTTACCAAAAATGTCATATATACAGCTCGATACACACCTTTGCAATATCCACGCCTGTTAAATTCTTTACGAGTTCCGGCACACGTTGTACAATATTGAAAACTTCTTCGGTTAATTTTTCTGCACCGACGGTGCCATTACCACTCGATACCATAGTTATTTTTTTCGCTTGAGAAAGAGGTGCTGCGACTTCGGCAGCAACCTGCAAAATAAATCGTGCAGTCAGAACATCTTAAATTATTGTAATATTTTTGAATGTACTGTAAATATTATAAAGATAAAAGTACCTTTGGAAGTGTATCAAGCATCATATCTATCATGGCTGCGCTCTTGTATTCATTCCATGCGGCAGCTTTCTTTGCCATTTGTTCCGCTTCTGCCTTAGCTTTTGCTTCGATAGCGAAAGCTTCTGCTTCACCGCGAATCTTAATAGCTTCAGCTTCAGCTTCAGCTTCCATTACTAGACGTAATTTATTTGCTTCAGCCATTTTCTCTAACCTGAAGACGAATTGTTAAATATATTTTTAATTTATTTGAGAATCTAATGTTAAAATTGAAATCGTAGGCTGTGGGACGATATTTCATGTTGTCTAAATCGTACATAATATATTCATAAACATTTTCATCATGTTTTCTTCGCAATTTTCACCTTCGTATTTTCATAGTTCTTCCTGTTATTACATTAGATCGAAAATGAAGCATACCTATATTTTTCTGCGTCAGCAGGGCGTCGTACAGTTGCGTCTAATTCTCTTTCACGTCTCAGCATTTCCTGTTCCTGCACAGCAATCTCTTGGCTACGCTCTACCACTTTTACTTGCATCTGTTCCTCCATAATCCTCTGTTTAGTTTTCGCCGCTTGCAGTTCAAAAGCCATTTCAGCCTCAGCTTTCTGCAATTAATATCCTTATATAAAGATGTTTACAAAAACGTATCATAATACAAGATAGAAATATTCTCTTACTTTAGTTTGAACCTCAACGTCGTAAGCAGCTTTTTTCAATTCAAAGTCACGTTGAGCTTTCGCGATTTCTGTGTCGTTTAAGAAACGTGCAGCCATTCTTTGTTCCTCGGCTATAGCTTCTCTAATCTGTGCATCTCTGCGAGCTTCTGCTTCACCTATTCTAGCATCTCTCTTCACTTCAGCCGTACGTGCCATACCAAGCGCTTGCAGATAACCCTACAAATAATATATTTTCGTGAAATTACTGTGTGACAAAATAATTTATGACAAGAGCACAGTAAAATGTAACATTAATTTCAGCATTTGAGTAAGCCTGAATGACATAAAGGCAAACATATATAAGTACATACGATGTATATTCAGTAAACAAAGTATTGCAAGTGTGTATAACTGTGCTATTTGCAAAAAGCATTGAAAATATACTTCTTTTTTCTAGTACTCGGAGAATTTGCAGTAATAACATTAGAAAAGGTAGCAGTGTGCTGAGAAATAGTAGTGGTAAAACAAAATTTGAACATACCTTTGCCCCCTGCAAGTAGCAAAACAAAAAGGTATTCAATATTTACCATGTACAAGATCTAACTACATCAACTCATAAATTAATATCTATTTAATAACAAGTATATTTAATCGTTTAAAGGGGGTCTTTTGGATATTATTTTGTATGATGTGTTGATCTTAAATACTATATACATGAATAATATACTGAATAATGTATCTTCATTAGTCAATTATGTTCTGTAGATAGCTACAATTGTGCATAAAGTTTGTGTACGTATTGGTATGTTTCTAAATAAGAATTTCTGAATATCTATACTTGGGTTATATAGTTTTGTAATTTATGGTTGTGTCTTTTTATTGTAATAATTTGTTTTCATATAATAACACTATACTTACTTCCTCGTCACGGATATCTTTCAATGTATATGACACCACAGTAATGCCCATATTAACCAAGTCACTGCTTGCAACTTCAAAGACCTCCTTGCTAAATTTTTTACGATCCTTATAAATCTCCTGCAATAAAAGAATAATATAAAGCTCAACTCTCAATTATAGTTTTTTTTTTGTAATTAAGTATAGTTATATGTACTTATATATATTTATTGATAAAAACCAGATGTAAAAAGAAACTACTGCTTTTTATATGGCTAATTATGCTGTTATTACACTTACTTCTACCGTCATACTGCCCATTATAGCCCGTTGATGTCCTTCTAAGGTAACAAGAGCTATATTATGTATTTCTTCCTCAGATTTTCCAAGGAATTGTTCACATGCAGTAGAAAGCATTTCTTCATTTTGTCCTTGAATTTTTACCTAAAATAGACAAAATATATAATATATGATAATATATATGAAATATTATGCTTTTATTGTTCTAAATTATGTATTGTTATTTTTTTATATACACATATATTACTAATAAGTAACTAATTTATATCGTTATAGTATTTAAATAAAATATATAATTATAAAAGTTTAATTTAAAAAATAATTTTTTCTAATTACCTGTGCTATACCTGTAACAGATATTGGTACACCTTGACAGGTATATACTGTTGGACTTTCAACTTGTAAAGTCATTGTGTTCAAAGAAATTCTACAAAAATAAGACACATATAATCTATCCAAAACCTATATTATAATTTATCTCATTTGCAACTTTTATGTAACACTTACTTTTGTACTTGTTGTACAATAGGCCAAACAAATACTCGACCTCCAGGTACCAAAAGTGGTTTGCTGTAGCAGCATCCTTGAACCAAAAGTTCATATAGTAGTGTTAAATAGTGATGTGTATATAAATTGTAAAAAAAGCTAAAAAGTTGCATGAATACATCTATATCAGAATAACGTTAGCATACAATTAATAGTAGTAAGAAGTAATATATATTTATAAATGACAGGTAGGTAGTAAGTTATATATTTCATGTAAGCAATGAATATAGTATCTAATTATTGCTTCATCTCCTTGCACAGTAGATATTATCAGATTAATCTAATAGGTGTAGCTGTTCCTTATTGATTCTATATATTTCTGAGTTTCCCCACCACGGTGTTTCCTCAATTATCTCACAAACAAGAATGCTCCTCCCATTTTTATGAATGATTAAATTGGCACGCGGCCATATCAATAAAATAAATATCGCATGTAACAATACTTTTTGTTTAATTACCTGAAACGACGAGTGCTTCGTTCGGTCCGCAAGTAACGAAACCACAACTCATGATTATCCGTTAATATAATAACGATGGCAAACGTAACTCCGAAACAGACGATTGATGTCGATGTCGCCGATGCTGCAATTATTTCATGTATCTCACACGGTGATTGCGTTCCGAAATTCACTGCCAGTACTGAAAATACATAGTTTATGTCACGTATGTTATAGAGTTTTAGTTCTGGCATGGAATATCGGAACGCAGCCGGCGATGTATATTAAGCCAGCGGCACACGATGCTTGTTTTCGTGCTGGATTGCTTACTGGATGAAAATACTGCATTCTGATTGGTGCATTTCCATCCATCTTCGGAAATGTACCAATCACAACGCATTTTTTCATCCAGCAAGCAATCCAGCACGAAAACAAGCACCGTGTGCCGCTGGCTTTACATTGCGTTCGATGGATATACGGTGATTCTATATCCAACAGGAGAATTTATTTTCTAGGGATCTACAGTAATTTTCCATGCGTAGCTCCAATTAATTTGATTGGTTGAGTTCAACTTCTATACGTAATCTCAGCAGAAGAAACAGTTTTAACCTCTATGTTAACTTTTATATTTGCAATTTTATTCAAATATTGTTTTATATATTAAAAAGATATGGGTAGTGACGAAGAAACGCCTAATATTCAATTTAAAAAGAAAAAAAGGAAGCCATTAAGGAAACGTGACATCTCAGACGATGATGAGAGCGAAAGTGAGAAAACATCCCTCAGGTATACTACATATATCCCTCGTTAGAAAAGTATTAACAATTTGGTGCATATAATTATAAAAAAAAATTATTTTAGGGAAAAAGTTGAAGAAATGAAAATTGTTCAAAAGCTTCGTGAAAGACCGACAGGTATCAATGTTGTTGGTTTAGCTCTTGGAGAAAATGTTGCATCTGATGTAATAATGGTAAGATATCTAATACATATGTTTATAATATCAATAATGACACGAAAAATTATAACACACAAGTTCATGTTAATCTAGTCAGATCCCTTTAATATGAAAACTGGTGGGATAGTAAATATGGCTGTATTGAAAAATACAAAACATAGACAGAATGATGCTTATGATACCGGTATTGGAACACAATTTAATGCAGAGACCAATAAACGTGATGAAGATGAAGAAATGTATGTATACAGATGTAAACACATGTTTATATTACTTGTTTATATAATTTGGTAAGGGTGTATTATATCACAACCTAATACAATTGTTTTTAGGGTCAAATATATAGAAGAAGAATTATCCAAACGTAAAAGCAAAAATAATAATGATGTAACAAATGGTACAAATAATGAAAAAGGATCATATTGTTCACCAGAAGAGGCAGCATTACGAGCAGTACCGGAACATTTAAGACAAAGTTCAGCTCATCGCAGTGAGGAGATGCTTTCAAATCAAATGCTCTCTGGTATTCCAGAAGTAGACCTCGGCATAGAGTAAATATTTATAAGTTGAACATGATATATAATATTAATGTGTGAATACACTTAGTAAAGAAAGAAGAAATCAATTTTTATTGAAAAAAAATTTTGCAGGGCTAAGATTCGTAATATTGAAGCTACAGAAGAGGCAAAGTTAAAATTGCTTTGGGATAGACACAGAAAGAAAGATGGGCCGTCGCAATTTGTTCCTACTAATATGGCTGTAAATTTTGTACAGCACAATAGATGTATGAATCTCCTTATTCTTCTGATTAAACTGATTATTGTAAAAAAAGATATAAATTAATCTGTGAGTTAGAATAATTATATATCTCATTATATGCAATTTTAGTTAACATAGAAGACTCGGATTTCCAAAAATCACGACAAGATTCTGATGATAAGAAAAAATGCGTTACTAAGGAAGATATACGAGGAAAGCGAAAAGATAATGGGGAAAAGGCGACAGATGATTATCATTACGAGAGATTTAAAAAGCAATTTAGGAGATTTTAAATTTGTTTATTTTATTAATTTATCATGTACTTTTCAAAAGTAAAAGTTGATTGTACATACACATAACCTTTTGAAATTGATGTCAGTAGTAAACAAATTACGCGTATTAACTCAACAATTGATACGTACATTTAAATAAAAGTTTATTATGAAAAAAGTGAAATATTAATACCAGTAACGGTTAATTATGTACAAATAACTTCTTTATGTAACTATATATTTTCCATACATACATATAAAAACAGATATGTACAATATATATAGTAGATGTGCACTATATATATATATAAGAAATAGGTTTATACTTAAGATATATATATATATATATATATACAATTATTTATAAGTTGAACATGATATATAATATTAATGTGTGAACACACTTAGTAAAGAAAGAAGAAAGCAATTTTTATTGAAAAAAAATTTTGCAGGGCTAAGATTCGTAATATTGAAGCTACAGAAGAGGCAAAGTTAAAATTGCTTTGGGATAGACACAGAAAGAAAGATGGGCCGTCGCAATTTGTTCCTACTAATATATATATATATATATATATATAATATATATATATATATATATATATATATATAATATATATATATATATATAGTATACACATATATCATGATACATATAGTATACATATATATCACGATATTTATATTACATGTATTTCTTTTTTTTGCTATTCTTCTTTTGTTGTTTATTCAATCTACGTTTAGCGGCTAAATCAGGATTAACAACAAACTGCAATAAATATAATCATTATGTATACAGTGTAGTATAAAGTGTTAAGTATAAACCTATTTCTTTATAAAAGATATATGTTATATATACATATGTATTATAAAGAATTAATAAAGACATAAAGAAATAAATAGTTTATCTGTTGCGCGCGAACTTTTTTTCTTTCCGCTCTCTTAACATCGAGTTTTTGTTGCACACGATTTAGGAATTTGATGTATTTTTCATTATTTATAGATTTTTTAATCTATCCGCGGGAAGATTTCAAGGCGGACAAGAAAAACGCGAATCTGATTTCAAGTTCGGAACAATGCATGTTTTCTTTTTCTTTGCTATTTTTTTCTTTTGTTGCATATTTAGTTTACGTTTGGCGGCTAAATCAGGATTAACAACAAACTGCAATAAAAATAATCATTATGTATATAAAGTGTCAAGTATAAACATATTTCTTTGTAAAAGATATATGGTATATACAGAATGGCTCACATAAAGTATTACAAGTCCATAACTTTAAAAATATTTATCAAATCAACAAATTGTTCATAAGGAAGTTTCATGTATTCGAGAGGCCTTTCTAATTGCATAAACGTAAAGTCGCCCCCGCTTCCCCTTTAAGAGGGTAACTTCATAATTTTAAATGGAATTCTCTATAAAATGTTGCATATTTGGATTCTACGGGAAAAAAAGTAAATTTTATCTGAAGCATTTGTTTGGAAAATGCTTCTATCAAAAGCATTTAAACCTTTAGCGATTTCATTCATGATTGAACTCCATTGACACAAAGTTGCGTTCGCGATAAAAAAAAAAAAAAAAACTTTAGAGTATATACTTGATGTTAATCAAAAGAAACATGAATAAACACATTCATCGGGTTTCTTTTGGTTAACATCAAGTATGTACTATAAGGTCTTTTTTGTTTTTGTTGTATCGCGAATGCAACTTTGCGTCAATGGAGTTCAATCATGAATGAAATTGCTAAAGGTTCAAATGCTAATAACTTTTGATAGAAGCATTTTCCAAACAAATGTTTCATATAAAATTTACTTGTTTTTTCACGTAGAATCCAAATATGCAATATTTTATAGGGGGTTCCATTTAAAATTATGAAGTTACCCCCGTTCCCCCTTAAAGGGCAAGCGTGGGCGACTTTACGTTTATGCAGTTAGAGAGGCCTCTCGAATACATGAAAATTCCTTAGAAACAATTTGTTGATTTGATAAATTTTTGAAGTTATGGACTTATAACACTTTACGTGGGCCACCCTGTATACATATGTATTATAAAGAATTAATAAAGACATAAAGAAATAAATAGTTTACCTGTTGCGCGCGAACTTTCTTTCTTTCCGCTCTCTTAACATCGAGTTGTTGTTGCACACGATTTAATAATTGGATATATTGTTCATTACCTATAGATTTTTTAATCATGGAAGTTACTTCCTTAGCAAGTCGACGTAATTCGGCATTCTGTTCTCTGTTCTGTTCTGTTGTCATAGCTATCTCTCGAACTAATGGTGACATAATACTAAAAAGTATCACGTTTAAATGTTCTACAGGTATTGTAGCCACTATACCAGCAATACATTTAAACACTGCGGTTCTCTAAAATCATTATTTATACAATTTCAAAACATTTTTTATACTGTTCAGGATTATAAACATCTGTAAAATGAATGATCTTACCACTGATGTTGATTTAGGAGTTTGTGTTATTTCTAAATTAACAACTCTTCTCAATCTTCTGACGAGCCAAGGAAGAGATAAATTGTTACTCTCCTTTGTTTTGTTTTCATCATTTTGTGTGCCACTTTCGACGGTCCGGTTATCAATTGATTTTAGTATTTTCGCGATAAAAATGAGATTTTTCACAACTTGATCCGCTAACTCTTCAAATGTCATGTCAGGATGGATTTGTGCCACTAAATCTAGAGTTAACCTTCTTATGGTATCAGTGGGATTCGAATATATGTAACCATTATGTGATTTTTCACTCTTCGGATTATTTAGAAGTTCCACGATCCTATCAATGTCAAGAGTAGCCAGAATAAAACCAATTAACTGTGCGGCTGCTAATCGAACCCAAATATGCGGATGACCTAACAAGGACTGACTATATTCTGGAACACGAAACAAAAATGCAATTTTTGCTTTGTTAAAAATAACTATTCGTTTCAGTAGAAATAATTTACCGGCGAAGGAACAAACGAAATCGTTGTGTTTCTCATTCGTGAGGAAAGATGTGCAATGTGCAGACATCTTTAACAGCAACTGTAATACTTGAAATAAATGATGATCTTTCATCCTTTCTGGATCTTTTATATTGGGACATTTCGTCTGTGTATCACTTGGATTATTTAGCAGTACGAATGGTCCAGGCTCTGTATTGTCAGAAGCAGAGAAATCTGTATAAAACTGTTTCAGTAGCAATGGTAAAATTACTTTCAACCGTGAATCAAATTCATCTTTTTCGACTGTTACAAATATGCCACATAGTTGCGCTGCTAATGTTCGATGTGTTATCTGAAATTGTGTTTAAAAAAGTGTTAAAGTTTAAACGAATATTTTATAATTTACTCTTTATAATTATTTGTCATGACTATTAATAAAAAGAAAAAAAAAAAAAACCTTTCAAGACAAATAAGAATACTTAAGTTAGAGTTTGTTTTTATAAAAAAAAGAAAGAAAAAAATTCTCATCAGTTTGTCTTAAAGAAGCTTATTGCTCAAAGAATCACAACAATCAGTTATTACCTTAACATCATTTAGCCATTTAAAAACTATGTCGAATAGCATGTTTCTCTCATTGGGAGGTAACCGGTTTATCATTTCTTTTATACATTTAGCACTAAGCTTACGACAAATCGGATCATCGTCGTTTATTAATCTTACACCGGTCACCAGAAATATAGGTCCTGATTTTGCAATTAAAGTTTTCTGCAATATATTTCAAAATTATTCGTTAATAAATCATATATTAAATTAAAATTGAATATTCGTGTCTTTACTTAAGTAGTAGTATGTAAAGAAGATATAGAATACTCACTAGAGGGAAACTTGTGATTATGGTATGAATCATTTCTAATGCGCTCAACCGACCTGGCCGCATCTCGTAACTTAGCTGATTTAGATAAAAAGATATGTGTTTGTCCAAATGTTGACCAAGTGGATATGCCATCAGATACGAATAAAACACAGAACGCGACTGCAATCTAACGTGCTCCAACTCTGAGGTGACACTCAGCATGGCTACTTGTTCCATAACAGGATGCATTTCGGGAGCAATCATTTTCCGGTGAATTATAGCTTTTAATAAGGTGAATGCGGTAGCTTGTTTATCGCTTTCGTACAGATCCTGTTCCGCATATAGAATAAGAAGCTTTAATTGATCGATGTCTATGGTGAAATGCTTCACATCACGGACGACTACGGACATGCATTTAAATGTGGCCATCACGAGGTCAAAATTATCTCCTCTACCTAAACCGACAGCAGAATATTTGTGTAAAATACCGAACATGGCATCACAGATGTTTGATATCGACGTTTGTATCGAAGCCATGTTCATTTTAAGCATCCAATTCAAACATTGTATCGCTACAGTACTTAGCTGAAAATAAATTTTTTTTGTGAAAAAAATTATCTAAACTGAAACAAATAGCAGAGTTTCATGATAGATATCCGTTGAAATACCTTAACATGTTGAGAATTTAAACAATTACTCAAAAGTGGTACAAAAGGTTCTAAGTGAGATTTGTATTCTGTGCTGGTAACTTTCTCCCGTTTCAATAATATGTGATAAAGTTTCAAACCAAATTCCACCATTACGTGAACATTAGTACTTCTAGTAGTTTTTGCTGCAGCTTTAACACCTATCCTACTTTTGGGTTCTGGCGGTATGATAAAACAATCTGGCTTTTGTCGCACTAATCCTCTCGTTTCCTCTTCCGTGAGCTTTTTATTTTCCTTTTCAGGGATAAGATCCGGTATACTTTCTGAGATAATACCGTAAAGAAATATAAGCATTTGTTCCAGTGGAATGTAAGTATTGTCTGCTAAACCCAGAGTTACATTTCGCAGGCATTCTACAATCTTATGTACTGTTTTATGCGAGTGTGTTTTCATCAGCACTTCCTTCAACGGCAATATCAAATCCAATAAACAAGATTCCGTTATAAATTCTGCCAATATACGTAAGATATCGAAACTCTTGGTACTTTTCGCCTCTGATACATTTTTAACAATACCGGTTATTTCTTTTTCCTCCGCAGTTAATCCAAACAGATCAACTTTGCATACCTAAACATAAAAATGATTGGATAATATCTATAAATATTATATAAAAATTACAACGTTATACAGAAAGATACATTTTATATCATAAGATTCATGTCACAAGATTATATAACAAGATTTGCGCAACCGTGATAATACTTACAGATAGAATGCTTTGTAAATTATGATTAATGTCGAACTTCTGAAAATATGGCTTCAATGCAGATAGTACAGACTGGACTGTGTACACAAGGACATGCACCTGGAAACCTCTCGTTAACAGTGTATTCGTCTCTTTCAAAAGATAATGAAGATAATTTGGACCCAATGTGATCATAATCTTTTGCAGTATCTCGCGAGTCACACGTCGAACTGATTCCATACGAGATTTCAGAAACGCACATAATTTCATAAAAATCCTGAAAATATTAATTCATCTACATTAGGACATGGAATGATACATTATCTTGATGACCACACTGTCAGATGTTGTTACACACTTACCCCGGCAAATTTGCATCTAGAACATTCTCGGGCATTTTCTGCAATAATTTCACAAGTGCGAGAGCAATAGGAACTCGCAATAAATCGTCCTCTTCCGTATCGGATACAATCTTTTTCCTGTTAATCTTGTGACTACTGTCCTGCCGAGTTCTAGCCACAATAGAACGATGTAATTGCGGTAACAAGCCATTCGATATACTGAATATTACTCTTTTCGCTCCATACTGAGAAAGCAACGTTTGTTTCTCAATTATCAGCACGTTCCCCGTTTTCGCTCCATCTTTCTCGATCATTTCCTCCATATTTTCAGCGTTGTCATTCAATACTTTCTCTAATTCCTCTTCAGCTTCTTGTGTCACATCTTCGAGATTTACATTTTCATCGGCCCTTGCACTAATTTCTTCTTCATCGACAGGAACAACGTTACTTTCCGTTTCTTTAGTTTCTTTAGTAATTTCTTCTGATGGCTTATATTTCGAAAAATCATAATGAAAGGCGTCCAGTATCGCTACGATTATTCTAATGATTTGCTTTTGAAACTCTACAGAACTTTTCAGTTTGCTTAAATAATGTTTCAAGATGATCTCGTAATGATGCCATGGTAAAAGTCTGCACGCTATTCCGACAGTCTCAATAGCAGCATCAACGATGCTGTTCTTATGAACGTAGGCTTCGTTGCACAAGTACGACGAGCAAAGAGGAAGAATGAATTGCATCAATGTTCTAGGATTGATCGGCTTCTCTAATGTCTTAGCGAGCGCACAGAATTTTAATAATGCGCGTGCCTTTCTGTGCAATTGTAGATGCTGCATGTTTTCGAAGAAATCAACTTCGGGGTCGGCTCGATTAGCGAGCAGAGACAGATCCCGCAAAACAGGATGCACATCCGAGCATTCCAATGCCATGTGTCCTATAAGTGCAATCGACTGTAAGCGAACGGCTTCGTTCTTACTCACGATTCCTCTTCTCGTGAGTACCAAAATGGTATCGTCCATCAAATAACGCCTATTTACAGCATTATTCTGGTGCTCCTTCGCTAGTCTCGGTGCGACGAGCTTCAAGCACTGGCCGGAGTAATCCCTTATCGCCAGATCCGACTCGGCCTTCAGGAAGTAGAAGCAATTGTATATTACAGCCACGCCAAATTCCAGCGTAATCGTGTTCTTCTCTACCATGTCGTTAATTTCCCCGAAAGCGTCCAGTCGTTTCTGGAAGTCTGGCTGATCGATCCACCTGTGGTCCCATGCGTTAAGTGCGATCAGAACATTGCAGTCGCGCGTTATCGTCTCACGATTTTCTCCCGTGGACTTCTCAGCGATGGTATTGTATAGCTGTATGAGAAGTCGGCGAATACTTATATCTGAGGTGAGACCCATCAGTGGCGCAATGGCACGCAAATGAATCTCTGGTCTGTTCACAATTTTCACAAGGTTTATGACGGTCGTCAGCAATTCCGTAACAGCCTCCTCGTTATTATGCATAGCCTTTCTTATCAATATCGGTAATATAAGCGCCAACAACATATCGCACGTTTCTGCGTCAGTGACAAATTCAGAGATTCGCGACAGTATGGCTAACTCGATCCTGCTTACGCCCTTGTTGGACCTCTTCTTGAGTCTGCTCTTGATGAATTCCAGAATGTGAGGGATGTGTGGCAAAAGAATCGCGGAGCCGTAATTAATTCCTGTCGAGAATATCTTCTCTTCCACTTCGATTAGATTCGTGAGTATCGGTATTAGCGGTAAGAACGGTGAATCGATTTGCATCTCGCCCGTATCCTCGTTAGATTTCCTATAATCCTGTAGCGTCAACATCTTTTCGATCGTCTCCAGAACGGCGTTGATAACAGATGGATGCGTCTTGGGGTTCGAAATAAGTTGCATGATGTAAGGAAGCGGGCTGACAGACTTATTATCCTCCTGATGCTTTACAAATAACGGATAATACCGAGGGTTCTGGCCCCATGCTATAAAGAGTTTCAATAAAGCCGTAGGACTGTGAATACTCTCAACGGGTAGTTTTGGTAACCAAGGGAATATCGCTACGTCAAAGACCGCATCTATCTCGTGCTGCTTCCAGTCGTACTCTTCGAAGTGTACGAAAAACCTAGCCAGTACACCGATACAATTGGTCCTCACGTTTTTAATTATCGGCAAGTATCCTGCGTAAACCTCTTCTGATCTCCGCAGAATCCCGGTAGCCTCGGCCAAAATGCAAATTAGTATCCCGAATAAATGCGGCAGTAATTTCGTCGACATTTTTCCGCCAAACTGTTCCATTACTATAGCCAGTAAATTTACCGCGCTTTGCATGCGTTTGGGTGGCATAATGTTGCTCAGATCAATCGTGTCGACGATCTTTTTAGCGTGTTGCTTCAAACTGAACGCTTGATTCATTTCTAATGACATGTACGATCTAAATGCCATTTTGACGAATGTAATCATCTCGTTTTCCTGTGTGCCAGCCAAAAAACGCAATATGATTTTACGCCGTGCAAATCCACCGGCCTTTCCGCCAGTTCTCATGCCGGTTTTCATGATCATTTTCGCATAAATAATCCTCATTATAATCGGTATAAGATTCTCGCGATGTTCCTCCTGAATCATATTACTTTCTTTGTCCAGTTTGAAGCGTGCAAGTTCGTTTTTAAGATTCTTCTCACTTATTAAACCGTACAAAGATTCCTTGTACGGCAGAAGATAATTATATTTATATATAAAGAGACAATTTAAAGCCGCTTTTTGTATATCGGTATTCTTCGAACAAAGTAAATCCAAGTAAATTTGATGCATCTCTGCTTCTCTATATAACACTTTTGGATTTAGTACTCTGCCAAATATCTCCATTTGAGCAATTAAAAGCTTCGTTTTGTAATTTTTATTCGTCTTATTTGTCAATGTAGCTTTTGCAACAGTATTGTTTTCATCCTCTTCTTCATCGACACTTTCAACTTCCATGTCGTTACATGTGTCGGACAACTTTTTATGTTTCTCAATGTTACAAGACTTACCGTCTTCTGAATTAGATTTGAAAAAATTCATATTTACAAAGTCAATGAACAATACGGTTAAGTCTCTATTTCTTGATTCGGCATAATGTGAGAAATGTGTCATACATTTCCAAAGAAGAATTTTGTGGTTTTCGAAGTCAGGTTTGTCATCGTGTTTCTCTATCGATGTTACTAACGAGGAAATGATGTGACAATGAAACGGCGGTTTCCATTCAATTTCGGGTTCATTTTTAGATGTTATTTCGGCAAGAAATGTTGGCCAAAACTGTTGACATCTTTTGTTGCCATAACTAGCTATAATTATACTCACAGGTTCCCAGAGTAAAGAGAAATTGACATACATATTACCTATCAAGTATCGTAATGGAAACTCATAATACTTCGGATCTAGATTAATTAGTGCATGGCTCTGAAATTCTAAAGCTTGCAAGTGCAACAACTTATCACGGTACGTTTGTACAGTTGCAGATTTACATTCAGCTAAATAAACAAGCTCCATAGCACTCTTTCCATTATTTTGCATCTGACATTCCAGACCTTCGACATTAGCAAATAAAGAATATAAATGCGCTGCAGTCAACCGAACATTGCTATAAGGTGAACTCATTTTTTTTACTATATTTTTATGTAACATATCAAATGATGCAAGATTGATGTAATATTTGTGATACTCTGATGCTGCGAAGTACGTCAAACAAAGGTCTATTGAGTTTAAAATATATTTATTTTCGTAATATTTTTCAATAAGGTCGACTATTTTCATGTCAGATTTTAGCAAGAACTCGTGAAAATCATTTGGCTTTAATATGTGTATTATCGATTCTAATGTCAATAAAAATATAAAAGATACTTTATTAATATTCCTGATATCTTCCACACTATCATACTTCAATATTTGTTTATATAAAGATAGTAGCTCAGTCTTTAATGTATCTTTAAATTCTTCACACAAAGGTTTTAAGTGTGGCAGAATTATTAAAGTTCTTATTGCATCAAGTGAAGTAACATCAGTAGATAACGTTGTCAATTCAACTAACATATAATTTATACTTTCATGTCTGACATTTCGTATATCTAAAATATATTTCTTCCATTTGTCTAGAGTTATACTACTAAGGCAAGGTGATGCTTTTGCAAAAATTATTTTAGCAAACAGAAGTAATGCCTTACTATCAAATCCAGCAGAGATACTACGCTGCAAAATATGAGGTAAAATTAACATCTCAAATAAAGAATAGTCTATCAAATTTTCAACAGCATAGTATAATAATTCCACATTGTTCAGTGCCATAATCTTAAGTAATAGTTGACTTGTATTTTCTTGCATTAATTTAATATTAGATGCTAAAAGAATAGCAACTGACACATTAATAGCTTCTTGTATAATACTATTATCTTGATTGAATGTATCAATTATAACCATCAACTTTTTTATCAGAGATGTAGCATCAGTTACAAGCTTTCCATTTTTATAACTGATATTGGTATGTATAAGTTGTAGCAACAAAATTAAGGGATTTTCTCTCTTACAAGACTCCAGTGATTGCTCTGATTTTTCAACAAATATAAATGTATCCATTACTTGTAATATAGCATTCCACATAACAATACATTTTTGTGGATATATATTTTGTTTTATACACACAACAATTTCTTTTAATACTTCATAGGTCAGCTTTTGATTAACAGACTTATCTTGCAGAGCATTGAAATAAAGTGTTAACATTTCCTCAGCACAAGAATGAAATTGTCCTGGAATACCAGATATAACTTCAAATAATAATTTGCCACAGCCAGATATCACACTTGTATTATCCTCCAAAATATGTAATATTAATATTAAAAAAGAGTCTTTATCTTTAATTTTACGAACTACAAAGGCAAAACTTTCTGCAGCAAATCTGTTTATATAGACTGGTTGTGTGTCAGCTAATAATGGCAACAATAGAGGAACAACAGTTTTTACATTTCTTATCAAATACCGCCATAAAAATTTAAACAAGTATGCCAGAGTAGTGAATGTATATTCTATCTGGTCTGTATTTTTTGTTTGTAATAAAGAAATTATTTCAGATAAAAATTGTGGGAAATATTCATAAAAATCTTTCTGAAGATCTCTTGCTATGGCTACTACCAACCTATAAAGGGGATTGAAAAAAAGAATCAAATTATATATATATATATATATATATATATATATATATATGTATGTATGTATGTATGTATATGTGTACATATGTGTGTGTATATATATATATATATATATATATACACAGGCTGCTAAATTTCAAACATAACAGGTAAAAAATCTCGAAAACTATGAAAATGCCCTCCAAATAAAAAACTGATAATGCCATTCTCATTCCCCTTCGAAATCATGGAACACGTGTTTTAGCTTTTTTTAATATCTTTCATAGTTTTCGAGATAATTAGCTGGAAAGTTTTGAAATGAACACCCTGTATACCAGGTGTTTCAGACCACCCGGGTCACCCGATATTTTCATTAACGCGACATTTTAGAGTAAAAGATTTCAGACAAAAGTTATAGGGCTTCAAAGGATCTATTTACTGACATTATGAATTTGATCTTGGGATAACCTTGAAAAGCCCAGTCAAGATAAACATGAAAATCTTAAATGAATACCTCAATTTTTTATTACATCATCTTTTTCTAGCAATTAATTTTAACAACTTTTGTTTGAAACATTTTGTTATTTACCTAATATTTTTTGAGATATTTAAGGAAAACTTGATAACTTTTTCAATATTTAATTCACAATATCTCGTTAACTATTTGTCAGAAGAAAAAGTGGTACGAGACTTTTTTACTCCATTTAGTCTCAAGAATATATTGTTCCAATAGCACCCTGAATTTGGTTCATTTGATGATTTTGAAGTTTCCGAAAATCAGCAAGTTAACAAAAGTCAGGACGCTATTGTAAAAATATATTCTTGAGACTAAATAGAGCAAAAAAGTCTACTACCACTTTTTCTTCCAATAACTAGTTAGCGAAATATCGTAAGTTAAATATTGAAAAAGTTATCAAGTTTTCCTTCAATATCTAGAAAAATACTAGGCAAATGAAAAAATATTTTAGACAAAAGTTGTTCAAATTAATTGGTGGAAAAAGACAGTGTAATAAAAAATCACAATTTCCATTTAAGATTTTTATGTTGATTGACTGGATTTTTTAAGGTTTCAAGGTTATTCCAAGGTCAAATTCATAGTGTCAGTAAATAGATCCTTTGAAACCCTATAACTTTTGTCTGAAATATTTTTCTCTAAAATGTCGCGTCAACAAAAAAATGACCCGGTAACCCGGGTGGTCTGAAACACCCGGTATATGCGTTTTTAAAATAAACATCCATAAGTTCATAGCTGTTTTAATTACATGCAATATTCTATGTCGTCTGCTTTTATGTGTACTTACTCCAATATTGGTTGCAGAAATAAAGAATCCTCTTTTTTTAAATATTCCAAAAGTATGTCAACTACATATTGCTTTTTGTGAATTAATTGAGGCAATGTGACAATATCCCGTACTTTCTTTTTAAAATCAGTATAACCATCCGTTAAATTAAGAACATTCCATTTCTGTAGTGTTCCATGAAAATAAGTTTCGATTTCTTCAAAACTAGCTTCATTTCGATGTGCCACACGATGAAAAACATCTATGTCAATTTCAGTCACTCTTTCAGAAAACGATTTGAACTGTAAGAAAAGACTGGTTGAAAAGCATAATCATAGTTGGATTAACCTTATTTTGATCAACTTTATATATACCTTAAAAGTGTTCGTTTCCTTATGACGATTTGGTTTGGTTTTCATCTTGTTTCAACAGCTTATTTTCATTCACATATATTGAATTTTATTTAAAAGAAAATATTTCAATAAATAATTCAAACCTCACCCACGTGTACGTCTCAGCTCACGTTTCTTTTTCTTTTTATAAAAGATTAATAGAAGTCCCAGCGTGATCTATTCTTCTTAAGGCTCGTCTACATTAGCTGTAAGAGTTAAGCTAAGACTCCATGCATGCGGTGAGTTGCGGCAAACGGTTGCGGTGACCAATCAGGAGGGAGGCGCAAGTCCGGTTGCGGCAAGCTCCGGCATGCGTCTGTCTCCTGATTGGTCACCGCAGCCGTTTGCCGGAGCTCACCGCATGCATGGAGTCTTAGCTTTACTCTTACAGCTATTGTAGACGAGCCTTTAGGCCTGGTCTACAATATGTGTTGTAAGCCGCAAGCCGTAAGAACTGACCAATTATAGCCGATTATTTTTGTAATAATCGACTGTGATTCGCCAATTCTTAAGGCTTATAACTTACGACACGTATTATAGAATGACCTTTAAGGCTCGTCTACAATAGCTGTAAGAGTAAGGCTGTAAGGCTGCAACGTAAGCTGTCAGCGAATGAAAATATTTCATTTCGTGTCTTGCAACCTTACAGCCTTACTCTTACAGCTAATGTAGACGAGCCTTTATACAGCCTACCTTAAAACTAAAACCAGAATTTCCAAAACCTATTTTGTAATAGGATCCGTATTCTTGAAAAATGTCGCATACGACATTATTTTTCATGCTTGGAATAGTCATTGATTCCAAATACTTTATTCACGCAGATTACATAGGATCTAGGGGTTGGCGTTAGCCTAGGATTTTCCAGCGCACAGACATTTATTGAATGAATGAATGATTTTTCATGAATGTCAGTAGATATTATGATTCTCAGCCAATTAAATCGCCCCATTGATGAAATATCGTATACGATATTTTTCACAAATTTTCGAGAATAAAAGTCCAAACTTTAAATTTGATTGGTAGATTGGTAAAGCTGCATAGAAACGGTATAAATTTGGCTGTGTTCCAAAATTCACTGCCAGTACTGAAAATACATAGTTTATGTCACGTATATTATAGATTTTTAGTGCTGATCGTGAAATATTGGAACACAGTCAAGCCCCATAAACTTTTTATATTGGTAGCAGAGAGAAAGCTGAGAGAGGCCAACATGGCGTTTTCGGCGACACCGATTTTTCGCACTGGAAATTGACGCCATCTACATCCATTTCGAGAGGAGAACTACGATGCTACATCCACTTTTAGGTCTTGGTGGTAAAATCTGCATGTGGTGGAAGTCCGTGCTACATGAGAATAAATTGTCATTGGACAATTTTCTGACACTGATTTATGGTACTAATCGGTATTCGATTTTCGATACTGATACTGATTTATTCTTTCATTGCTCTATAAGAAAAGGAAAAATTGATACTAATCGTTCATTTATCCGCGTTTTTTTTTTTTTATTATATACAAGTGGTCCATGGGACGATTAAATATTCGAATACATGTTGCCGTATCAGTATCCTCTATAATAAACGATTTGACACGTCTGGAGACGCATAATGTATCGTTGCCCGCATCCCATTCCTTTCGTCCTGCTTCCCTGTATAAAATGTCGAATTGAAACGTATTAAAAAGTATTGACATTTTGAATATGTCTGAATTCTGAATCTTTTTGATCCGAAGAAAAGGATTGAAAAGTATTAGTTCCCATTAAATTTTACTGCGCTAAATGCGAGACGGTCTCTTTCGCCCGGGTGCCTCACCAGGGAAATTTCTCTGGTACGCTAAATCCCGTAAGGCCGTCAGTCTTTGTAGTATATCTCGTCGGTGAATAAGGTTTATATTACCTGTACATAGATATTTTGAAAGATTTTCTTTGGATATTATATCAAACGGATTTTGCGTGTCACGTAATATCCTTCGGACTACACGGACATTATTATTTTGATCATTTTGATTTCTTTGGTATTCATTGAATTATCCAGAACGCGCAACTGCCATGTTGAACGACTCAATTGTCGTGTGAAATGTTTCGATTTTCACAAATTCGTATAAAATTTTTCATTTTTCACTGATTCACAGAAGTCTTTCACTTTTTATTAGTTCATGCTAGGGAAAAGATTCATGATCGCTGCCCCGAGCAGCTGCAACGCTTTTCGAAACATCTATGTCGGTGCGCTTTTACTCCTCAAATTTCTGTCATTAATAACTCGATAATTATTGCGAATCTCGCAAAATGGTATGGGACTTTTATGTTTGTCTCAATCCAATCTACCCTCATACTTCGGGTTGGCAGCACTTACCGGCAGCTAATTACTTCGTATGATCTTCATGATATTAATCATACACAATGTCAATTCTTTTTTTTTGCACATATTAACATGTTAATTCATGTTATAAACGTGTAACAATGTGCGAGACCGTGCTTGTCAAGTACGTTATTATGATTGTAGCACGGACATAAACCGCCTAAAAATGGATGTAGCACGGACTGCCACCACATACAGGTTTTACCGCCGAAACCTGAAAGTGGATGTAGCATCGTAGTTCTCCTCTCAAAATGGATGCAGATGGCGCCTTTTCCCAGTGCGGAAAGTCGGTATCGTCGAAATCACCGTGTTGGCCGCTCTCACGTTCCCCTCTCTGTTGGTAGTCTTGCTCCTTTGGCGGTAGTTGATGGAAGTACAAATTTTCGGTGTTCCTGATTAACTTTTAGAAGTATTTCTCTTTTACAAAATGAATAGTCGATATCAGGAGCATGGATTTACCGAACAAACCAAAATGTTATTACGCAACATCGGAGCTCAATCATTAATAAAAGAATGCAAGAAAAGAAAGATATCAACTGATGAATTGCATAAATTAACTAAAGAAGATTTTATGGTGCTTGGTAATGAAGCATTTATTTTACAATTATGTTGTTACCTTACTTTTATTAGTCTATTTTGTATGTTCTTTCTATAGATATACATTATATATATATATATATAAAATTTTCATAACTAGTACATAGTGCTTTTACCAGAACTTTATGAAAATACATGTTACCTATAAATTAGGTTAGGTGAAGTCTAAGTATAATGTATTGGTTATAAAATTTCTTTTTTATATTATGAGTGATTTATAAAGATAAGTAATATAAAATGTAAAATTTTACACTTTCAGGTGCTAGTGAAGATTTTGCTGAATATATAGTCAAAATCTTTCATAACACAAACGAGAAGTTTAAGAGGCAAAAGTTTGAACAAAAGTATTAAATTATCATTGCAGTTTTCTACTTATATATTACTTTAAATCTAAAGTTTTCTTTTTTTACAGCATATCTGATAATATAAAAATATTGCAAGTAGCAGAGAAGCAATTAGCTCTATTTCACCCTTTTATAGCATATTTTAGAGTCAAGCTTGAAAAAGAACCTAATAATGAGTTTGTTGATCACGACAAGCCTATAAGTGCTTCTGAAGTTCTATGTATTACTGTTGATTATATACTTAGAGAAATTAATGATGCTGAGCTAAAACTGAAAGAATTGGAAGATTTTATAATTAAGGTATATATATATATATATATGTACGTATATATATATATATAGAAAATATGATATAGATATATCAATCATATTTAAATTCATGCATATATTTTTATTTTCATAAATAAGTAAACATTTTGACTTTATTTCTTGCAGCCGAAACCTAAACCTAAACATAAACCAATTTATTCTTATATGCTATATTACACTTCAATAAGTATTATATGTATCGCTATATCCAAATTATTAATAAGCAAATTTTGGAAATAATGGTTTTTCATCGGAAATGTCTATTTCTTAGAGAAACCAAGGTATTATAATTTTTGATTTTCATTTATATTATCAAATTTTTTGAAGAACATTTCCTAAATAAATATTCTATGTTTGAACATGACATAAATGTACCACATAAATATTTTTTATGAAAAACGATTTGATGAGATAATTCTTATTAATTATTCCCATTTAATAATATGCAAATTATGCTCCTGAAAGTTTGCTATTACTCTGCAAGTTGTCCCTAAATATTTCTGAAATTAATTGAAATAGATAATTCTCTGATAATATATTTTTTTCATGACAAAAGTAAGAAAAGGAAGGAGCGATTGTCTGTAATTAATTTTACTTATGGTTTACAAACCTAAGATTTCTTATAAGCTATATAAGAATAAACTAAATAAAAAACGTATAAAGTAAATTGTGACAATAATGACACTGGGAGAAATTGAAAGGGGTGTGTATAGGATGAATCGGGATGAGGACGAGTAGGATCAAAGGAAACATATAGAATAATTCGTGATACTGCGGGAAATCGGAAGGAACGCAATATAGGATGATAATCGCGAAAGCTTGCTTGTGAGGGTGGATAATCGCGAGGATGATATCCTGCGCCCGATCGTGCATCCCAACGCGCGCGCATGTCACACACCCCCATTCGCGAGATGGCGGCGCATGCGCGATTGGTCGTTACGAGAGCTTTGAAATCTCCGCTTCAGTCGCACTAAGATGGACGGTGGAGCGTACGGTGTCGGAAAGGCCGGGGCACCTTTCGATCCGATCGCATTCGTCCAACGACCGCAGGTTGTTCTAAGGGCGGTATGTCTGGTAAGTCGTCGCAACTTCGTCAACGATTGCCGACGATTTGTGTGATTAGGATAACCTGGTGCTTAATTGATCGAGAAAAAGGAAAGAGAAGAACGTTACCTCGAGCGGATGAACATTGATTTTAAAAGAGCCACGGTTCTCCTCCCCTTTCCCCACCCTTGCGCCGTGATGGGGTTCTATTGATTTTTCGCAAATTCCAGCAGTACGTCCCGTGCCATGGGGCTCCCATAGCATTCGTTGCCCGAAACGAGACCCATTTGCCAATCAATTTATGGTTTTTCACACTTGCTATGTCTTACTGATGGATATCCGCGATGAGATGTATGAGCGCAAATCGACGCAGGACGCTCCCTGCGTTTAACCCCTTTCTCATTCTCTTTGACATTGTCGACAGTGTTGTTAATTCCTCCTCCAAATTTTTTATTGTTATATTCATAATAGAAATACTTACTACTATTAGTAGTATATGTTTAAATGTATATCAACTGATTAAGTATGTAAGACATTACTAGAATCATATGATTTATTTAGGCTGAAGTATATCTTAATATCTTGATATTAATAATCTGAGATATTTTCAGAATGATTTTATATATAACCTGCTATTTTATTTGACCTATTTTCATCCTTAAAACAACTCTACTGATATTGATCCTGACATTTTCAAATTTGTTGGTTTTATTGATTTTTCATCTTTGATCTTTTTAAAAAGAAGTTAAGTTATAATATATTAAATTAAAATTTGAATTAAATATATAGATGACTGTTTAGATTTTAATATATATTATTTATATATATAAGACATGAATATAGAATAATATCAATCAAGGATACAGATTCTGAGATTTATATATATATATATATATGTGCATAAATTCTTAAATTTAACTTAACACAATACTTTAATTTTAACACTTCAAATACATGTATCTCATGTACATTTCGTCAGTTTAAGTATACAATATTCATAGTTGAATCTTATATTTAAGACTGGCTCAAATTTATTTTCAGATGCTATACAAGTTATTCTATTAGCTATGAAGTATCTAAAGGTGAAATTAAGACGATTTTAAATATAAAATTCAAATATGTACAACCTTGGTAAATGTTGCAAAGACCATGTGCTTTCCTTTTCAAATTTCTTTTCATTTCTTATATATTTAATGTTTACCCTTTTATTATTTGTATAGTTATTATTAAAAATATATAATGTAAATATGTGCGTGTGTCTATATGTGTATATATATATATATATATGTATATCATCAATACAATGTATCTTTATTTATCTACAAGTTTTCACAATTGAATTGTTCCATAGAGAAATCTCTTTCATGTTTCCAGCTCTTTGCAATAATTGTATTTGGTTGTATAAGCAGCAAGGGCTATCTTCCAAAGGAAGATGGGAAGGAAGTTTGTCTTTACAATGATGACAATAATGCTTGCAATTATGGGGTCGGTATTGGAGTATTGGCATTTTTGGTCAGTATTGGATTTCTTGTTGGTGAATACTTGTTTGAACAGATGTCGTCTGTCAAGACTAGGAAACATTTTGTCCTGATAGACTTGGGGTGAGTCATACACATATGCATATAATGTTGCATAAATAGTAGTTTCTAAATAACATCACTTTCAGAATATTTAGCTAACATAATTTAGTTTACTGTGTTGTACAATATTCTATACATAAAGCCTTATCTATAATATGTTCTTTGCTTTCTGTTTCTTTCTCTTTATCTTTTTTTGTCTAAAATCTTATAACTCAAGCCAGAAAAAGATAAAAAATATGAAAAGGGAACAGAGAGCACATTGTAGATCAAATTAAAATTTCTAATTTATATATACAGCTTGTCAGGTCTCTGGTCTTTCTTGTATTTCGTGGGATTTTGTTACTTGACAAATGCATGGAATAATTCTTTAAGACCAAAAGATGGATATGGCGTTAATAATCTGCAAGCGGCTATTGCATTCTCATTTTTCTCCATTTTCACTTGGGTATGTCAGATTGTTTATTCTATCTATATAAAACAGTATTTTTTATTTAATTATTAATATGTACAGCAAATTGTTACATATACTTTAATTAGATCTTACTTAAATAAAAATGTACTTGAGAATTGTAGTTTTATTAATACAGTTAATATGTTAATAGGCTGCTTGCGCTTGGTTTGCATTTCAAAGATTTAAGCAAGGAACTGACGCGGCGTTTGCTCCGAGTTACGAGGCAGATCCTGTCGGTGGCACAGGATATACAAGTTATCCTGATGCTACCGATACTGCTTACCAAGAACCGCCATTTGGGCAACAGCAGCAACGGGGTATGGGTGACTTCCAAGCCCCAGCTTATTAGGAGTCATCCATAGTCAATACCAAAATATATTTCCATCGGATTGCACAGCGAACTACTTACGAAAGAAGATGGTTTAGAATAATTTCTTAAAACAAGATTATATTGTTTTTCATCACCTGTTTTGCTTAAAGGTAATTACATTTATATAATATTTAAAGTAATTATATTATCAATATTATGATAATTACATATTAATTTTATATCAATTTAAAAGATGCATATTCTACTACTAAATATACTTTCAATAACAATGAAGATTTGTTGAGGTATGTGATACAGTCATTATACATAGATCCGTGTAAATATTTTCCTTTGTGATTTTCCTTTATGAAGCTTTACGCTTTTAATAACTGAAGTTTTTGTTTCGAGGATCTAAACAAAAGAACTATTATATAAATCGTGTTTTTGCTTACAGACTAAAGAAAAACTTCATTCGCTGATAGGTCGCTGGGCAGCGTGGTCGTAGAGTAAGTTTTCATGGCAAGATATAGAAGGAAGTTATTTGTTAAACTGTGCTTCTTATTGTTGACCACTTGTAAGTTACACTTATATCCGTACGCCCGATGTCACAAAAAAGCATTAGGTGTGTTTGAAGAATATCATACGCGTTACGCCTGGACATATGCATTACGACGGATATTAATGACCATGAAGTAAATATGATATCTTGTAACGAGTAACTTATAGCAACTCCATAATAAGTAAGAACTAGTACATGCACAGGCTATGTATATTTTAACGTTGTAACGTGTTCATAGTAAACGCGATTTAACTGTAACAATAATAACAATGCGTTGCATTGTCATGAAATTAGTATATTAAAAACAAGTACACAAAGTGTAGGTTTGTGATGAATAAATTTCGTGTAAGTCAACGTATGCGTTGATTAGAGAGTGAGAGACAACATTTAAATTGTTTCGTTTTCCTTTCTAGTACTTAATCAATTTCACTTATATTTCGTTTGCGAGGTAGCGTAGTAGCGTTACGAAAGTATACTTTGCACTAAACGGTGATAAAAGGGTAAAGCAAAGTTTTTCTTTTTTATTAATATAAATTCTTATATAAAGACATATTTGCATACAAAAGTTGTGTGACATCCGCACGATGTCAATTCACGTAGAACTTGTGTATAAATTACCTGCGATATTGACTATTGCAATATATCTTGAACTTTCATATTTAAGTCCTGCTACAAAACTTTTGTCCATCGATGCTATCAATGTGTATGTCCAACAAATCATTGATGCGAAAAAAATCAATTTATCAACAAATATATTACAAAAGAAGTTCATATTTTCGATGATTTATAATTATTTATTTGGTACATAATCTCAGGAAGACATTGTACAATTATTTAAATATTATTTAAATATTTTTATTTATGCTGCACTTTTGCAAGATAGATGTATTGCTAAACATTGAATCTCAATTATAAATTTATCCAAATTTGATATACACGCGCAACGATTTTTATAGTTCGTTAATTCCAGATGTTATTTTACATACATCAAAGTCGAGCAATTGTACAGCAATTCTGATTCCGAAATATTGAAGTAATTTTTTGTTCGAGATAAGAAAAATATTGTATGTGTACTTACGATATAATTTCAAGTTGCAGAATTAAGTATTGACTTAGTTATGTAATTCTATGTTATACGCTGTATTAAGCAAATGTAAGCATCGTTAGAGACATCTAGTAATTTAGTAGTTTAGCACTGAATTTGAGAGAATTATACATTCTAGGCGTATGTGTACATGAAGTAAATTGTGCGGTTGAGTGTAATTTTGTGATTTTTGTTTGTGTAAAAACATCGCTAAAACGTTTATGGATACTTGTGTGTATATTCTCTGCTCGAGGTTTCGACACATCTAGTTTATATAATTCTCTCAAACAAATATCTACTAACTTTCGATAATAAGATATCCTGATAAGTTGAGAACATGGTTTGTGTGTAAAATATTATGTGAAGTGCAATAATAATCATTATATGTATCCTAATTGCTTACAAAATCATCCCTTTGGATATATTGTGAATTAATTACTGTAATGAAAAATATCTTCAAAGTATTAGACAAAATATATTATTCGATATTTTGTTTCAGTATAACAAATTCACTCGTTAACGTGCTCGTATATCCAAAGGGCTGAATTTTTAATGTTCAATCTTTTCAAAATTTATCTTTTACTTTTTATGAATCTTAACCCTTCTACATATATAGAGGTGACAACATTGTTTAATAACATGACACCGTAATGTAATGACATTTCGTGTTACCAACACCGAGAAGGGTTAAGGCAATGATAAATGCAGTTACAAATCTCAACTTTTATCTGTATGAGAAAGAGATTGTGTGATCGTACTGTCGATTTTACATCAGATTTAAGATCGGAAGAGACAAAGTGAAATAATTGTATTTGGCGGAATGTAGTACTATATATCAAAGTGTCTATTGCAGAAGTGTAAAGGAATAAAAATGCGTATCAAGCTGGGTGTCAGTAATTAAATAGCTGTTGTATGATTGTATTTATATATATATATATATATATATACATATACATATATATATATACACACACACATATATATAATGCATTTGATGCAGTAGTAATACGTATGCGTCTGTAAAGATCTGAGTGTTTAGGGACAATTCCAAGATTTACCGTGTAATTTAAAATAGCCAAAATATACGTATAAGTAGTTATTTTTATGCCAGTCAAAATAATTATACGATGAGCCAAGTGATAAATTATGTTTGTTGCGTGAAGCTGCGACTGCATTCTTACATCTGTTCGTTTTAAATGTTACGCGTTTCGTAAAATTGTTTCTCTTCTCTCTCACCGTTTTTTCTTTCATACACATACGTATTCCGCAAGAAAACGATTGCGCGCTCAGCATACTTCCGTCAGACATATAATCATCAAGATACAGAGAACTCTTTTTCTAAAAACAAATTTTTTTGTAACATATGACTGTTGTTATTTTCATCTCGTTTGACAATCGAACAATTGATTTTCTTCGATGTACGATAGTATATAGTACGATGTACGAATAACACGGTATATCAATCTTTTTGGTACCTATTATTAGCAATTTTCGTTACCTGAATATAAAATGAGTATCGTAGCCTCATGTTTAAGTTAGAGATACTTTATAGTAGCTTTATGAAATTTTATTTTATACAACCGCTACAACGTTGTATAACACATCTTATAGAATTTGTATTCACGAGATGCAGGATTTTATTTCTTAATAAATTTTTGAATGCCTAATATGTATGACACTTTCCACATCTTTTCCAAAACTTTCAATTTCTTTTCAATTAAATTTAGACATACTGGGTATCAATGTTCATAATAATTCATAAATTCTACATAATCTTGCTCATATTTCATTCACTAGAAATATAATTTTTATCAAAACATTAAAGATTATAATACATTATCTATTCGGTCTTATGAAATATCTCTAATTAACAAAAGATGTAAGAGGGTATGTAGAATTATTTCAACATTCTAAAAATTACTGTGTGATTTTATTGTTTAATCTGTTAATTATACATGGTACATGATCTATAAGTTCAGAATTAGTATTTTTAAAATCATCATTTATCCATATCTTCTTCAATTCAGTTATAACTTTGCCAATCATTTTCGGATGTGGCACAAGATCTTTCAACATGATGCCGTTGATGGGAAATTTTGGAATTACCCATTTTTCAAATTCATCTAAAAGTTCCATGGCTCCTTGATATTTCAATATCTCTTTTACATATTCACGATAAACGTCATATCTATTCGTCTGTTGAGTAAATACTAACTGCTGATATGGTTTTAATGGACGTTCGCAGGGAATGTGTGTGCATTCCCTGTACCGAACCAAAAACAACGCTAGATCTCGATCGGCATTGGACAATTTCAAGCGACCATGTACGTCCATAACTTCCTGTTCATCTTTGAGCATTGGCACGATCATAGATATAGGCTTTAAAGCCACATCGTTGGACGATGCACGTCGACAAACAATTTGAAAATTCTCTATGTTAGGATTCTCGGGTAAACCCATGTATTTACCGCAACCACATTCGAGCATTTTCAATGTCAATTCTAAGGCAAATTTTCCTGTTAAAATTTTGTACCATTCGCTCCAAATCCTTTCGCCGGATATTAACTGTAAGCCGTTTACGTTATCTTTTATCGCCTTTATTGTAGCTTCATCATGCTGATCAGGACTATCCATGATCTTCCCATAGAAACGAAAGTATCTGCAGTAATCAAACAACAAACCTGATACAAGTAACTTAAAACTTCAGTGTAATGTTATATATATTTTAAATTTATTAAGTCTAGCGTATTACTAAAATATTATCGTTACATGAATAGTCACAGAGAAGATTCAGTATACATGCATTGTTAATATATACCTGAGAATTCGAAGATAATCTTCGCATATCCTAGTATTAACATTGCCTACAAAAATTACTTTTTTATTCTTCAGATCATCATAGCCATAGAAATAGTCGTATAATTTGCCATTGAAATCGAGAAACATGGAGTTGATAGTTAGATCTCTCCTGCACGCATCTAACTTCCAGTCTTTTGTAAATTCTACTTCTGCATGCCGTCCATCTGTTATATTGTCAATTCTCAGAGTAGTCACCTCGAAATTCTCTTTATCGTTTATCCTCGCTGTTATCGTACCGTGTTTTTCACCTTTCACATTTAATATTCTGATCTCTTCCTTCTCAAACATCTCTTTCATCTGATCCGGTGTAGCCGTGGTTGCAAAATCGAGATCTTTTGGATATTTATTCATTAAAATATCACGCACGGCGCCGCCGGCAATTCTCAGCTCGTAATCATACTTTTGGAATAAGTTAACGAGAATGTTTAATTCCGACGTAAATAAGGAAAAAAATTCCGGGCTATCCAGCTTCGCTATAACAGGGTCTGCTCTTGACGGCGGTAATGTTTCATCAACCATTCTAACCCTCTTCCAACCTTCGTGCGTAAACTTAAATCTCACTTCTTTACGTAGCTAGGAACAATAGAAATAATTATTATAATATACATAATTTCATATATATTCGTTTTTACGTTGTTATACAAAAATATCTCGTTAAAAATCGAATCAACGTCTACTTAACATAACTCTATTTAGAGGTTAATATTATTGCTGGATTGTTTTACCTACATTAATAATTTCGCGACAAAATAAATTCGTTATTCGCCGGGATAATATATTTAACATAATGGCACATATATCACTTCGTTACTTCTCTACATGAATCAAACTATTATTATAAACATACAAGTGTCTATGTTCAGAAGTTTACTGCACCTAGCTGTGCTCAGACTCAGACCGCACTAAGGACCGTAATAAATCATGGAAAGGCAGCACGAATTTTCAGATATATATGAACGGAGAGGAGGATGAAACGAACATAATAATAAGCATAAAATAATTTCTGTTGCATATTGTGAATAAAAATAATGATTTATCCTATAATTGAATATTTCATTATACATGTTGCACATAAAAAGTAATGTGATTTTCAATCTCAATCATAAATGAAAAAGAAAAATTCAAAATTTAATTTTATATGTATGTATTATTTATACATACATATTTTATATACATTATCAATTATATATTATTGTATATTTTTGTATTTTTATTTGTATATTAAAGATGTATATTGCGTGTATGATACTTTAATTATATATACATGTATATATTTACAAATCCTAAATTCAAATTTTGAGAAGCAATATATATTTTTCTGACTTACAACATTAAATTATATAAATTGAACAAACAAGTTCGATAATATTAAACTCTTTATTCTTCGTTTGTTTATGTACATCACTATTTAGTACAAAAGAGGATTAATGCACACAAGAATTAATGACCTTCTTCAATGTGCTGAAGGACACGGTTTTAACATCATTGTTGAACATTCTATGATACGAACCGCCATATATTATTCTTCCAAGTCGCCACAGTCAGTGTTACACTTTGATACATATAAGTTAAGTTATTTATTTCTCTTTGAAACGCATGTGTGTATCTTATATGTTTCAAAACAGATATAACTTCTGTTATTACACATAAAAAGTACAAAACCTATCCATGTAATGTATCTCATATGGTGTGAGCGTATAATCTGGTCGTAAAATATCTAACAGAATTTCGTATTGCAGCGTTAAATATATATGTAACAATGATATTCTAAAAAATTAACATTTCCACAGCATATTCGTTTCCGCTATTAAATACAGTTATTCCTTTAACTGTTAAAAATGTGAAACAATATCTTAGATGACAAACTTTATTGTTTCGACATCAATTATTACAGCACGTTGAAGAAATATCTGTATTAATATTTAAAACGAACATATTGCGTTGCGTTAACATTCTTTTATGGTATGCAAAAGTTGTAGCTGTATTATATATCATAATTTTTTTTTATTACTACTAGTGTAATTCTCATGATCACGATTACATCTTTGTATTTTAATGTGTTATACATTTCTCACAATTTAATACATCAAATTTTTTTTTTGTTTTTAAATGAGATTCCCTGTTCCCATGATGCGTCATTTTTTTATCCTCTTGCAAGTAACACACAAATTCATGTCCTTGCGTATCCTTCTTAACGTGGCCGTTTAATTCCACACATATCTGGTTAACAAGATCATATTAAATATATAATAACTGTAAATCATGCAGTCGCATTTAATGTTAAAACACAAGACGTAAATATTGATCACGGGATTCACAAAGCAACGTTCTTTCTTTTTTTTTTTTTACATAAAATTACGGATTATAAACGGATTATAAACAAAAATTGACTTTCTGCAATCGAGTGTCGAAACGTACCACAAAAACATTTTTTGTTGCTTTTTAATAGGTGGCGGTATATCGGATGCATAAACACGAAGCTAAAATAAACACGCATATACAACGCAACTAAATTGACTTCACCTCGTGCACAGAATGTCCGGAAATTTTATACATGTTGCATTTTATTTACATCTGAATCTGCTAACGGTAATAGAAAATTTGTGTGCATTGTGATTCGCAAAATTATTCGTTTTTCTTAAAGTAAGTTTCCGCATATCTTGTTGCGATGAGAATGAAAATCATATAAAAAATGATTTCCACGTGGAGGCCACTTTTGCTTATATAACAATAAGATTAAAAATCTATCAATTTTACAGCGCAGATTATTAGTGCGACCTATTTCCTTTCTTCTGTTAATAATTCAAATTACTTGAGCGTCCTCTCATTCGGTTTTCTTTTGCTCCAACTACAAGAGCACACACACTCAATATTTTTTATCGTACAATAATATATTGGATCGTTCGAGAAGTTTGTAGAAATTTTTAAGAAAAACTCGAAATCGATAATTTCATAGTCGGACACAATCTGATCTTTTCGTTTTTTCCATAATATAATAATAATTATTATTTGCCTATTATCGAAAAAAAAAAAAAAAAAAAGAAACCGATGAATACACTACTGAACAAAGTTACGTCCAACTATGAAAGTACTACGACTTCGAGCAATTGGCAAAAATTTCTATGAACATGTCGAACCCAATATTTCCTAAATATATCGTAAAATTGGGTCGATTGCAATCTAAACCCATGTCCATGTTCGACGAGGCACCGCAATAATGTACGCCCGTATATTTTACGCACAACGGAGCCAAGGCCGTACATCGTTGAGCGCCTTCGCACATGCGTGTACAAATTATATACGCATGAACGTGTATGTTGATTAATATCATTTAATTATGTTTTACGTGTAAACAATTACATAGATAAATAAAAAATATTATATTCTTACCAATTATTTATTACTTATGTATATGTACACACTCGGCTTTTTTCGGTACTGTATCGATGAAGATGTTGCGATAAAAACGCTTGATTCACTTACCATCCAGAAGAAGATAGAATGTATTTTATATGTGGTCTAAGGAGAGGCCTAATGTCGGAGGAATTTCTAATGCGCTAGGATTGCTGACACGTGATCAACTCCATAGAGTCTTCCTGCAAGTTTTATTAGCTACAATGGCATGAAGAGGTAAGATGGCGTATCATTAATTCCATTCATGAAAATTCAGATGCGTACGATATTAAGTATACCATCGTTAAGTATACCAACTATCCAACGTATACCCTAGTTTTATTAATTTATCACGTAAAAAAGGCCATATAATGCGGTTGCATTCATACTTCACTTACGCAGGTTTTGATATTTTAGCGGAAGAAGTCTTCTTCTTATTGTTTCGACACTTTCTCACATATGCTTCTATAAGATGCGCTATCTTCTTGGGATTGATCTCACCTGTCTTGTTATGGCATATCTGAAATAATCGTGATCGTGACCGTGAATCCTTCGTGTCACTTATATTACTGCGTGTTACATATACTCGGTCCAACGATATTAAAAGTCACGATTAGCTTAAGTTTTACCTTAGGTACAGCTTTGCGCATGATATCCTTGTACTCCTCCTTCGTAACGTGCTTTTTGGTGTAATGGGGTTTGAGAACTAATTTGACTTCTTCCACAACTCTCTCTTGCCGATTTAATTTCTTAAGGAACTACAGCGGCACGAGAAAACAAGAATGTCACATTTAAAACATTACACATATATCTAAGAGTAAAGGAAGGTATCTCAGTGCGATTGACATACCTTGTCTTTAACTTGCATTTCTACGGCAGAACTAGGAAGATCGTCCAGGATTTGAAGCTGGTTCTCATCCATACGTACGCCAACTTTAGGGTTGGTAGCTATAAGATACGTCATTTATATTATATTGATAATAATCGAATAATTATTTTAAAAAAATGTTAAAGCACAATTGAATGATCGCCTAGATTGTGAAATCTAGGCTTCTCCTTACAAACTCAATGAAAGTATACTCAAAAACACACTCACACTTTTTCGTTTTTTCCTTAGTCTTTTTACTTCGGTTCTTGGTTGCAGCCTTAACAGGCGGCAATACCGCACCGAACAAAGCGTCGAACGCGTCCTTCTTTTCCGCACTCTTATTGACCTTCGGCGTGCTGCTAGTCTTGGTAGTGGCAGGCGGTGCGTTTACAACGGGTGAGCTGTTGAAATTGACAGGACTAGGAGGATCGAAGAGACCGTCGCTTAATGTTGAACCTGGCGAATATGGCGACGACATGTCGACGTTGTCGTTCGTTATATCCGCAGCGGCGTCGCTCCCATTCTGTCCTATCGTCGAGCTGTTTTTACCCTGAGTGGACTTGGAAGATCGCGCCATTGTGGTTTTCGTGGAATTTGTAAATATGTTAGGAAGCTGCGGCCTGTCGTTTGTGCGTTGCTTGATCTGATTGCTCGGCGAGGTGCGGTTAGACTGCAAGAGAAGACTAGATCTCAAGATCTAGAGAAGACTACTCACTGCTGAACAGTGTCCAACAAGTATTTATTGAAGTACTGAGAATCCTACTGATGACGTGTAAATCGTAAACGAATGCAATTAAACAAGCAGAAAGAAATCGTTCAAATAAATAAAATAATCGAAACGATAGAAAGTACGGTCTCTTTAATAGCGCGTATACCTGAAGTAGCGTCCTTTGCGTGGTGTTGGGAGTGCTGGCGTTGAAGACAGCGCTTCTCTGCACCGCGGCCGCCACAGTAGCCAACACGGGATTGATAGTGGCGAACGGATTGGCAGTAGATTGCACGTTCTGCTGATTCTGTTGAGTCTTGGGCGGACTACTACACGATTGCGCTATGTCGGTCTGATTCTCCGGCGCGGGAGACGCGGTATCCCTCTGGGGTGACGCTCTCTTAATAGTCACCATCGATATTATCTTTGGTTTCTCTGGCGGTTTCTCTTGGCTGGGCTGATCCTGTCCAGATTGGCTCGGCTCGTCCGGTAACGGTGTATCCGCCGTGTCGTGTTTCCTGGGCGAGTTGCGCTGCGCACGATCATGCTCGTCGTTCGGTGTGGCCTCTTGACTGGCGTCCGGAGTCGGCGAACGGGACTTGGTCGGGTCGAAGGGATCATAAACATCCGACGAGCTCAACGGTGAAGTCGGCGGCTCCGGGGGTGTGTTAGGGCCAATCTTCAGACGTAGCTCCAGCTCTTCCTGTGCACGCATCTCCAACTCCTCCTCCGCTCGCTCGTCCATCATCTCTTCTTCCTCCATCTCTTCCTCTTCCTCCTCCTCCTCTAGCAGTGGGTTGATCAGGGACGGTCGCAAGTTGCTCGGCTGCTTATTAATGGAGAACTTGATCTGCGGTTCGGGCGGCGTTTTCGGTCCCTGCGAAACGAACTGTTCGCGCGGCGGCGACACCACCTGTGACGGAGGGCATTGTTCCGGCGTGGCGACTTCCTGTGCCTGCTTGTCGTCGTCGTCGCTCAGTACGATTACGTCACGCGGTGACGGGGTCTGTTCGCGGAACGGTGACTGGTCCAAGTCAATCACGGCCACGGGCTTCTTCGTTGCCGCGATCTCCGCCGCCTTAGACTTCTTTTTCTTATCCTTCTTCACCTTCGGCGATTTCGATCGTTTGTCTTTCGTTTTCTCTTTCTTCGAGCGCTTCGGAGGCGCCGTCTCCACAGTCTGCACAGAGTCCCTTCGTCGGCGTTTTATCGGCGGCGCGCACGGTATAGTCTCCTGCAGCTCCGGCATGGCCGTCGGGTTCGTCTCGTTGTCCTTGTTGAAGCACACGCTCACCAGGATGTTGTCCCCACTGGCAAATACCTCTTTCGAAGGAGGCGGCGTCCTATTCCGCTTGCCCTTCCGACGTTTCTCGCTCTCCGACTTGGATTTCCGGCTCTCTTTTCTGCGCTCCTTCTTCTTCTTCTTGATCGCCTCCTTGTTGGTCAGGATGACGGTCAGGTTCTTCGGCGACACGCTGTCCAACACCGGCGGTGGCGACCAATTGCGGGAGCCAAGCTGCTCCTGCTGCATGTGCGCCGGCGTCTTTGATCGTGAATGCGACCAGGACGGTGTCCACTGCGCGCTCCAAGAACGCGCTTCTCGCTCGCGAGGGAATTCCCGCTGCTCCACGGTGGGATGTTGCTCCACGCTCTTCTCGTTCAGCTGCTCCCAGTTCCTCGCGTTGCGATCCCGATCTCGCGAGCAGGATCTACCGCCCTTCGAGCGCGACCTACTGTGCGGCTTCCTCTTGCTGTGCTTCTTCTCGCGCGACTTCGACGTCGTCCTCTTCGGCGACTTGCTGCGCGACCGCTTGCGGTTCCTCGAACGACTGCGCGACTTGTACTTCTTCGTCTTGTCCTTCCGCTTGTCGCGCGATCGCGACAACGACCGCCTGGAGCGTCGCCTAGGCGACAACGATGATCTTCTCTTGCGCGATAACGAGCGCGACCTTCGACGCGTCACTGAGTGTCGTCTGGACAAGGAACGTTTACGCGACATGGATCTCCTGCGCGATGACTTGCGTCTGTTGCGGGAGGTCGAGCGTCTATTGCGCGAAATCGACCGGCACGACTTCGAATACGACCGGCGATCTCTCGACCAGGACAATCGCACACGGGATCTGCTTCTGGTTCGTCCCTTCGAGTATGACCGACTTCTGCGGTCCTTCGACCCGGAGACCTTGCCCGACGAGCGGCTCCTCGATCTGCTGCGCGACTTTTCTCTGATGTCCCTGCCATATTCGTCTTTCCTCGGTCGAGGTTTCTCGGCCACGATCTTTCTTACGTCGTACCGCGGCAGCTCTTTTCGCTTCTCCTTCTTCTTGCTCACTTCTTTGACCTTTTTCTTGGAAGACTTATCTTTGTCCTTGTCCCGTTCTCCTTTCTCCTTCTCTCGCGACTTGGACCTCCTGTCTTTGTCCCGATATTGCCTTTCCTTCGTGCTCTTCGAGATCTTCTTCCACGAGACCAGATTGTCCGACGAAATGTTCTCCTTGTTCTTCTCCGTATTCTCCTTGCTCTTCTCCTTTTTGTCCTTCTTCTTTCTTCTCTTAGTATCGTCTTCCTTCTCCCTCGACTTCTCCCGCTGTTCCTTCGCGTTCAACTTGCTCTCGTCCAGTATCTCACCGTCCTCCATCTCCTTCTCCTTACGCAACGCAGCCAAGTTCAACAGCTCCTCCTCGAAGTTGATCGCTTCGTCGGTCTCGGAGATATCTTCGGTGCCCAGACCGGCGTAGCTCGCCGGCGGTGTCCTGCAGTCGTCCAAGTCATCATTAGCCTTGTCCTTTGTCGGGGTGATCGGCTCTAAACCGCCATCCTCAAATGACGACGTAGCATGCAACGTCCCATCCTCATCCTTCACAGGTAACTCGTCCTTGCAGGGCGTATAAGCACCGTCCGACTCCCAGTTGTTGTCGATCGGGTAAGCGACACTTGGTATCGGTATATCCGCCAGTTTATCCTTCTCTATCGGAAACTGTTCCTCTACCTCGTCGTCCGAGTAGCTCGGGCTCGTCTTTTCGTGCTGCTGATCCGACGAGATGTTCAGATCCTCGTTATCGTTATCGTCACTCAGCACTCTATCGTTATCGTATTTATCGCGATTCGTCTTGCCGTCAGGTCTATTGCTCAGCGAACGGTCATCGTCATCGCTGCTCGATTCCTGCTCCCGCGAGTCGTCGTGCAAGCTTGTCTCGCTTCGCGACCCACCATCGTTCGAGCGGTGACTCAAAACGACCTTGTTGCTCGTGTTGCCGTCATCAGCGTCCAAATTCTCCGGACTATGTTCTATATCCAACTCGCTACTGTCCGGCTTCCTCGGAGATAAAGACGTCGGCGACGATGACGACGATGATCCTGTCGCGTTCTCCACAATCGCGACATTCTTGTTCCTCATCGCTGATCGAGGTGGCGACGATGCTTCGTCTTCTTCTTCTTCCTCTTCTTCTTCTTCTTCTTTTTCTTGTTTGTTGCCTTCGGCCTCTTGCTTGTCGGCGGATAACGCGTCGGCACGTCCTGATTTCTCGCCTTCTTCCTTCGTAGCTTCCTCATCCGACGAACTCACCAAACATTCTTTACTCCCGCGCCGATCAGTCCTCGGCGATTCTCTCTTCTTTAAACCTGGCGCGATCTTCGCCACAGTGTTCCCATCTTCTTCGATCACGAATAGCGAATCCATCTTTACGGACTGATTCAAAATTATCGATGGTCTGCTGCCCGTGGATTCTCCTGCCAGTTTCGACGGGCCGACGACGCTCTTGTCTGCATTCTTATCCTGCGACTCGTCGTCCAGCGACGACGCCGCTTTCTTCGTGTCACGCTTCACAAATTGATCGTGGAAATGTTGCTTCGACCTGTCGACTTTCTGCGACGCTGCCTTGCTACCGGCCACGTCCGTCGACGTCAATTGATGATTCTGCGGGTTCACGCTCTGATCGTCATGCAAGCCGCTTAGTCTATTGTTGAGTCGCAGTTTGTTGCCGATCTTGAAGGTGATCTTACCGCGGTGCGAGTCGTGCGAGATCTTCTTGGGTGGTATTTTGCTCAAGATTTGTCGCTCCTTCTGCAGTGCCTCCAGATAGGGGTTGGCCGGCTCCGGCATATCGGGTAGGTCGCACGCCTGCACATCGCCCACGATAATGTCGTCGTCATCGGGCATGCTCGGTGGCAACGGTGGCGGCTGCAGAGGACCCAGCTGCTGCGACAGCTCTTGCTCTGTGTGTCTGGCCACGTCCATGGTTTGCGACGAGTAGACAGAGAAGTTCGGACAATCCGACTGCGATTCGTTATCGCCATCGTCATCGTCGTACGCGGTCAGACGGATGGAAGGTTCCTGCGGCCGTTCTCTGTTCTCAGACGCAGCACTTCCGGTGGGCATCGAGGGACCGCTCGTCGGTGTAGACATCATCGGCGGCGGCGCGATCGGCATAGGTATGTTACAACTGTCCATGTTATTCTGAGGCACCTCCGTCATTTTCTCAAGCAGCGTCTTCTCCGAGCTCGCAGCGTTGTTGTCATCGTTGCTGTCGCTGTCGGCTGCGAACGGGTCGTACTTGTCGCCGCTCGGCGTCAGATTCTTCGGTGTGTGATCCTCCTTGTGGCTGTCGTCAATCACCAGCTCCTGCTCGCTATCGTTATCCTTGTCGCTTCGCGAGTTCTCTTCGAAGTCCAGTAAACTAGACGGGGGCTCCGGTGGCGGTAGTAGAATCATCGCACCGTTGCCATGGTGCTGCTCCTCTTGGACGTCGGATTTGGACGGCGGCTCGATATCGCAATAAATATCGCAATCGTCATTATTCTCCTGTCTGGTGTCCATGGGCGCAGACACAGGCTCGGGTGGGATACACGAACTCGCGCGTTCACTACGTTCTGACTGATAATTCCGCGTTACATCCATTTCCGGTAAGCCAGCAGGTAGACTGTTGCGCACATGCGCCGACGCAGACGCCGACGCCGACGCCGACTGCGTACTCAGAGGATCCGCCGTTGGATTTGCAGGTGGTACGGACGGAGCAGAAGGAGGCGGCGGCGGTATTCCCAAAGGCGGTGGCAGTCTGGGCCTAGGAAAGCGCTGATCTTGAGCATGCGGAAAGGGCGGTCGCTCGAAACCGTCGCTCGTGTAATTGTTGAACGGCCGCTCAATCGGCGGCGGGAATCGCAATCGTTCGTTACGGAAGTGCTGAGGGTTGCGACTTCGAAAAGGAGGCGGCGGCGTACCGCTGAACATGGGCGGACCACCGCAGTGCTCGAAGCTCGGATTGTAAAACGGCGGCGGGCCGAAGTCGCGGTTGCCGAAGCTGTCCCTCGGTCCGGTATTGCCGCTGCCACTGCCATAGCCGTGTCTACCACCGCCCGGTGGCAAGGAATCCCGACCGCCTCCATAGCTTTGGCCGCCGTGATGACCATGACGACCGTTGTCGCGGTAGCCACCGCGGAAATTACCCCGATTCCCACCGCCGCACGGATTGTTGTACATCGGGGCTTGCGTGATATTGTTGGGATTCACGTTGGTCAGATCCAACGGCGTTTCGACCTCCTTCAGCAGCACTTCCTTGCGCTGCGTCACCACCTCCTCCTTCTCTTTCTTTGGACTTTCGTTATTGTTAACGCTGTGCTTGTTCTCCTTCTCAGGATTGTTCATTAGCAATGTGCCGTCGGCCATCAAGGTGATATTATTCTTCTTGGTAGAATGCCACAGCTCCTGGCTGTTAATTATACTATCTAGAATATTCGGCATACCCCTGTTTTCTGCTTCGTTCACTGAACTGGCGATTGTCTTTAGAACGGCACGACGTCTGATCGACGGTACAGCCGAGCGTCGTTGTACGTTCACGATCAACGGACCGCTTCCGATAGAGTATTCATCATCATCATCCTCCGACACCGGCGGGCTGTAGTCCAGCCCCAGATTGTCTCCGAAGAGACTGACTCGAGGTATACCGGCGTTGTATCTGGCAGTCTTGAGAGCGCTTTTCTCAGATATCGAGATATTATTCTTCATAGTAGGTACAAGCAACGGGACGTCTAACTTTGGCTTATTCATACCCAGTGCAGTGGCTAATCTCTTTTTTACCGTTCGCGTGTCGGCCAACACGGATGATACAGTGCGTGCATGTCGTTTGCTTTTTCTCCTCTGTAAAAACAATTTGTTCATTAGCACAAATGAAATATTGATGCGGTTTGTATATATAGTTCTTAATTTTCATTCATTATATATTCTACACATATTATATATGATTATATATTACACCAGTCAATCATATAAAATAGATACCAAAGCTAGCGGCATATGTAATAATGCAATAACAGCATCAAATGAAGAAAAAATATAAAATATAAATTAAATTTAAGATAAAACTTCATACACAAAAGGTATGTATTTCCCTTATGTTTTTCATTATAGAAGAATTGGTTTTATCATAGCACAATTTACAATGTATGTCTACAAAAATCACATAAAATATACAATATATGTAGTCAATATGGAACTAGCCAAAGAAATATATATGCAAAGCGTTATTATATAGATTAGATTAGACAGAGTAAGATCGACACGGCGAAGCATTCTTTATGAAAAGTTTGTCTTCTGGAGGGTCAATAGTAATAAAGGAAGTTTATAAGATTAGTAAAATGAGTGATTAGTAAAGTTTAGTTTAGAAAGATATTACTTTTATCCACAGGATAAGATTTTATATAAATTACTTATTTTGAAAGCAAGGTGACAAAAATTTCCATAGTCTAACTGCATAGTTCATATATCTTTTTAGGATAATGCCTCTTGTGTACAATTTAATTGTATTTTTATATATATATATATAACACATATATATACGTTACATACTTCAAAGAGCATTATATATAATAGTACACTCATTTTATTAACATACTTATAATGCATACTATTATGCTTGATATATCACACATAACTATAGTATATCACAAATGAATAAGAAATTTATATTATTATTTAGAAGTTATTTGCACACACAATTTTAATCTTAAAGTGCAATCGGCATTATTGATGTCTTTGAAATTTAGTGTATTAATATGATAAAGTATTCAAGTGAATTCAATCAAAATTAAGAAAAAAACCAAGTGCATCTAGTGACAAAATGGTTTTATTTATATAACTTAAGAACAATGAGGTACAATTAGAAAATTTAATTTAGTTTAGTTATATGTTATGAAGGTGGCATCAGTTTTATACATTAAGTTCAGCAGGGATCATCATCTATAATCTAGGAAGTCCAGAATGGTGAAGACAGTGATGAGATGCGGTAGCGTTGCCAGATCGTACATCCCAATTGAAGAAAAATCTTGTACGAATTATGGCAATAGCTTAGCACAGACCAGAAGTCTGGCAGAAATGTATTTGTTTATAGCTGCGATTAGGAAAATATCAAATAAAACATAATTTGTCACATGATAAAAAAATCGGTAGGTACATCACCGGATTTAAAACATATGTGCAGAAATACGTATCTGGCAATCACCACTTATGACAAGACAAATGTGTTGTGCCTGTGATATGAGCACGCACGCGCTCGCGCGCATGTCAAGCTATTCTACATTTGAGAAATTAACGATATACCTTGCGCGTTTTCTTTGTTCTTTTCTTACACTTCCTCCTCGATGTGGACGATGCTACTTTGACGTACGTCACAATCTCCTCCTCTTCGCCATTATCGTTGATCTCTCTAATTCTCACTTCTCGAACCACAGTACTGTTCTTTCTCGCTGAGCTCTTTGTCTCGCGTTTCTTTCTCTTTTTCTTTGTCGTTTTAGTCTTAGATGTTCTATTTGAGCGAGTGGACGAAGTATTGCGTCCGCACGCACGAAAATTAGCATTTGGAGAATGACTATTATCACCGATCGAATCGAGACCAGACGACGTAGACGGCTGATTCGGATCGATAAATCGGATATTTGTTATAGTGTTGCGCACAGTACGATTACGAATGTTAGCACGTACGCGTTCTGTATGGCGAGTGCGAGGTACAATTCTAGGAATCAACGCTCCGTTCTCTGGCGTTGTTCCGGTACGGCTACGACCGTACGATACACCAAGATGCCGTGCTTCCTCCATAAGATCTGAGATCTCATCCAAGTCAATTTCAATCTACAAATGTAAGATGAGAAAATTAGTATATCTTGTTTTACTTTTAATCTTGTCTTTACAAACTTTTTTCTTAATAGTGTTTCGTATATAAGAAACATTAAATATACATTAAAATAAATAAATAAATAACACATTTGATAAATATAAACACGTTCTTACATTTCGCAATTTTAAATTGTAGTTATTTCTTAAATTTCTTATTATTCTCATTTTTTTTTGTTTACTATAACTCAAGAAAGTTTGATATTTTATAAAAATATAAATTACAATAAATCTAAGTAAATGCAGACTTGAAAGAAATGAAATTGATTTTGAATACGAAAAAAATTTTGGAAAAGAAAAAAAGGAAAAAAAAAGAAAATCCAATGCAATCTGTGATTTATAGCAGTCAACAAAAGTACCTTAGTATAACATATAAGATTATTTATATCTAACATATGCCAAAGAACAAAATGTCAAAATTATATGAATGTACCGCTTCTGCATCATTTTGACTATTTTGAGAACATTCTGGACAAAACCATTCTTCCATGGGAACTTCAGTCATCGGAGGTGTTAGACATTCCAGATGGTAACCACAATCACAACCATCGCAAAGTAACATTCGATCTTCCCTGTCACTTAGGTGACATACTTCACAAAATGTTGGATCATCTTGCACTTGATCTTCAGGACGTGGCACAACTTCTACTGGCAAGTGTTTTATAACCTAATTGAGATAAAAAGAAACGTATTTTGAAACAGTAATGCATATTGATTTTATATTTATATATTGAATTACTTATTTTACTCCTCTGTAGAATATCCTTTAAACTTGATTAGACTATTTGTATCAATACTTTTAAATTATCATATACACATTATGTAATCTTAACAATTTCAAAATTAACATAACGTAAAATCAGCTCCCACATTACCTTGCCGCCAAGATGATTTCTAACGTGTATAATAGTAAAGATTTGGCGGTCCACAGGACAAGTATTAATATTCTTACTCCATTCCAGTAAACACTCTAAACAGAAGCAGTGTTCACAGGCAGATGGTGTACCAACTTGTTGTTTTCTAAATGGCAGTAGACATATGGGACACTTTTCTAATTGTCCATCACTATTATCAGAATCTATATCAACATTAGCCGGTGAAGATACAGATTTATCTGTCTTTTTCTTTGTTTTAGATAAAACTTTGCGTTTAGAATTATATTTAATGTCTTTATCAAACTCATCGGAACTAGTCCAGTCATTTTGCCATTCGGAAGATGTATCGCTGTTATTATCTGTAACATATTTATGTACAAAAATATGTATATATATATGATATATATGTATTGCATCAAATATAATACAAAACGAATATTTTAACACATCAATATGTATACTAACCAATCTGAGTGGATGCATTTGCCTCTGAGGAGCTACCATCATAACTAGATAAAACCTTGCGTTTAGTGTTATATCTTTTGGATTTCTTATGTACTTCGTCAGAACTAGACCAATCACTGTGCCATTCGGATGTATTGCTGTTTGTATTTGTATCTGTAATATATATATATATATACACACACACACACACACACACACACACACACACACACACAAGATTAGATACATTAAGCATATGTAAAACTTGGACTTTGATGTAACAATAGTAACGTCTGTATCCAAAATTTATGGTTTTTAAGTATACAAATAAAAAATTAAAAGCAACAAATATAGTGCTATTTTTAATTTGTACAATTGTTTCGTTTTAATTTAAATTTTTTCTCTTATGAAATTGTGAAGATAAAAAATAAAAAATTCATAATTTTCTAAAAATCAATCAATACTAACCAATTTGAGTGGATTTATTTGCTTCTGATGCACTACTATCATATTTAGATTCATCCTCACTAATAACTCTCTGCAATAAAACACAATGTTAGTGAGTAAGGCTTATCGATAAGTTAAAATTATTTAATGAAAGTACATTTTAGTCATACTTACATATTTTTTTTGTCGTCTAATCACAGGTTTAGGTACATCACTATCATCACTACTTTCCTCCTCACTAACAACTCTCTGAAATCATCATAAATAAAATATTTTAATCAAAAGTAAAATATTTAATCGCAAGTAAAATATTTTAATAAAAAAAATATCTCACATATACATACACACACATGTGCATATATATGTATATATGTATATAAGATCTCTGCATACATGTATCTTTTTTCTCCTTCGAGTTTGTACAATGATAGACTCATCACTGTTGTCACTGTCAGTTATGATGAGTTTTTTACGCTTGTTTACTGGATAAGTATGATCACTATCACTTGACATCTTAATGTTTGCTTAAACATATATCCACTGCATTCTTCTTATAAATCTGCAAGCAAGATTGTTAAATTCTATCATCCATAAATATTTATTCGTACACATACATTTTACACTCATATATATTCCACATCATGCTGATAACCATTTATCATTTGTAACCATTATCATTTGTACAATTATAATTAACCACATTATCTAAATAGTGTTAAACAATTTCTTAATATGACAAACTATCATCAGGATAACCAGTACAGCATTAGGATCTCTGAATAGAATAAAAATTTCTTTGAAATTATTAGCATTTAAATTATTTAATATTTTATACAGTTTGCGTTAGATATATCCTATATTATCATAAGTGGATGACAAATTACTTGCTACTGTGTGACCAACTATCCGTCCGTGGCTAATATTCTCGTGCCCCAACTAGAGCCTTCAGATGGACGGCGTTACGAATTATCCTTTGAAAAGCAGTGATCAAAAATGTTTTTGACCTGATACTGTTTGGCCGTCCAGAAGTCAGAATAAATGATATTGGAAAGCGGCAAGCCCGCGATGATTCCGCCGTGCACCTCGATGTTGCACGTTTCTCGAGATCTCACGAGACGGTGCGGACGTCGGACGTGGTCTCGAGTCTCCGATCGTTCAAAGCGCTTCAGCAACCAAGCTGCCTGTGTTCCGTGATCTGCGTGAGCGAATTTACGTTCAGCACAATCACACAAATTATACACGAAGCACCAGTTGACGCTTGTCGATCGTCGTCCCGCTCACTTTCTCTTTCTCTCTCTCTCCCTCTTTCTCGACATTCGTTCCTTGATTCTCGCGCTGTCGTCGTCGCGCATTCGAGTCGCAACGCACGAGTTGGTTACAAGCGTACAGGACACAAGCGTCAACAACGCCGTGATCTCGGCCGATCTCGCGATCTTTCAGACAAAGAATCAACACGTGCTGCGCACTGCAAGAATATTTCGCGATTTCTCTGTTGACACCCCCCGGAAGATATACGCGTTCTATCGCCGGACTGCGGACATCTTGGATCGTGGACGCCGTGTTTCGTGCCGCCGAGGCGACATTGCGCTATTTCCCGTTTCACTGACGCAGCCGATCGCAACGCCGCCACTATCGCCGAAAATTTCTGCTTGCATTCGCAAAATTCCAATTTCGCGAAATTGCAGTGCGAACAGGCAGCAGCGTGGCACGCTGGCGTTTCGCAAACCGCATCAACCGCGTGTAAAAACAATACGGATAACTCACGTCGCGTGTAGGGTTAAGCGACCGGAAGTGAACGTTTGGTAGCCGGGAGATTTAAATGCAAGTAGCGCGAAAGTGCAGCTTGCATGGCACTGCAACTTGCATGGCGCTTCGGAATGTTTCGGTAGGTCTGTTTCTATTGGTGCAAGATGCTTTCCAATAAAGAACACAGGATAGTTTCATTGGCTATATACCATCGTAAGATAATAAATCATCTGATAAAACGACTTTGTGCTTTCTGCTGGAAAGCACCCTGAATCAGGAACAAAAAGAACGCATGGACTATTTTTTTGAACGAGTTCCATAGATATTCATATTCAACAGGAGGATTTGTTTTTTAGTGATTCTTAGAAATATTCACGAATATACATCTTTTCGTGATATTTGTAGCGTCGAATGGATTTTGCCTCGGGATTACCAAGGCCCAGTTCAACAAATTCGAGTTTAAAGTTTAGCCAAACGGCTGTTACATTTAAATGACTTTGCAGGATTTCAACTGAAACTTCTGAAGAAATTAAAAGTGAGGAACAAAGCAGCAACTTTAGTTCCTGCAAGGATATCCTGTAAAGTTACCGAGATAGATAATTAAATATAACTTGGTAAAAGCCATCACACACACCTTTCCGCAGGACATAACAGATAAAGATTTCAATTTAATCGCGTTGCTCGTTTCGTAGTAGAGTAGTTATGAATACGGGCGGCCGAATCGAGCAACGCGATTGGTCGAAACTTTACTGTTATGTCTTACGGGAAGTGTATGTTAAGCCAGCGGCACACGGTGCTTGTTTTCGTGCTGGATTGCTTGCTAGATGAAAATACTGCGTTGTGATTGGAATATTTTCGAAGATGGATGAAAATGTACCAATCAGAACGCAGTATTTTCATCCAGCAAGCAATCCAGCACGAAAACAAGCATCGTGTGCCACTGGCTTAAAAGGCCTTTGCACGTAGAAAATCTGTAAAGGCTCGTCTACAATAGCTGTAAGAGTAAGGCTGTAAGGCTGTAACGTAAGCTGTCAGCGAATGAAAATATTTCATTTCGTGTCTTGCAACCTTACAGCCTTAAGCTAAGACTCCATGCATGCGGTGAGCTGCGGCAAACGGTTGCGGTGACCAATCAGGAGACAGACGCATGCCGGAGCTTGCCGCAACCGGACTTGCGCCTCCCTCCTGATTGGTCACCGCAACCGTTTGCCGCAGTTCACCGCATGCATGGAGTCTTAGCTTTAGCGTTATGTCACTGCGCATGCGGAGAATTTGTTTGCGATCTTTTTACGCTCATCTAGCGTCTCTGTCACTACGGCGTTAGTGATCCTCTTCTTTTTTTTTTTCTCTTTTGTGTGGTTACACGTTGCTATCGGCGAAAATTTGTAAAGATGGGTCGTATGCATTCGCATGGGTAATGATATTATATGTTAAGATTGCCCATGTTTGCAATCAATTTTTGCAGAGCGTAGTTTGGAATTTTTATATATTACATGATTCTAATATAACTCGATCAACTGTTGAGACATTTCGATGACGGACAAACTTGATAACCAAGTATATGTTGAATTGTCAACTTTTTCTGTGTTTACAATCCTTTATTTTGCGATTTAACAATCCCGTTGCACGTAATCGCCCAATATCTTAGCAGTTCGATTTCGAAGTAACGAAAATCGTCAAAGTAAACCAAAGTACGCCACTGTTTGGATACATAACCTTATATACTTGGTATAATGATTGTATCTTGCACAAGAATGTCATTTATTATGATATATGTTCCACAAATTTGCTACAACTTAAAAGTTTTTTTTAAATTTGAATTAAATTTAATCAAGACATGGTGATACATAGTGATATTAGTTAAATTTTATTATTTAATTACATATTTCAGAAAAAAAAAACATTTGTTAATAAAGTTTCTCAATTTGATAAGTTGAAAACAATTATTTGACAAAATATTATTTCTTTAGAAAGGGTATATCCCAATCTGCACTTCCATATCGACGAAGTGTGCCAACTTGGTTGAAATTGACACCAGAAGATTGTAAGGAACTTATTTATAAACTTGCGAAAAAAGGACATACACCATCCCAAATTGGTAATTATTAATAATATATTATGTTATTATAATATTATGTTTCTTAGTAAACTTATGTTGTATTATATTGTTATAAGGATATATATATTAACTTTGATTAAGTTAATATAGGGATGTTAACATTAGCTGAAATATACAAAAAATATTTCTTATAAAGATAAGAATATATGGTAATACTTTTGTAACAAAATATTGGCATAATTATAATTTAGTGATATTTGATATGGATACGATAGGTTGTCATATATGTTGTTATATTATCAATGTATTACAAATTATTGATAAGTTGGAAATTTTAATGGATATTGTATATTTACAGGTATCATTCTTCGTGACTCCCATGGAGTGGCACAAGTAAGATTCCGCACAGGGAATAAAATCTTACGTATTGTTAAGAGCATGGGCTTGGCTCCTGATTTGCCAGAAGACCTCTACTACTTGATCAAAAAAGCTGTGGCTGTCCGTAAACATCTGGAACGGAACCGTAAAGACAAGGACAGCAAATTTCGATTAATTCTTGTAGAATCAAGAATCCATAGGCTAGCCCGATATTATAAGACAAAAGGGTCACTGCCACCAAATTGGAAATATGAGAGCTCAACAGCTAGTGCCCTTGTAGCCTAAGCTGTTTCATTGTATCTGTATATACTACAATAAATTTCCAAAACTAGTTTATTTTGTATACAGTAACATTAATATTAAGACTAAACTACAAACGTAGCGAATATAGATAGGAGATGTAATTTAACAAGTAGTATTAAGGTAATTGATAGAACTTTTTATTATTATTGTCATTGATTCTTTTTCTTGTCAAAAATAACTTCTTAACGCCATTTTCTTCTGAGTCTCGTGTCAAATTTATTCCAGAATTGCTGTACCCTACTGTGTCGGTGCAGGAATGCTCGTCGTATCAAAAATTCGCTAACGCACCGCGCATGCCAAAGATTATACGGCGCAGCGACGATACGTATGCGTATGCGCAGATATGCATATACGTGACTCGAGAAGGTGGAACCAACATGGATGGAGAAGTAAAGGTCGACGGGGCTGGAAAAAAGGGAGGTTTGGAAATGAAAGTATATAAAGATCTGTGAAGATCAATATCGATATTAGAATCTCTTGCACCATATCATACGCCAGAGATGCCAAATCATTGCCTATATATATGTTGTGAAATGTGTAACAATGGGGGCCCCATTCAAAAAGACTTTCTAAGAAAGAGAAAGACAAGGAAAGAGTGAGTGAGAGTGAGAGAGAGAGAGAGAGAGAGAAGAGAGAGGGAAGGAGAGAGGCAAGGCGAGGTCATGACAGAAGACATCAAGAGACAGTTCAGTGGCCCTCCTCCTCCTCCTCCTCCTTCTTTTCCACCTTCTCTCTCTCTCTCTCTCTCTCTCTCTCTCTCTCTCTCTCTCCCCCTCCCTTCCTCTTCGGCCGCAACTTAGCAAAGGCCACCAGCTCCTTGTCCTATTTTTGACGTCACCAGTGAAGGTAGGCAGGCAGATAAGCAGGGGTATCGGCGCATGCGCGCGCGCGCGCGGGCGCGAATCGCCAAAATGGTGAACGTCTTGGTGGCTCTCATTCGCGGCGCGAAGCGAGGCCTATCTGCGGCGGTTCAAAACGGTGGCGGCGGAGCGAACGGTGAACGGTGGTTATTGCACGTCGCGAAGGAGGTTCGAGCGTGCACGGCCGAATAAAGGCGCGCAACGCGCATTTTATAACGAGACACCCCGTACTCGCCGCTCGTTCACCACACACGCGTTTTCCTCTTTTCCCCCTTCCTCGGCGCTTCGAACCGCGCCGCGCCGCGCCGCGCTGCGCCGATCCGATCCGAGCCGTTCGTTTTGCCCGCTAGCGAGTCGCGGGCGCGTAGTTCGTAAGTGCGCGTAGACCTCGTCGTGTCACGCGGAGAATTCGTGTCGTGGACCGCTTGCACAAACTTGCGCGAAAGGGAAAGAGGGTCTACGGGATCGCTCGCACGTTCACCAGGGATCTTTGTTACAGCGGTCGCCGATGATAGTGTCCATAGTGTCGTCGCGAATACCCTCGACGAACTGCCCGCCGCGAAGAGACGCGGAGGAGCGAGCCAACAAGTGCGACTTTCGCCGATTATGGATAGGAGAGAGCGCGTTTACGAGCGCGTCGAGTGCCCTCAAGCCAGTCTGTGAAGCATATTGAAGGCGGCGTAGGCGATCAAACCGCCGTTGTGTTCGCGCAAGCCGGACGCTGTCAGCCGAGAGAGGTACGTAGAGAAACCCGCGGGATCGCGTCCAGGAGCGCGACATATGGAGAACGCGCGATGCGAACGAGGAAAAGGGAGAGAGAGGAAGCGGGGTTCCGGACGGAGATCCGGGAGGGGGGAGCGGGGTCCGCTCAGCGACGACCTCGCTGAGCTTGTGCGCGCGGGGAGAAGTCGCGAGGGCTCGGTATGTACGAGAAGAGCGACTCGCGGTGTTCCCGGATCGGAGTCGTGTTAAGAAAGCGACAGATTGACCGTTAGACTACACACAGCTACCTGTCACGTGAATATAAACAAAGTATGCCGCCCGTGTGAGACGCCTAGATCCAGATGTATTTGATAGAAAGTGCCGTTTTGACGACACTAACGGTGAACGTCGACGACGTCGTCGAGTTCACCGACAAACGCGCGCGACATTTACTTATGTTACAATACATTCCTAGGTCGCGCGCGAGGAAGGAGAACGATCGGCCGAACGAGCGAGTGAGCGGGTGAGCGAACGATGTGAAAGTTCTGCTCGCGTGCGCCGCCCGAATGACGATACAGTTCGCGATCAGCTTCGCAAAGTTGCAAAGCCGAGATCGAAAGAATCCTCTCTCCCTTGATTTCTCTCTTCTCTCTCTCTCTCTCTCTCTCTCTCTCCCTCTCTCTCCTCTCCTCTCTCTCTCTCTCTCTCTCTCTCTCTCTCTCTCTTTCTCTCTCTCTCTCTCTCTCTCTCTCTCTCTCTCTCTCTTGTTGCAGCAACACGTATATCGAAGCTTCCACCGACCGTCTTACACGTCCTGTGTAACATCGTCAATCACTCCGACGGTCATCGCGAGAGCCTCCTCTCGCTGATGATCCATTACGCGTGGCAAGCTTGCGCGCGGCCGGGAAAGCGGCTCCGTTGACTTTTCACGAAGCGAGCGAGCGCGCATGCCAAGCGGAATTTCTGCCAGTCGTATCGTATGAGAGCGTATCGTTTCGCGGACGACTGATGCGATGTCGTAACATTTCCCTTCCTCTCGCCCCTCTCCTCTTGCGCGCTCGCGCTTACTTGCTCCCCTTTTCTCCTAAGGTAACTGTGTGGTACACACGAGGGGCGACGGCGTCGGAGGAAGGAGTCCAGAGGCGAATTCATACGTTCAATATTGTTGGGTTGAACCTCGCTCGATGACAGCGGAGTATCAACTTCTGATAGGATCTCGAGGAGCTGAACGACGTAATGTTGCAAATGTTGACACCTCAGGGAGCCTCGAAACTCTGTACGGTATAGACGTGCTTCTGTCTGGCGACAAGATACAGGACGAGAGTTACAATTGGACAGTATTCGTGTATCCTGCTTAGAGGCTGGAACACGCGCTTCACGCTCGGCAGTTACGCACTGCTGTTATTGCTGCTGCTGCTGCTGCTGCTGGATGTTTACCCCGTGCGGACAGATGGACAGATAGTATGTCTACAATTTCTTTTCTCGTTCAGCCCCGTTTATCTATATAGGCCAAGGAAAGAACGCGCTGTTCGCGCTCGTTTCGACATCGCCGATTCGGAAGCGGAGGCAACCGCAATCGCTCCCGTTTCTTCTTTCCTTCTTTTTTTTTTTGCATCGACCGGGAACGATTTGATAGCGCAATAATTAACGTCGTCTAATCTTAGTCGATCGCGAGTCTGCTTTCCAATATCCGAGCGGAATCGATTTTCTTTCCGTAATTGGTAGGAGTGCGAAATACTTGAACACTCACGTCGTTTCTTCAAGTATATATCGAATAGAAGAAGTGATTTGATTTTCTCGATTTTCACCCCCCGTAACATGAACTAATAATGAGTTCAATTGCCGCAGATAATCGAGAGGAAGAAAGAGACCGAGTTCACCGAGGCTTCGAAAGTATCGTTTGTGCGAATTACGGCAGACAGCTCGTGTCATCGTTCGTATTAACATCGACATTCGGCATGTGAAGCACGGCTCGCTACGGATGACTCAAGGGTTTTCCCCGAGAGAGAATCCTGCAGGAAGGTAGTCGCGGATGGTCTCTCTCACTGGCTAAACGAGTTTCGCTACGCGACAAGGAGTAACGATCTTTCTTTTCTCATCGGCGATTCCGAGATGTTCGTGTCGCTACGTAAATTAAGCGACGTGTATTGAATTCTGCCGACAATATAGCATGTAACCCAAGTACCGCGGATTTATGGCGCGCGATAATCGTAAAGAGGTATAATCGTCGCGCGGATCGCGATAATTGCGATTTACCGTCCCTCGCTCGCTTCGCTCGATTCTACGCTCGCTTAATTGTACCCCGTGCTTTTTTCACGACGCTTTAACTGCACCGTAGGTGTATTTCGCGCGGCCCTGCCGGGGTTGTCGCCAAAGGGTGTGTGCGTAAATGCCCGTCGCTGCGCGGCCGGGTATAACCAGTTTCCTTCCACTGCTTGAAATCTCGCTGTTGCACTCATCGAAGTCGCCTGGCGAGTCGACTGGGAGGCGAGGGAGAGAGTGAGAGAGTGTGAGAGAGAGAGAGAGAGAGAGAGAGAGAGAAAGAGAGAGAGAGAGAAGGAGAGGGGAGGATAGCACGAGAAAGGCAGTGAGCGAATGTGCGAGCGAGGAGGAGTAGGTGGTGGATGGTAGAATGGCGGATGAAAGGAAGAAACGAATGAGTAGGAGAAGGAGAAATGTGGACAGAAATAATCGGAGGAAATTAAAGGATGAAGAGGTAGATTGGCGAGACGAAGATTTGGTAAGAGCGATCGACGAAGGCGAGAAACGGAAAGGGAGGAAAAAGACGTACGTATTTCGATAGAAAGAAGAAAAAAGTACCAGAGCGTTAAACGTCATATATATATATATATATATATATATAGATATATATATATATATATATATAGATGTTGGAATGTAGTTGTGATAAACTATAATTAAATATTGACAGATGTACGAAGACAGTACGAAGAAGCTAAACGTGAGGATACACAACCGTAAGGAACCAAAAGAGAGACATGTTCGCGGGATTATGTACTCTTGAGGGAGCATTTTCAAGAGCGAGAGAGGCAACTCCAAAATAATAAGTAGAAAGTAAATAGAAGAGAGATGCAGAGATTGATGCAGAAAAAGAGAGAGAGAGAGATCTCACGGGACAGGCATGTGCATTCGCGATAGTTTGCAACAAAGACGAACAAGTATGTGAAGACAGAAGCTGAGAAATGAAGAGAATTGCGAGAAAACAAGAGAGGGAGTGAGAGCCCGATAATATCCGTCGAAGAACGGATAAGCGAGAGAGAGAGAGAGAGAGAGAGAGAGAGAGAGAGAGAGAGAGAGAGAGAGAGAGGGCAAAAAGGAGAGAAAGAGCGTGCGAATGGTCGCATATCGCGCATGGTTCGAGTGTGCATCCACCGTATGTGTGTGTGTGTGTGTGTGTGTGTGTGTGTGTGTGTGTGTGTGTGTGTGTGTGTGGAGTGTGCGAATACACGTACTTGTTCATACACACGCGAACCCAACGAGAGTGAGCTACACCGTTGGTTTCCCGAGGTGGGGGTCTCGGTACCGTGTACTCGTCAGTCCGTGCTAGACGCCGTTGGTCGTGTACGACAGCCTTCGCATTCTTCGGAGAAGTGAAAGCAGTTTCAGGGAAATTCTGGCTTGACAGGCGTCTGTCTACTCGTTCGTCCGTCCATCCGTCCGTCCGTGCGCCTACCCATTCATTCTTTCGTTCATTCGTTCGTTCGTCCTTTCATTTATTCGTTCATTCGTTTATTCGTTCATACTCGGCCACGGGCAAATAATGTTTCTCTCGCTAGCGTGTCACGAATGTTTCTCAACGCACCCGTGCACACAATTTCGCGATCGAGCAGGATCGATCTCTCTCCCTCTCTCTCTCTCTCTCTCTCTCTCTCTCTCTCTCTCTCTCTCTCTCTCTCTCTCTCTCTCTCTCTCTCTCTCTCTCTCTCTTTCCCTCCCCCTCCCTCCCTCCCCCTTTTTCTTTTCCCTCTTTTTGATCGGCACGCGATCTCACCGCGTTACGAAATCGTTGTAATTGCCGTAATCTCGCCCTAAGGCGAGAGACACGTATATATGCATGCGCGAAACAGATGGCGAGCTCGTACGCAATTCTGTACCCTGCGGTGAGATAATGGCCAAGCGCCATGAGGCACCTACTACGTGGAGAACGTTGCGAAATCATCGGAGGAGAATAGAGAAGTGCTCGTGAGTCAGATTTCGTGGGTTTTATTCTCCCCCCGGGAATATCTCGGATTCTTTCTTCCACATTGGGAGGGGAGGAGGGAGAGCGCTCTCTTTCGTAAACGAACTTGGTTCGTCAGCGGAGGGAGAAGGAACGTCCGATGGTTACGTTTGATGTTGCATCATTACGTTAATTATTTCTTCTTATCTTTGGTATTGTCGTTGGAGAAAAAAAGAGAATTATCTCGGGTAAATTCTGGCGTTCTTCTTTCGCGCAGACTGCGACGCTCATCTCCTCTCCCTGAACTCACTTTTGCACCTGAGACGCGTACGGCAAGTACGCAACGCGAAACACACCTCCGCAACACGACGACTTCGTCTCGCCGCAAGGAGAGTCCGGGGCATTTTTGTCAGCTCCGTCACGCGTCTTTCCGAGCTCCGATGAAACGCCGTCGGTCGCCTTGAAGTGCGAAATTCCACAAGGTCCGAGGCAGGTGACAGGCGTTCGATTTCCGACACGGCGCGACGTCATGGCGGCGCGATTTCGGGAATCTAAGCCCCGGACGAGACTGCTGTTGCGTGCCGTAACTGCTTAAACGATATTACGGTACCGGACGAGCCATACGGGGCGCGTCGCGCGTTTGTCGTTTCAGAGCGCGTCGGAAGCGGTACGATACGGTTACAATAAATAGCGGTACAGCATGTATCGACTTATACATCGAAGAGTAACGCGACAAAACGAGGCGAGGTAAGGCGTATGCAAGTCACCACCGCGCCGGTGTGTACAGCTGTTCCGAATACCACGGTTGAGTAATCCACGGTATTTAGGCGTGCACGCGCGCGGAAGAGTTATTCCTTGCGTATTTACTATTATTATTCCTGGCGAGGAGAAAGAGCGAAACGTGTCTTCGCGCGAGAAAATGGAAAAGCGAGTCACAGTTTCCGCGCGTAAGTGTTACACGCCGTCGACGGATTTCTCGACAGCGCGGCGCAGCGTCGCCGATTATTATTTTTTTGTTGTTTTCCTTCCTTCCTTCGTTGATATGCGGCCATAAATAAAAGATTTTGCGAAAAAGTAGTCGTGAAAGCCGCCGGCTCGAACCGTGGACTAGGTGGAGCCTGGCCGATACGTGTTTAATGACAACACTTTCACGATGCTCGAAGAACTCGCGTAGTAAATGAAGCGAGCGCTCCACCTGCGCACCTTACCGCTCCATCGAATCTTATTTGTCCGCTTTCGCGGAATTCTTCGCTTAGAAATGACACACGTCTCGCTCTATTTGACAACTTTTACTTTTCTCTTTTATATTCCTTCTCTCTTCTTCTTACTTTTTCATTTGTCACTACGATGAGGCTAGAGACTAGATGAGCGGCACGGATTTCGGAATTGTCAGAGTTAATCTGAGGAAACAATAATTCAATCCCCGAGATATGAAAAACACCAACAGTTTCCATCTTTTCAGACATCGCGAAGCGATTTCTACGAGAGGGTCGGTCGCCAATAATCACAGTCGTGAGAAACGCGCGATGATTTTTGCGAGAGCAACCTGTTAAACCGTACAACCGAGGCCTAGCGCGAGAGGCAGAAGAAGGCTAGAGAAGTTAGCAAAATTGTGCTTGCACGATTCCTCGAGTGTGAAGATCAGCTGAAATGACGTCACGTCACCAAGCCGGATTTAAGTTCCGCCCACCGTGCGTGCGGATGCGTGCATATGTGCGTGCCGTGAATTATACGTTATACGCAGCCACGTGTGCAGCCACGTAGCACGGTCCGTAAATCGTGGCGACCATTCTTTTCCTCACCCTCGCCCACCCTCCGGCCGCCGGCCGAAGTGCCTCGCGTCTTATCTATAATGCATCGGGGGAGAATGAGCCGTATGTTTGATAACAACTTCGATATCAACGTCGGATTTCAAGTGCGCCTGAGAGCGTGGGAGCGTATTTTTCATCTCTCGGCTTCGCCTCGCTCGTGCTCGCGTACGAAAAAACGTCCGCTCCACCACACACGAGACACGGGGGTCACGGGGGAGGGGGACTTTCAGTATCCGTGCGCGGTACACCGTCGTGACCATTGTATCTTCGGATTGTGCCGCCGCACCGTGACGCTCATTATGCGCGTAATAGCGCGTGTTCGTTTACCCAACAAATGTAGAGAGGGCGATGTAGAGAGGGGAATGGCAAAAGATATAAATATTCGCGGCTCATATTGAATAAGATCTCTCGCGTTGGACGATGAAATAAAAGAGAGAGTCTTTCTTCGCGTTTGCTTTCAGATTGAGCATAGAGTCACAAAATGGTATCGAGACGGAAGATACTCTCGCGCTCGCGAGACAACCTCGTAGAATCGCAGTATGAGGAACAAGAGGAGGAAGATATATGGTATAATTTGGATAAATTATACAAGGTAATTTCGGTTGCGGTTATTCTCGATTCTCGATTCTTTAGGATGGATGATACGACAATCGGTCGTGCTCCTGAATGACAGCAACGTGATATATACTGGTGGGACGTTGTGCTTGTAGGATCACATACAAGAAGTCTTAGATAAATGGAATCAAATAGATGACGAAATATGGGCGAAAGTTATCGTGTTCGAGAGGAACAGACGGGTTGCGAAAGCTTATGCCAGGGCACCTGTTCTCACAATAAACGGTTCAAACGACGGATTTGACGGATTCAGGTATATAATGCGAATTCATAAAATAGAAGAATCTACCTAGCGTCATACATTTATTGTCATTATAATATTATAAGAATTTGGTACCGCTTTGGGTATCCCTCAGTTTACACCTCCTCCCTCATTTATCGCCGCAATTTATTCCTCTATTTGAAATATTTCTCTCTCCTTATGCGAAATGTAGAATAGGACTTTGTGGATTTGACAATCCTATGAGAGATCCGAAAACGGAAGAAGCCAAACGTCACATAAATCAAGGAGTTAAAATTAAAATGGACGAACAAGGCAACATACTGATCAAGAGATTGTGCAAGAACAACGTGTACGTCAAGTCCACAAATCAGGAGGACAACGCGATCGGTCCAGAAATCATACGTAATTCGCAAGGTGCGCTCGAACATGAAAAACCAGGCAAGGTAAGACTACGTTCCGTATGTCTAATAAAAGTCCTTTCAATTAGAAATTAAAAAAAAAAAAGAAAAAGCGAGTTTTCCTAATCGTTTTTTGTGTAGGCGCGAAAGATCAGGTGTTGGTTTTATCACGAAACTCGCGAGGATGCATGCTGATAGAGAAACCGCCTTTCTAATTAAAACTTTACCTCGAACAACCGAACCATATAATAAGAGGCGTTTAAATCTCGTTATCGTCAGGAAATCATATACCACGCTCTTATGAAAGGAGAGCGAAAAGTTCCGCTCTTTAACACGAACCAAAGTACATACATACATAGTCGTTCTTCCGCGATAGACCAGAAATCCTAGTTTTCGTTTTTTGTTCTTAATTTGTCGCTCTTAATTTTTTCGCTCTGAATTTTGTTTTTAATACTGCATAACGTTCACGAACGTGTCGTGTTTGAAACGGACGTTTCAGTTATTCGATATGAATAAATTTCAAACAAATCTGTCACGAGAAACACGGAGGGCTTACCCGGACAGACGAAGATTGGAAATGCAATGTCTCAGCGCTATTATATTCGTAAGAATGGAAGCCGATTTGCTTCAGTGTCCCGTGTGGGTACTTATCGTCAATGTTGTCGGTTTGGACATGCTCAAGTCAAAGCTGCCACCAGGTATGTTGAGACGAACCGTATAACGTCAAATATTCTATGAAATTTGTATGTACGGAATACTCTTGTGATACACTTGTGTCTTAAATAATCTGTTTATATCTGTTAATATATTTGTTTCTTTTTTTCTTTTTTTTTTTTTTAGTTTTAGCATTACAAAGGCCGGTTGATATAAAAAATAGACCTAGAATACCAATTCCTGACGAAGATCCTTATAGCGTGGCAGGCGTGTCGTCGTCCGTAGGAGGTCCTAGCGAAATAATACCAGGGGACAGAGACTCTCGAGAACAAATCTACATGCAGTCGACGAGTTACCAACATCGACGTACAGAGAGACCGCCGAAACTGCCTCCTAGAGAGAATCTCTACGGCCACGGCATCCCTAAGGTAAATTAAAAAATTAAAAATATGTTCGATATTTATATCGCAAAGAAACAACACGTAACATTCTTATGTTCGCTTGACTATTTCAGCCTGATTATGATGATATAGAAGATGACTACACCAGAGCGATGAAGCATCCTATAATGAACGATGAGAAACGAAGTAAACACGACGACAGAAAGAAATACGGTAAGAAATAATCTATTTGTCATTGATGCGTTTTGTGTAATATTTGTGTTTGTAATATAGAATTTTATTGATATGAAATAATATTTATTTTTCCTACAATTATCCCCATCTTGATTTATAATAATTCCTTTTTATATATTTTTATATAACAGTCAATAATTGACTAATACATATACATATATATTAAATTGATTGTGTTTTTCAGATGACCCATACTATTGTGGTTTACGAGCGCGTGTGCCTAATTTCGTAAAAATGGCGAGGAACGGTCAAAGCAAATTGGGCCCTCCTCCTCCTCGAGGACATGTCAGGACACAACCTGCACCATCTTATGCAGGTGCTGCATACGCTAGTAGTCAATCTTCTCAAATATATGGTCATCTGCCCGCCCATCGACCGCCCATTATGTACCATGCTAGAAGTTTCGAGAGCGGACTTGGTGAGTAAGAAGAACTATCTGGTAATCATTTTCTACTGTAGAAAATATAGCTTTTAGAAAGTATTACATTATGTGTGTGTGATTGCATGTGATATATGTTAAATATACATATCGCATTTGACATACTGAATAGCTGTAAACCCACGTTTATTAGCAATAATTGTTACTACACTTTCAGATTCGGACAATAGGAACGAGTCACCGTATAACCACATATACGGAAGGTTACCGATCCCGACGAGAGGCGTAATACCTCCGACTCCGCGTGCTATGTATATTGGAGAGTGGGACTAGATAATAAGAAATATCTCGGCGTTTGTACCTATAAACTGTATATTGTTAATATACTACATAAATACTCATATTTTTATGCTAGCACTCGTGTGCTTATTGTTTCATCCCTGTAAATGAAAGTGACAATTATACATGATAAGCTTGCAAAAAGAAAGATCAATTACTTGGACTTAGTGATTCTAGATCGAAAGTTCATATTCCTCACTCTCTTTTTTTCTTTATCCTGAGATATTTCCAAAAATGATCTTTATAATCTAATATCACAGTCTTTCGTTTTTTAATCTCTATCATGAAATAAAACAGTATTAAGCCAGCAGCACACGATGCTTGTTTTCGTGCTGGATTGCTTGCTAGATGAAAATACTGTGTTCTGATTGGTACGTTTCCGAAGATGAATGGAAATACACTAATCAGAACGCAGTATTTTCATCCAGCAAGCAATCCAGCACGAAAACAAGCACCGTGTGTCGCTGGCTTTACTGTAATTAACTTTAGCGGAAACATGAATCCTGAAATGGCAGGTCAGATCACAGGGAACTACATTCCCGCTCGTGTTTAGTTCTGACTCAAACACGCAGGATGGTTTGAGTCTTTACTGAAATACACGAAATCCATTCTCTTTAGCTTCATTTAGCTGAATTTTTTTATATTTTTCGTTCATTCTCTAAATTTTGCTTCTTTTCTTTGATGCTTCTTATTTGAGTTACATATTAATAATTTCATTTCAAGTTGAGAGAAACGATGCGGCACGGTGTAGTTAAAGGGATCCTGGAGCCGTCTGTTTTACCGACACATTGATTTCAATCTTTTTACTATACCAATCTTTTTATTAACTGCACAGATTGAAAAATCCTTTTGCACAACGAAAGTACTTGTAAAAACAAAGTCTGGAACGAAGAGTTTTATGTAAAATTCAATGAAATATTAGAAAAATTACAATTTCGTTATCATGTTCCGCGTCAGCTCTTTACTTATTAATTATAACAGTTCTGCAGTTTATCCGTGCAAAAGCTTTTGCTTTCAGACGAGCCATAATATGAAAGAATAATATTAAAGTAACAGAAATGAGCTTAGAAATCAGTGTAAAAAGATTAGTGTTTGAAAAAAAATATATTGGATGCAGATTGTGTTTGCACTTTGGGGTAAAACAGAACGGTAGCTTAGTAATCCGCATTATCGTGATCGATGGAGCTGCAAGCAGACACAATCATACTATCCTTGTCTGTTTCATGCATAGAGTAAAGCCGGCGGCACACGGTGCTTGTTTTCGTGCTGGATTGCTTGCTGGATGAAAATACTGCGTTCTGATTGGTACTTTTCCGAAGATGGATGGAAATGCACCAATCAGAACGCAATATTTTCATCCAGCAAGCAATCCAGCACGAAAACAAGCACCGTGTGCCGCTGGCTTAATATTATATGACAATGAAACTGTAGTTGTTAAGTTTTTTCGAATTTTACATAAAACTCTGCTTTCCAGACTTCATTATTATAAGTACTTTCATTGTGCAAAGAATTTTGCAATCTGTGCAGCTAATAAAAAGATTAGTGGTTGAAACTCTCTCGTATCTTTGTTCCCTCGATCGTACGCTCATTAAGCTGCGTTCACAATCGGAGTCGGAAGACATCGTCGTCGTATGTCGCACATATGTCGTACGTACCAATCGCAACCTCACAACTGACAACCGACATGTAAAAATTAAGATTGCGTGCATGTGTACGACACACACACACACACACACACACACACATATATATATAATATATCGTATAATATATTTTATAATATATCACATATTTATATACTATAGGTTGTCTCATAACTAATGTTGCAGAGCTCGTGGAAACAGAGCGGGTTAAAACAAACATAAAAGTCCCATACCGTTTTGCGAGATCCTTAATAATTATCGAATGACGAGTGAGCACGTGCCGAAATAGATGATTACCCGCACAACACTGCAATATTGCAGCAATATTGAAGCAATATTATAATATCGTAGCAATATTACGAAATCACAAGATTATTATATAATATTCCAGCAATATTATCACAATATTACAGAGTGATATATCAGATTACAATATTACTGGAATATTACTGCAATGTTACCATGTGACTATCGTATGGCAACATAATGGCAATATTACAACATTATTACTACATTATTGTGCGATGATAAATCTCATTGCAATATCACAGGAATATTGCCGCTATATTCCAGCATGACAGACCGCCACGTAATATTTCTGATTATCGCCGTAATACTGCAGTGTGAAACAATTTATATACAGGGTGTCCCAATTTAATGTCACATCACAAATATTTCAGAAACACTGCGTTAAATAAAAAAATGCTTCAGACAAAAGTTGTTTGGCTTGAAGGAGGACAAGAAAGCGATAGCATTTTGTTTATAAATGGCGCCACTTTTGAGATATTCACTGACAATCAATTTTCATAAATGGAAATCAGAATTTTTTATTATATTTTCCTTTTCTATCAATAAATTTGAACAATTTTTGTCTGAAACATTTTTTTATTTGGTTAATATTTTTTGAAATATTTAAGGAAAACTTGGTAACTTTTTCAACATTTAACTTACGATATCTCGCTAACTATTCGTCGAAAGAAAAAATAATATTAGTCTTTTTTACTTTACTTATCAAGAATATATTATTATAATAGTGCCCTAACTTTTGTTAACTTATCGACCTTTGGAAATTTCAAAGTTATTAAATTAACAAAAAAAGTTAGGGCACTATTAATATATTCTTGATATTAAATAAAGTAAAAGAGTCTAATACTATTTTTTCTGTCGACGAATAGTTAACGAGATATCGTAAGATAAATGTTGGAAAAGTTACCAAGTTTTCCTTAAATATCTCAAAAAAATATTAAGCAAATAAAAAATGTTTCAGACAATAGTTGTTCAAACTAATTGGTAGAAAAAGAAGATATAATAAAAGGTTGGGATTTTCATTTATAAAAATTGATGGTCAGTGAATATCTTGAAAGTGGCGCCATCTATTAACAAAATGCTATCGCTGTCTTATGTCCCCCTTCAAGTCAAACAACTTTTGTCTGAAACATTTTTTTATTTAACGCAGTGTTTCTAAAGCGTGGTCTACAATGGCCGTAAGCAATAAGAAGAAAGCGTGAACAGTAAGAAATGGACCAACCACAGTTGATTATTTTTGTCATAAGCGACTGTGATTGGTTTATTTCTTACCGCTTACGCTTACTTCTTACTGCTTACTGCCATTGTAGACCACGCTTGAGATATTTTTGCGAGATTTATGCCTAGGACATTAAGTATTTTTGCAATATTGCTGTGATATTTATGCAATATTTCAGTAATATTCCTGCAATATTGCAGCAACGTTTAAGAAATATTGTAGCAACATTCCTGCACGATTGCAGTAATATTTCGGCAATATTTTGCAATTTTTCTGCAGTATTGTAGCTATATTTCATAGGTATTCCTGCAAGATTGTGACGATATTTCAACAACATTGTGGCAATAGTCCTGTGATATTGTGACAATATTCCCACAACATCATAACAATATTCCCGCAATATTTCTGCGAGACTTATGCTTAGGACATTAAATATTTCTGCAATATTGTTGTCATATTTATGCAATATTTTAGTAATATTCCTGCAACATTTCTGTAATATTCCTGCAATATTGCGGTGCTATGTGGGTAGAGAAGCGTCACAGCCTCTCGGGCCACAGCGCGGCCCAATCGATCTAGCAACTATTGACGGAGTGCGGCGAAACGTAGAAGCGGCGAAATGAAAAACGAACAGCGACGCGTTGTCCTCTCCTAGACCGCGCTCTTATTGTCGAAATAGTTGCAACGCTTCTCCAATATGTCTATGTCGGCGCGCTCTTATTCCTCAGATTTCTGTCATTAATAACTTGATAATTATTGCTAATCTCGCCAAACGGTATGGGACTTGTATGTTTATTTTAAACCGCTCTGTGAGCACTCTGCAACACTAGTTATGAGACACCCTGTGTACAGCCGACAATTACATTACAAGCAACGGGAAAGTCTTGACAATTTCCGTATTACGCGATATGATAATTTCAGATAGGTTTTTGACATTGAGTGCGATAATAAACATTGCAAGTCATGTCGGATAGACATTTTCGAGTTGTCTACGGGAGCGCATGAAAATCAGTATCAAGCTACTGTAGAAGTTGAAATCACACACAACTCGCTTAACCCTTTGAGGCATAGGTAAATATACTTACCACCTATTTATTCTCACATTTTCATGAAATATTTCATATTTGAGGGATTCTTGTCGGGTTTTTTGCGTTTTTTAGCTTCCTATATGATATGGGAACATGATACATGAAAGGTTGAAAAGTGTTTTACATAAGTTGTCCATCCAGTTATTATAAATAAACAAAGTATAAGACGAGCGAGAACGAGTAAAAAGGAAGCGAGATGATCATCATCATCAAAGATGTGCCGAAGTCTCGCGACGATCTGTTTACGTATCGCTTTTCATAGTGACGTTTCGCTTGCTCTTTATTTGCTCTCGCTCTCGCTTTCGCGACATCGGGAATCTCTCCGTAGCAGTGAACTCACGAATTTAAATATCTTATAAAATGAAAATTATAACTTTTGTGTTTCGCGTGTTTTCGATTTGAAAATAATTGCAATGGCTTAATGAGATGTTTTACCATTAAAATGACACAACGACACGACGACACAAATCGGACAATTTATAAATAAATATATAATATAAATACAAGAATACCTATTTAGTTAAAAATTATGCGATTTATGTCACGTTTGATGTCATGTTTAATTGCACAGCATCTCCTAGTCATAGCAACAACTTTCCAATCGATAAAATGTGAAGTAAATGTTTATTGCTACTACGACTGTCTGATAAGAGTATTATAGTGACACGAAACGAACTCGCGACAGCGATTCTCCATCGTCTCTACACAGATATGTACATACACATTGTGCGAGTTGGCATATTCGGTGATACACACTATACTGCTCCTGCGGTACTATGTGTCGCGGAACACACTGACACGATGACATATATGCATGTGTTGTGTTATGGAGGCGGTGAAGAGTCAGAGTGTCGCGCGCTGACTTCTTCGGGTCACAGCACGTAAGCGGCACGAAATAATTGCCCGACGGAACTGTTACGGCATTACATGTCCAATAACGTGGATAATCAGTGCAAAATTAGGTAAAAAGTTTTTACCTAATTTTATTTATCATATATAGTTATTGTTGATGTTAATAAAAAATATTCCAGAAGCGATGTAGTACTTGGTACTGGCTATTTTATACAATACCGTACACCAGATGCGATTTACATGAGCGCTCTGGTTAATAAAAAAATATCCCAGAAGCGATGTGCTCGGTACTTCTGGCTATTTTATACAATCTTTTAAATGCACCTAAAATAACTGTATATGCTTATTGGATATCAAGCATATCGCATGTCGTTATTGGTATTGTCGTGTTGGTCTGCCAAAAATTTAAGTTTGAAATATATAAAGTAACTATTAAATTAGTTACTAGTTATGAAACAAATGTAACTAAAGTTAAGTTACAGTTATAGATGAAAAAACGGGAGTTAAGTTATTGTTACCGAAAAAAATGACTGTAACTGTAACAACTGCGTTACAAGAAGTAACGAGTTACTTCTCAACCCTGTATATAAGTTACACAAAACAAGTTTTACAAATATATTATTTGCATGTTGAGTACATACAAATTTGTCTTAGAATACATGCACCGAAAGAAAACACAGCGAAAACAGTGTGAGCAATATTATGGAATTGTATTCTTTAATATATGTGCGGCAAAGGCCGCGTTCAGCAGACAAAGCTGTTTATTAAGCGCTTAGTGATTATTAATCATGATTGGAGCATTCTTTTAGATCTTTAACGAATCCAAGGGAATGGACCAATCAGGAGCGATAATCACTAAGTGCTTAGTAAACAGCTATTTCTGCTGAACGCGGCCATTGACGAGAAATCTATATAAAATTGTTTGTACACTTGTACGAAACGATAAAACACTAAGACTTCAAGATATCTTATGTCTCAACACATAGAATACAATGCAAAAAGCTTCCTACTTCTCACTGCTATTTTTATGCGTGTTCTAAATGATTACTCTATATATAGACTATATTTCGATATACATTGCGAATATTGAAGATCTATAATATGCATTATGTATACTATGTGTGTTTTCATAATGGGTGCGTTTGGATTACTTGGATAAGCGGTAGCGCTTAGTAGAGTGCTCACGATTAGCACTCTACTAAGCGCTACCGCGTCAATCTGTCTTTGTTATATTTCCAAAGAGCGATAAAGATGGAACAATGCAGTAGCATTGGTAGCGCACTTCTCGAACGCACTCAATGCATATTTTCGCAATATATATTGGAACGTGTCTACGTGTGTGTACATATCGATAAATGTCGATAATGGAACTGTAAGTGTCGGTATTATCGACATTATTAATTTCGTTCAGATGAAGGGCACTAATTCCGTTGGAGTTCGTTCGCGGTCACACTGCTCCCCAGGATCTCCTCCTTATCATAAATCAGCTTGATCGATTTAAAAAAAACTCACACACACACACAATTTATCATAACCCGCCGCAACCTTTTCATAATGATTTTTCGTATAAACACACACTAAATGTGCATTGCACCGATAATTTGAGATAATTTGATAATTGCAGTATATAGAGATTTCTGTTTCTGGATATGCGTCATATAACGTTGATTATTCACTGAAAACATGTACTATCGTAAGCAATTATTTATGGTCGACGCGGTTACGTCAGAAGCGAAAGAACAAAGAATATCAACTTTACTTAAATCAAAGATAACATGTTGCTCAATTATTTATCAAAAGATCCTGTTTATAATGATAAAATAAAGTAATTATTTGGTATAATGAGCAAATTTATTAGCTCCTGTCCATTGAAAAGTTTTTGTTGCGCATAATAGTGTTCAAAGTGGTGCTTTTTCAGTAAGTCAATAAAGTTATAGAAAACAATGGATCAAGCTTTAACAGGATGGAAGCGTTATGTACTGGTGCAACCACCCGTAATGTTGCTGCTGGTCGCTCAATCGATATCAGGTAGAAACCAATATTTTATAATAATGCAATAGCTATATATACTTTTTTCGCAGGTACCATTCTGACAGATTTAATAGTGTATCGTACATGCACTATAACATTAAAGATAAATGAAACAGAATGCCAGATACTTCATAATAATAGCAGTAGTCCAGAAGCCCTTAAAATAAACTTGCAAGTACAACCACAAGCCAGTTTAATATTGACAAGTAAGTCTTTTATTGAAAGTATTTTTCCCTCCTTTCTATCTTTGTTTTTGGGACCATGGAGTGACAAATATGGGAGAAAACCTCTTCTATTGTCAGGATATATAGGTAAAGAATTTATAGTAAATTGATTTGCATGATATTAAAGTTGCTATTATACAGTTATTATAGATAATTGTTGTTATAGTTGGTATTATAAAGCTATAGAAGTAACTTTATTTGCATGATATTAAAGAAAAAATTGCTTATAAAAATTTAATATTTATTTTTCTAGGTATATCTGTAACTTATCTTCTACTTACTGTAATGACTAATTGGTATATTGCACCTTGGTATTTGCTATTAGCTTATATTCCTACTGCTCTTATGGGCGGCCTATGTATATTGATATTAGCTACACTCTGTTATATTACGGATATAACAAATGATAGTGAGAGATCATGGCATTTGGCCTGGTTAGATGCATTAATATCTCTTGGACTATTAATTGGTTTGTTTTCTGGCCCAGTAATATTTGAAACATACGGGTACACTGGTGTATTCAGTATTGCAACTATATTGTGCGTTGTGGCAACATTATACATAATACTGTGTGTTGCAGAAACTGTACAAAGTCATAATATTGTGAGTGTTTTGAAATATAAATTTACTTGCTAGAATATAAACATTTAATATCTCAAAATTTGAGATTCGATAAAAATACAAATCAAGAGAGATTGTAGGAAAATAAATAACTGTCATTTTTTTATTTTTGCAGAGAGCTATCTGCAAAATATTTGATTTTGTGCTTGTAAAAGATCTTATCCGTACGTGTATCAAGAAAAGAGATGGATTTAATAGGTCGTTAGTTTGGAGCTGCATAGCTTGTCTTATCTTACTTTTGATTACTTTACAAGGAGAAGTTACTATCGGATATTTATTTGCCAGTGCTCGGCTTGGTTGGAACATAGAAAAGTATTCCACTTACATAGGTGCTAGCGTTATATTAGGAATATTTGGCACAGTATCGAGTATTAAATTAATACGGCGTTATGCAGGTATCGTTTGAACATTGGACAGTCTCAAAGAAATAATGTATACTTAGAGCATGCTAATATGAAGAATACTTGTATTATTTTAGGGCTTCCAGATCCAATAATTGCCATAATATCTGTTATGTCATCTCTTGGTGGTGTTTTAACATATGCTTTTACATGGCAATCTTGGCACATGTATTTATCAATGAGTGTAAGTATGTTTGGTAACTTATCTCGACCGATGATACGTGCTGTACTATCTAAAACTGTACCTGTGCAGGATACAGGTAAGTTTTATTGCTTTTAAGAATAATTATTAAACAAAGAAAAATATTTAAAATAAATTACCAGTGAAATGGCATATTTTGAAATATGCATTTGAAAGTAAAAACATTTATATATATATATATATATTTATTTATTTATCTATCTATTTATTTTTGCAGGAAAAGTTTTTTCTCTGACTCAATCTTTAGAAACTCTGTTACCATTTGCAGCAGCTTCCCTATATACTTTTTTGTACTCTCATTACATGCCACCTATATATCCTGTACCAGTATGGTTCTTATCAGCAGCATTTTTTATTTTAACTATTATACTATTGATATATATTCAGATACAAATGATAAAACATAATGGTGCATATTATGTCTCATTAACAGACAACAGTAATTAAAGTCACTGATATATCTTATTAAAGTAAAAAATAATAAGATAATCAGAAGAACAAGAATAAGATCTGTGACGATTATATGTTATACATATATATATGTTATTTATATATACATTTTTTTATACATTTGATAGATTGTATCTTGTATGTAACTTTTATACTATATATTTATATACATCACACAGCAGCTCTTGCAATGCTAAAATTATATATATCGTCACATTGTGTATATTTGTTATATCTTTGAATTTCCCATCAATATAGTTTCCTTAACTGCGTCCTGATTCACTGATGGGGCAAGAGCACAGACTTTTGCATAACGCATAATACATAACGCATTAGAGAATAAACCAATTGGTTTTCTTCATTTCCCTCCTCAGGATAGAAATGAAGAAAACTAATTGGTTTATTCTCTTATACGTTATGTATTATGTGTTATGCAAAAGCCTGTGCTCTTGCCCTCAATATTGGAACTAGAGGCCGTGTTCCAAAATTCACTGCCAGTACTGAAAATATATAGTTTGTGTCACGCAAACTATAACTTTTCAGCGCTGGCAGTGAATTTTAGAACATCGCCTACGTGTATGGACACAAACTATGAGCCAGAGCACAGACTTCTGCATAACGCATAATACACAATGCATAAGAGAATCAACCAATCAGGGTCCTTCATTTCTGTCCTGAGGAGGGAAATGAAGAAAACTAATTGGTTTATTCTCTTATGTGTTATGTATTATGTGTTATGCAAAAGCCTGTGCTCTTGCCCTATAGATTTTCAATACTGGCAATGAAAACTCGTCTATGGGAGACTCCCAATTCGATATAGCTCGATTGGACCGGTGCAAAGTTTTATTTGGTGAATTACTAGATCCAACCAATCATTTACTTTGCATCCATATTTACTTTTAGCTAATATTTCTCTAGGCAAAATTGTAATGGAGCTACTAGTATTAATAAAAATTTTTATATTAGAGTTGTAGTATCTACCGCTATCTCGTTTGATTTATGGTTTGATTTACGGTTAGGAATACAAAATTTACGCACTTTTATTAGTGTTTAATACATACCGTGTTTCTTGATGAGTAAATACATATGTTTTTCTAAATATGTTAACAACGAAGATTTTTTTTAGAAAGACGAAGGGAGGAAACATATATAAGGTATGGTTTTATTAATATCGATAAATTTATAATTATTACTACTTAATAAGATGATAAAATACTTGTATTTTAAATATTTTTCATTTTATTTATTGAAAATAATATCTAAGTGTGAATGTTTTTTTATTTATTAGACCGTTAGAGAACATTATCTCCGAGATGATATTTGTTGTGGTTTTAAAGTATGTAAGAAATGTAACGGAAGACTTGGGAATATGATCCTAGACGAGAAAGATGCTGGTGCAAAATCATCTTTGATTCCAAACCCTTATTATCTTGTACTTGATACAAATATAATTTTGAATCAAGTAAGTATAACTGTACAATCTAATCCCAATTTTATTTTATATTTACAATATTTATATATAAGTTTTTATTTTAATAATATTTTACCTACAAATGTTCTTTTTCTTTATAATACAAATTAGGTAAATATCTTAGGATTTTTATATATTGCCTAACTAATTTAATGTTTAATTACAGATAGATATATTAGAAGAAGATGTTATCTGCAATGTAATTATACTGCAAACTGTATTGGAAGAAGTTCGGCATAAAAGCTCCACTGTATATAAAAAGTTGAAAAATATTATAGTAGATGCAAAACGGAAGTTTTTTGTGTTTATCAATGAGCATCATAGGTATATAAAGTTTTATTATATCATACATTATGTATGATACGTGTATGTGTTTAATTTTATATATTGTGCTATAATATAGTTATAATTGTAATTATATTTTTTCAATGTTTTATAAAACTTATAAAATTTTATATATATTTGTCATTATAGTAATGTAGATAAAATATTTTTTGTATTATATGTTTAGAGAAACATACATTGAAAGAGAACCCGGTGAAAAAGCAAATGATCGTAATGACAGAGCAATAAGAGTTGCAGTTCAATGGTATAATACCCACTTGGAGTTTGACAATCACAATGTAAAGATTGCCTTATTGACTGATGATGCAGAAAACAGAACACTTGCAGCTGAAAGTGGAATATTTGTTGCATCAAGTAGGATATGTTTTATTTTAGCTTATTTAGTCATAATTTTAAAATATTTATTATACATGCACACACATAAACATACATATATATCAAATATTTGTAATATATAGTTGAATAATATATTTCTCTTTTTACAGTGGAAGATTACATTGCATCATTAAAAAATGGAAATTTTCTGTTGGATAAATTATGCAAACATTCTTATACGTCTGATTCTCATGAACCAGATATGTTCCCTTGCCATTTAGGACCTGCAGAAATTCATGATGGTATATCATCTGGCAAATTATTGCAAGGAACATTCCTGGCATCAAGAGAAAATTTCCTCGAAGGCAATGTGAACGTTGAAGGAAGGGAAAGAGCTGTAAGGCATATGTATAATTATTATCAGTTTGAATGTTGCATTAATATAGTGAATATCAGAATTATATTTAATTTGTTTACTATTATTTTGATTGTTTCAGATATTTGTACAAGGACGAACTAATCTTAACAGAGCAATAGATGGTGATATAGTTGCGATCGAGCTTCTACCGGATAATCAGTGGTCATCCCCTAGTGAAATCGTTCTGCAGGATGAAGAAATTGCAGATGCTGATGATGTCCCAGAAGATGAAAAAACGTTTGCCAAGTATAGTGCATCAAAAACGAAAGAACGAATACCAACAGGCAAGATTGTTGGTATTATTAGGAGAAAATGGAGACAATATTGCGGAATATTGCAGCCAAGTGCAATTAAAGAGGTAAACATATCTATTATTTTTTCTTTTTTCTATAATATTAAGACTTATTATTTACTATGTTGCGAATTATTATCTTTTCTGTTATAATCGATAGAGTGTAAGACACCTATTTGTCCCGGCTGAAAGGAAAATCCCGAAAATAAGAATAGAAACTAGACAAGCGGAAATATTAAGTAAACAAAGAATAATCGTCGCATTAGATTCATGGCCACGACATTCGAGATATCCACTTGGTCACTTTGTACGAGCACTTGGTAATATAGGAGATAAAGAGACAGAAAATGAAGTGTTACTTTTAGAACACGACGTTCCGCATAGCCGTTTTTCTGACGCTGTTCTTAGCTTCCTCCCAAAACTGCCCTGGATTATTACGGAAGCGGTATGTATCGATTAGTTGTTCAGAGTTCTCCAGGATTTGCATGAAAAAATCGAAGCCGATAATCAAGCATAATTTTATTTTTTCGTTTCTCATGATCTATCATTGAAAAAATACACATAAATTTGCAGGACATCGCGCAAAGGGAGGATCTTCGACACCTAGATATTTGTTCAGTGGATCCACCAGGCTGCACTGACATCGATGATGCGTTGCATTGCAAAAAATTACCAAATGGTAATTATAATGTCGGTGTACATATTGCAGATGTGTCTCACTTCATAAGACCCGGGACTGCGTTGGACAAAGAAGCGGCTTTACGCGCTACTACTGTATATCTTGTCGATAAACGAATCGATATGGTTCCAGGTAAAATACTACAACAGCACTTTACGTTAATGACTTTTTTTTATGCAATTGTAATATAAATTATGCGATCTAAAGCGCGCATTTTCTTTTTGTTTTAGAATTACTTAGTTCAAATCTTTGTTCCTTGCGAGGAAATGAAGAAAGATTTGCATTCTCTTGTATATGGGAGATTAATCCTCATGCAAACATAATCAGTACAAGATTTTGCAAGTCTATTATTCGCTCTCGCCAAGCTATGACATATGAAGAAGCACAATTAAAAATTGACGATGCTACCCAGCATGATGCTATCACAGTTTCATTGAGAGGATTGAATAAGTTGGCGAAAAAATTTAAGAAGAGACGTATACAGAATGGGTATGTTTATTGCGTTGTCATATTTGCGTATATACTACATAAAACATGTTATGTGTTATTGTGGAACTTCTATATCTCTTATCACAATCGTACTTTTTTTTTTAGCGCTTTAATTTTAGCATCACCTGAGATACGTTTTCAAGTAGACAGTGAGACACATGATCCAATTGATGTGGAAGTAAAAAAGTTAAGAGAGACTAATTCTATGGTCGAGGAGTTCATGTTACTTGCGAACATTAGTGTTGCTGAGAAGATATTGGCTGAATTTCCAGAATGCGCTATGTTAAGGAGACATCCTACACCGCCACAGAATAATTTGGAGCCATTAATCAAAGCTGCACGAAATCAGGTATTGCCAGTTAATTATTGCATTATATTCGTTATTAATATACAGGGTGTCCCATTTTAATCCAGCTGGCTGAATAAAATTCGAGGATATTTTCCAGAAAAAAATGTCAGACAAATGTTGCTCAGTTCTAAGGGGGACATTCGATGCCATCAACAATTTTGACCTCGGGTGAAGGGTTCAAGGTTATTCAAGGTCAACTTTTTTTTCTTAAATGGGAACCCTTATTTTTCACATCGGCAATCGATTCTACGTAAAAAAAAATGAAACTTTTGTCTGAAGCATTTTTTTTTATAACGCAAACTAATTTCACTTATTCAGCCTCCAAAATTGAAATTTTCAAACTTTCTGAATTTTTTACTCGAGAATGATGGGGCTTGGGGGGAAATTGCAGAAGACAAAAAGTTCTTGGAATGCTGCAAGGAATTCACTCGAATTTTCGCATAGTTGATCGTGCACTTTTTTCCGCCAATGTTCTACCTGTCAGAAGGTACCTCGAAAAAAGTGCACGATCAACTATGCGAAAATTCGAGTAAATTCCTTGCAGCATTCCAAGAACTTTTTGTCTTCTGCAATTTCCCCCCAAGCCCCACCATTCTCGAGTAAAAAATTCAAAAAGTTTGAAAATTTCAATTTTGGAGGCTGAATAAGTGAAATTAGTTTGCGTTATAAAAAAAAATGCTTCAGACAAAAGTTTAATTTTTTTTTACGTAGAATCGATTGCCGATGTGAAAAATAGGGGTTCCCATTTAAGAAAAAAAAAGTTGACCTTGAATGACCATGAACCCTTCACCCGAGGTCAAAATTGTTGATGGCATCGAATGTCCCCCTTAGAACTGAGCAACATTTGTCTGACATTTTTTTCTGGAAAATATCATCCTCGAATTTTATTCAGCCGGCCGGATTAAAATGGGACACCCTGTATATCATTCTTTGTATGAATAATTCGCGATCAGGACATTAAAAGCATTAAAATTTATTATAGGGTTTTACCATAAATGTAAATACTGGTAAGGAATTAGCACAATCGTTGGACGAAGCTAAAAAAGTATCGAACCCTTATTTTAATACCATGTTAAGAATACTAGCTACTCGATGTATGATGCAAGCAGTGTATTTTATTAGTGGAATGCATCAATCGGAAGAATATTCGCACTATGGGCTGGCATGTCCTATCTACACACATTTTACATCACCTATTCGAAGGCAAGCCATATGTTTCAGAGATATCAATAAAAAACTCTGTCGTTAAATTAATTTATATTTACAGCTTTCTTGTTTATGTTTCATGATGCTGCAGATACGCTGATATAATTGTGCACCGATTGTTATCTGTATGCATAGGCGCCGATGCCACTTACCCAGAATTATTGGATAAGAAAAAGAATAATTTATTGTGCCAAAATCTGAACTATCGGAATCGAATGGCTCAGTACGCCAGCCGAGCCTCAGTCGCGCTTCATACACATGTTAGTCCAATTTGTCGAACAATTTTATCTCTTTTATCTCACTCGAAATTTTTTATTCTGATAAATTTACCAAAATTGCACTTTTAACGATCGTTTTATATGTTTTAGCTGTTCTTTCGTGACAAAGTTCAGGATGAGGAAGGGTATATCCTATTTGTTCGTAAAAATGCATTGCAAGTGCTTATACCAAAATATGGTATAGAAGGAACGTTATATCTAAATAATCCTACCGCGTCGGCCACTACATTTATATATAAATCAGAAGATCAGTCTCAAACCTGCGGAGATATCATATTTCGAGCATTTGACCTCATCATCGTGCAAATAAGTTTAGACAGGTCTAATATTCAACATGAAAAATTATTCTTTAAACTTGTAAAACCAGAGGTGAGTGGTATAACAAGAGACTTTTTCAACGATTATTCCTAAAGTTTCTGAACCGTTACATTGATATGATGATACTGGATTATAATGTTAAAAGAAATTGCATGTATTGTATTGCTGGTAGCAAGGGAGCCAAAATAATGCAATACTAAACTCTTATCTCAATCTAAATAAAAAATATACAAAATATGTATATAATTTGTTTATGATTTTAGATACCAGGTTTTAGCATTCCTCCATTGGACACAAAAGTTGCCAATGACAATGAAAATTCTATAAAAGAAACATCAAAACGCAAAGCAGAACAGCAACCAGAGTCCAGCAAAATTAATAAGAAAGCTGAGAAAAAGAAAAAGAGAAAGAAGAATTAATCTTTTCTAAAAAGATATCCTTCCAATATAATCTTTCATATATCATATAATAAACATAATAAACATACATATTGTTTTATAAAAATTATATTCTTTTATCATTATAATAGAATATTATTCACAATTTACAAAATCTTTATAACAAGATAAAAAATTGTCAATGGGTCATCAAATAATATATTCTCATAGGAAAGGTGTGTATAAACAAATTTGATTATTTGTCTCATTATGAGTTAATTACTATATAGACGAATATGACAATGAAAAAGATTAAAAATAAGAAAAAATGATTTTAATTTTCTAATGGAAAATAAAATTGCACGCTTTATATACACATCATTTTTATAATGAAATAGTAAAAAACTGCATACTTTGTGTCGCGTTGTGTGTATATATATATATATATATATATATATATTGCAATAATATATTGCAATAAATAAGATGTAATAGTCTTCCTAATGTTTTAGATATATCTTAATCTAATACCAATGAATAACAAATTCTAAAATATTCAACCATACTTTTATTCTTTTATTTACTTATAAAATTGTTTCGGATTTCAAATTATATAAAATTACTTATATATATATATATATATATATATATATATATATGTACGTATATACATATGTATATATAGACAAAATATCATGATAAAATTGGGGAAGAAAAAAAACAAAGAATTGAGAATATAATTTTACATACAATATAAAATACATAATAAATACGTTGTTTTATAAAAATTATATTATTTTGCTAGATATCGAATGTAACTTCAACTATATTTATATAATAAACATATAATTCTTTGTACTCTTTATTAATCGTTATTAATCGTTATTAATTTCATTTATTATTAATAATACTGAATAATTTTGGTTGGTCTCAGGAGGACTATTACTTCTTATTTGAATATGTACAAAATCTTTTAAAATTATTGTTAAGTATCCTCAGGATTTTTTCTCATTAATATAATAAATACAGTAAACAAGGATTTATATATATATATATATATATATATATCTCATGGTGCATCCAAAAGGACCTCTACTCACTCTTTCCGTAAATATAAATATATATGGTTTTTATAAATCTATATAAGAGTCTTATTAAACATATATATCTGTTTACAGCTTTTTAGAAGTTTATGAACAAAATTTTTTAAAAAATTCTTGCGACAAAATATATAATATGTTATTTTTTAAATTCATTTTGTTCTCTATATTTCCAAAAGCGTTTTCAAATTCAATAATGTAATTAAAACATACATGTATGCTGTTGCGTGCACGTATGTGTATATATTGATAAGTGTACTCTAGATTAACAATTTTTTTTCATCTGGATGTTTATGTAATTTCTTTCATTGTTCTAATAAGCAGGGTAAATCCTGGGAGAATATTTAACATTAATTTTGAAACATTTTCTATATACCGTTTTATATATTTCAAATTATTTAAATTAAATATTGGATTTTATATATATATATAGAATCCAAATATATCGAGCCTTGTTCACGGTATTACATGAACAATATGCCACAGGCACAAGACTATATTCCTTCCTTCTGAAAGATTGGAAAAATGAAAACTTACGACTCTCATATACAAACCCGTGAAAAAGGCTTTACATATAATTAATAAGGTACAATGAAAATAAATCTAACATTACATATGATACACTGACATGGTGTGTGTGGTGCCTTTTTCTTTCATAAATAATATAAAAGCTTGTGAGTGACAAAATTGTACAATGGTAAAACAATTAAGATCGATTGAACTTAAAGGTATATTTTAGTCTAAATAAAAACAATAAATAATAAAAATCCTATGCTGTGCCGATACAAATTAACGAATTGTTTTTTTTGTAATAATTTAACGAAAGAATGCTTGAGCAACATGTCGAGTATATTTGTGGCGCCTCAGATTGTGGCATCGAGCTTGATGATCCGCTGGAAAAATTATACATTTTTACATTTATATAATTTTACAATTACACATTACAATTATTATAATTATTTACAATTATACGTTTCTCATTACAACATTACAATTATATACATTTATATAATTTAATACTGAAGGAATTGTACAATTAATGTAATTTAATATCACTTGTAAAATGACTTTAAATTATATAAAATACAAAGGAAAGGATTTAAAAGCTCACCCATTCAAAGTATTGATGAAGTCCTGAGTAGGCCATAGTCGTACAATTCCATCTATGCTTGCGCTGGCGATGTATTGGCCATCCAAACTCCAGTCTACATGCATAACTGTATCTTTATGACCTTTCAGTTCGGTTAGCACTGCATTGGTTGCTAAATCCCATATTGATATAGACTTGTCGTCACCTAAGCAAATGTTTTCAATTACACGTAAGAATTAATTGTTAATTTCACTATCACGATTTCATTAAGTAGGTACACAAAGTACAGTAACCAACTTTTTGCACCAACTTCACATATTAATAATACAATAAAAGTAAATAGACACAAATCTGGTTTTGAAAACTACATAAAATTAAAGTGAGAAAGTAACATTAATAAATGTAAAAGAAAGAAGTTCTACCCGATATTAATTGTGCGACACATCTTTATATTCTTACCACATCTTTAAAAAAAATTAGAATATCTACACATAAACAATGAGGTGTCTATTTACTTGTGTCATCCTAGTATATATCTTTCCATGTAATTACCGGCAGCAGCCAGATATTTGCCGTCTGGACTAAATGCTAAACTGTAAATGGTCGACTGTGCTCCAACATACACGCGCAATAAATTGCCGTCGTCTTTGGACCATAATCTTACGGTTTTGTCGGCAGAACCTGTTGCTAAATATCGGGCGTTTGGATGAAACTTTACGCACTAAAACAGTATATCAATATATCGTGTTACTGTGTTACATCAAAATGGATACGACACATAAGGATAAAAAAAATATACATTGACATCTAAAAAATGACCGGCAAATATTCTCAGTGGAAATGTTCTATCCAATGACCACAATTTGGCAGTTCTATCATGTGAACCTGTAGCGGTGTACAAATTGAACACACTGGTATCCATGCACCATATTGGGTAACTATGGCCGCTGTAATGAAAATATTATTCACGTATGGTTTATGTATTATATATACATCTCACTATGATTTCACTATTTAATTTCTCGTATATAGACAAATGTTTACATTTACAATATTACATGTCACGAATATGAAGTACATTCGTTAAAGTTTTATATAAAATTTTCATCGAAAAATAATTCATGCATATTAAATATAATAAATAAGAAAATATACCTATATATCGTTGCGCAAGAGTAATCATTGAGCCTCCATGCTCTCATATCCTTGTCACTCGATACAGACAGAAGAATCTCCGATTCCGGAATAAATCTTAAATCATGCACCACGTCCGTGTGCCCTCTTAATATTATCGCTCCTGCTTCGCTCTTTCTGTTACCATCAAATTATGTGAAATATTACATGTGAAATGTCAGTACTTGAAATTCGAATAAGAAACTGATATAATTACATTGCATTTTCTTGCTCGTTGCAGTTACGAGGTGAAAGTACATCACAGGCAAGTGGTATATGTATGTTTTTATGTTTCGGTTTAAGTAAGACCGTTTCACTTATACCCCATAAACGTATTTCAGCCGTACTAAATCCTACAGCTAATCTATCCATTTTCGGAGTAATAAGAGCACTACTCGCGCTGCGACATACAAAACAAATATATATTAGATATAGATAATAACATAATCATAAAGAATAAATCGTGAGCATAAATAAATAGATCCACAGAAGACATTGGGAAATTCGTAATTACTTTTCTATAGCATTTTTCACTGTGAATATCCTCAATGGTTGATGAGCATTATCACGTATTAATCGTATAGCTTCTTGCAATTCTCTCATTTCACGATCTACACCAGTGCCAGATGGCTGTTCTACATGGCCATTAATACCTGCCTCGTATCTTTGACCTTTCTCTTCATGTACCTCTCCTTCCATTTGAGATCCATCTGCCTTCCCGATTATCGTGACATGCGTATTTATAATCTGCAGAATATTGTAAGTGTAATTTTACTGCTATAAATTTTTAGTTGACAACATTTGCATAGAATTAAGATACTTGAAAAAGAAAAATATGTTTAAGAGCACAATTAATTGAATTTACCTGCATTAATATTATATGTCCATGTTTGGAAAGATATCGCTGTAGGCAGATATGTGCTGGCTCTGATAAATCCACTTTGTACTTTCTAGTTCTAAATGCATTTACCAAAGGTCTCAGTTCAATGTCTTGTACTGAAAATACACCAGATAACTCCTCTAGAAAATCTTTCTCAGTATCACTGATAAATTCATTTTGATGTGCTTTTAAAAACTGAATTGCAGCCTCTTTATTGCCAGCGTGCAGCATTTCTAAATAAAGATGACAAAATATTGGATACAAAAGTCCTTGCAGCTCTATTTTGATCTTTTCATTAAGTATAGCATTCATCCATATCTTCAAACTAAAAAGAAATAGAATTTTAGTCTATGTAGTATATACATACAATTATATTAATAATATAATCAATCTGATATATCACTTTATAAAATTAAGTTGTACCGATATATATTGATTGCTTCAATTAATATCTACATAGTAAGTTATATCACTCAATACTACATATTTGAACAGAAAAATATTCAATTATTATAATAAAAAGTTACCCCCTGACTTTATAGCTACGCGAAACAAGATAAAATGTAATATAGATTAACGAATTAATTAATATTAATAAAATTATTCAACACACAAGTATGATATTTGCACAATACAGAAAAGAATATTTTGTTTATGTAAACACTTTGCTTTTCATACATTTTAAGATTATTTTTCATTTATTATAAGATTGTTAAATTCAAATAATTGATATAGACTTTGGCTTTTGCTTGAATATAAGAATAAAAAAACAAACTGAATAAAGAAATAAATAAATTTCAAAGTCTGACGATTAGTTGTGTCTTAGCTTTTCTTCACAAAATGTTAAACAATAGAAAAGAACCAACAATATTAAAACAATAATATTAAAATATGATTAAACATATTGTGCCTATGTTTACAAACAATTGGATTGTTTTTAAATCCAGCAAATATCACGTGGTGCGACTCTGAAAGAAGCTTAAGTAATAAGACTTAACCGTTGATAGGCTTGATCCGCCGCAGTAATGTCAATGGTAATGGCACTAAAAATAATCGAATTGTCGCGGGAAGTGCCGCACTCGGCGGTTGCGTTCATTGTCATTTGATCGCTGCTCTGACAAAACAAGTGGTCGTTTTTGTTATTACAGAAGACGTCGTTGGCCTGCAACAATAGTGGCGGCGAGGTTATAGAGGTTATGAAAATCAAACGCATGGTGAAAATTCACGGTCACAATTTCATACCTGATAGCGGCGTCGTTTCAGATAAGAGTCAAGTACATTAATTATTTCATTCTTCACTCGCTTCATCTTCATCAAGACCCCGACAACGATAACCACGGGCCTCGCCGTTTCAAACCAAACTCAAACACAATACGCGTGACAGTCACTACTGCTAGATAGAAAGTCAAAATCCGCGTATGCGCAGTAACGCAACGCTAGCAGACGATAAGATACAGGAATCGTTCAACGATGATAAAATTCGACCAGTCAACTTTTAAAAGCCAAGACGGAATTTTGTCACTTAAGCATTAATGTTCTCTCTCTCTCTCTCTCTCTCTCTCTCTCTCTCTGACTTATCCTTTAGCTATATTATTTCAAAATAAAAAACCACCTGACTCTCCTGCTGCGGAGTTACGGTGAGAAATAAAAAGTTCGGCTAATCCTATGTTGAGCAGTATTACTTGTAAATACAGGATCGACAAAATTAGCGATTGAGTCGCTAATTGGGGAGTTTTTGCAATACCATCTCTCAGGTACGGTAAACATAAATCGTGAATGTTATTGGTCGCGTATACTGCAACGTTATTTCTGAGCGAATAACGTTCACCGATTTACGTTTACCGTATCTGAGAGACGGTATTGCAAAAATTTCCTATTATTTCGTCGGTGGTTTAACGCGATTTGATTTAATTAGTTTCAAAGTCTCCGCTAAACGTCTCCATCCAATGGCAGAGAGAAACCTGAGAGCAACCACCGGGCCGATTACGCCGGGACGCTTTTTCTGCCGAATTCCGACGCGCCCCCTAAGAAAATGTGTGCACACTACATCCGTCCTGACGGTAACAGCAAAGCGCGCACGGTTCTTGCTTCCTCTTACAAGAGAAGTCAATTAGGCACGCACAGACGATCAATCGCTCTATCCTAATTGGTTTGTTCTCTTATGCGTTCTATGTATTATGTGTTATGCAAAAGCCCGTGCTCTTGCCCTAAATCTTCGAATACATGTTGCCGTATCAAAGTCTCCTGTATAATAAACGATTTGACACGTCTGGAGACGCATGACATTCATTGCCCGCGTCCCGTTCCCTTCGTCCTGCTTCTCGCATTCAGCATCCCGTCCGCTCCGGACATTCGCTCCGGACGCTCGTCGGTGAGCATTCGATTCGCTCGGAGGAGCACGTGTTAATTAACGCGACGAGTAGACTCCGATTATGAATATCCCGCGTGTCGACGAAATATCTGAACTTTAAAAAAAAAAGCATCAAAGAAAATCGCGTTGATGTTGTCATGGGTGAAATCTCACCCTGGTATATATTTTTTTATCTTCGAAATAAAAAAAGCCAAACGAATGCAATTAAATATTATTTATCATCATTGAATATTAGATGAAGAGGTAGAAGAGTTATTGTCCGGAGCGGATAATCTAACGATTAATAACAACGAGACAAAATTCGCATGGGATGAAATTCCACTCTTTAACGCTACCATGACCTTCAATTATTCTCCGACAGCGCGGCGTCACAATAACTTTGACACTCTGTACAATTAGTTGCTAACACATTTTCTCGTATTAATCGTACACATTCCTCTTTAATTGACATAAAGCTAATAATAAAATATCCGATGCTTCGACAGAATAATTTTCTTTATTTTCAGTAATCAATAAATAGTAAATCAATGTCGCGTATAGTTGAAAGACCTCCTCGCATTCTCCTCGTCGTCCCGGAACCTTCGAAAAAAGAAAGAGAAAAGATGCCCAAGAGCAAGTCTCTCTTGCTTCAACCGCCGCTGAGACTCGGCAATGTTTACATCGCGAGCCGATTGTGTTGATCGGCTCGCGAGCGACGACACTTTTGCCCTTCGTATTATAATACTCGCGCACCTCGTGTATTCGACCTCATTCCATCAACAGCAGCCGTGCGCGACACACGCTCGTCACTTCCGTCTCGTGTTGAATTGAAAGAAATGTATCTCGTCGGTCCTCGAGATACTTAATCCGTCGGCATCGCGTCGGCATCGTGTTGATTAACCACACAGTCGAATCGCGAGTATCGGCATTAGAAGCGTGAGCGAGTGAAATCCGGAGGACTCCAGCAGCCGGGAAGCAGGACGCCGGCAGCAATACACGCCACGTTTCCAGGTGTGTGGAATCATTTATTATGCGGGAGGTCTCCGATTACGAGAGCGGACGTTTGACGAACTTTCCGGGAATAAGAAGTCGGAATTTCGCGCTCGGCATTCACAATCCGTCATCATCCGACTAGTAATCATGACTTTATATGAAACTGCAATTACTCTCGTCAATCTCTGTCTGTCTGTCTATCTATTTATTGCGCTGTTGTACACAAAAGATATTGATCCAGACAGAGATGGATAACGTTTCACGAACGCCGCGGATCCCTAATTCATCATATTCTCAATCAAACATTCTATATGAATATACCGGTCTTGCGTAGAATATTCAACGTCATACCGCTTCTTAGACAGCGACCTTCTTTGTTTTCGGTCAGCGCTTCTTTCAAGTCTGTTTACTCTCGTTACGGAATCTAAATTTAAATGTCCATTCGTAAAAGTGTATTTTCGAGAGCACACAACTATTGCCGCCGCTTCTTGTTGTCACCTTTTTTCGTCAGCTCTTTCAAGAGCTCCTATCTAGACCTTCAATGTCAATGAAGAAAAAAAAATCGTAGCGAATATTCTCCACTCATCCCGACCAAACATTCTTTCTCTACCGCGGCTTACCAACCAAGAACACTACATTTTTGTTCCAGACGTTGCGGGAAGCAAGTCCGGCGGACGCGGATGCCGCACCGGAGGATCCGGTTCGGGCAGACCAGGATCGGCCGAAAGGTACAGTTTACAAGTTTCCTACATATCTGTATTCAACTCTTTACAATCTTTGCCTTTGCAACTTATTCCTCATCAACTCTCTTGAAAGCTTCATGTCCCATTTAAATTTTCAATGTTGGAACAAAAATATAAGAATAAAAATTCCGTATCAAAATATTTCCGTATTTCCGATTCTTTCCGATCAAAAATATTCTCTCTCTCTCTCTGTCTCTGTCTCTGTCTCTGTCTCTGTCTCTCTCTCTGTCTCTGTCTCTGTCTCTGTCTCTGTCTCTCTCTCTCTCTCTCTCTCTCTCTCTCTCTCTCTCTCTCTCTCTCTCTCTCTCTCTCTCTCTCTCTCTCTCATTCTCACTCTTTCTCACACAATCTCTCTCTCACACAAAAATAATAAAAATAATTAGAAAAATAATTAAAATTAATTTAAAAAATAAAGCACTATAAAGCACTATGCTGTGGTCACTCATTGACATTTTTTCTTGTGTCTGATCCTTTTTGATTCTTCTCGCATTCTGTTCTTTTTCTCTTTCTTTCCCTCTTTTCTTCTTCCTTTCTCCTTTATGTTTTAACTGTGAAAAGTAAAAACGACACAAAGCATACAAATTCTTCTTCCTTACGTATTTTTTATGTGTATTCAACGACATTGTTACTTATCTGATATTATCCTTGTTTCCCCCGAAGCTTTTCTCTTCAGAATTATCACGACAAACACACCTCACAATTTATAAACAATTTATAAAATTGTTAACTTGATATAACCATGTTATTACTCCTTTCGTACAAACTGTCACTCGGCTGTCATTCGCCGCGATGACTTTCGATTGACACGCACTTTTTTTTAAGAGGATGCAACACAACAGTGAATCCAGAGGACCTTTATTTTCAACTTATATAACACAATGAGAGGTTAGATGAACTTTTACTTTCAACAATGGCTACTTGAGATTACTCTCCTGCCGGTATATTTTTATATATGGCATTTTCACTTTTTCTATAAAATAACGCGCGTAACGAGAGTTTTGTGACATAACTCCTATTTTCCTATATAAATGCTCAACTTGACATTTGATCTCTTAATTTTTCAACATCATTTACTTATAGTATATAAAACAATTTTTTTCAAAAAAACGATATTTTAAAAGAAAAGTTGATATGTACCCAGCAAACATAATATAACATGTAACATACCTGCTGTAATTTCCTACTCAACAATGTAACTATTATTTATGACGCGTGCATATTACATTATGTTTTCTAGGTACAAAATAAGTTAAATTATTCGTGTGCATTATGACATTAAACTGTTTCTCTAAAAAATTCGCCTTCAAAATACAATGAAAAGTACATCCATGTCTATGTACAATATCGAAATGCTATTAAAATAATTCGTACAAATGCAGCGATCCTCTTCGTAATACAAGTGATAATCAAGTAGTAGCATAATAATGATACAATGTAATTGTAATGAAATTTTTATAATTAATAATTGAAGATTATAAAAATAAATGCTGTGTTCAGTTGAGGTACTGACCCTGCTAAAAATGTATTCGATTAAATACTACTTTGTTTCATATTTACATATTACAAATGTAATTGGGAGACATTTTTTTATTTCATTTATATATATATATATATATATATATATATATATATATATATTGTTTCTACTACCAAAAATATATATTGCAGAATTCGTATGTACAAAATACAGTAGATTTCTTTTTTGTTAAGGGATGAGGCAAGTATTACAGGAATATAACAACTCAATATAAAAATAATACTAGATTAACAAAATATATGTTTACAAATTATTTTTCAATTATGAATGACAGTAGAGATTTAATTAATTTAAATGACTTAATCCTCACCATTTTGTTCACATCTTTCTCACCAATTACATTCTGCACACATAATAAATTTTAATTAATGCACACAAAAGCACCAGTTGATTCTTTCACAAGAAAAGCTTTTCAAGAAAATAGATTTGTACATAATCTTAATAATTTCAATATACACCTGCTTGTCGCTCACCTCTTTAGTGTTTGATAATCAGCATACTGAGATAAATGCCGTTATCATTTATCTTACGATCCCATAATTTGTAATTGTAATGTAACTAAGAAATATATGCTACCATTTGTACCCTGCAATTACACGAAGATATTTGACGAATATCACGAATATCGAGATATCAAAAAAACTCAACACTCTTCGCCTCTGTGCCAATTATTGGTCAAGAATTTAACATTGCTGGCGAATAGAGAATATTAATGGATCTTGCATATTATTCTCCAAAATAATTTCGTTGCGTTAAATTACGTGCGATGATGTACAATTTATCATAAACGTGTTACGCTTGCGCTTATGCGAGCCGACTGACGTTGAAAAAATGTTATTTATATAATACAACGATTATATATTCTTTTCTATTTAGACCCAAGATTTCACTGGGTTGCACGGTTGAAAAACTAGTTAATCTTCGTAGTTTTGAGGGAAATTTGCACGACTCGCAGCGAAAGTTAGAACACTTTGACAATTTGTGATAGCGTTCTGCTGTGATCTATTAGGTTTTAAACATTCTAAACGAAATAATACTTTACTTGCGTAATACGCTATTAAAATGTTGCACAGTAATCGTTGAATCTTGTATACAACTGTCTAATCAATATGTGCTCTAAATCTCCTCTTTGTCTTTCATAGGCAAAGATGTACGATATTTACTCTTATTCAATGTTTCGCTGTTTTGAGTTATAATTGGAAAACTTCAATTCACCATTTTGGTAAGTACGTTTTTCCAAAAGTAAAGACGTGTTTATCGTGGAACATACTAAAATTGCTACAATAGTAATAGACACGTTTTGAAGCGCGAGCCCGAAATCCTTCGGCATCGTTAGATTAATTTTTAAGATCCGTATCAAACTAATTGTTCGACGGACTTAACTATGGTATGCGCAGCATATCCTCATTGTGAATTCGTCCACAACATCGTATGTTGCATTTCTATTCCGAATTTGATTTTCATTTTAAGAACAAATGATTATGAAGTCTCGAAGCAAAAGAGTCGTTTGTTAGTCAAGATTTTCATCTAGAATTTTGTCAATTAAATATACTAAGGTAAATGTCTCACAAAGTGAATTCCTTAATAGATTACATTTTAAAATATATTCTATTATTTCGTCTAAATTATTCGACTCTCTTCCTATCGCCCTTTTCGACAATATTGTCGCGAGACAACTTAACCTTAAACAATGAAACTACTGTATCCATTGTTTTCTTTACTATATAATATAAAGTCACGCGCACACACACACACACACACACACACACACACACACACACACACACACACACACACACACACACACACACACACACACACACACACACCACACCACACCACACCACACGCACACGCACACGCACACGCACACGCACACGCACACGCACACGCACACGCACACGCACACGCACACGCACACACACACACACATAAACATACATTTTTCATTCATTCACACTCGCACTTTTTTTTGTTTTCACTTCACGTTATTTTTATATGTTGATCCATTTGATGCATGCTACATTTTCTCATGGAGAATATTATAGAATTACATTATATAATTATGTCGATAATTATATAAATTATTGCAAACCACGCAAGAGCGGCATGTACGGAACCAATACGCGTTTGTTTATGAATAAATACAAAATCACGCTTGCATGTGAATCGCGCTGTTTCTTTCTTGCACAAGTGAATATTCATTAGATTAAAATTAAAGAAAAAAAAATTTCTCCATAATTTCTCCATAATTTCCGTTTAACAAATCAACAGAAAGAACGGACGTGACATGATCAAAATTGCAATGTTATCTTAAAAGCCGTGCCACGTGGCGCGACTGAATTTCTTTCGTCTGTGTCAAAATATGAGAAGCATCGATGATCTCGTTTACTCGTCCGAAGCTAGATTCGGGCGCGGTCGTGACGCTTGTCCCTATGTGAGGTGACGGCATGCTTTCTGATAGTTTGAAATAACCGGCATATTTCTTGCTGTATATCGAACAATCTTGTCGCGTTGTTCGCGTTTGAAGAGACTCGTGTTTGGATATCGCCTGGATATTCTTTCTTGATGAAGCAAAGGTACACTCTCCGAATACCTGCGGTGAACGTTGCATTTGTCATAGCTCTCGCGATATTCCAGGCCGACCTGCTTGATATTTTCGCTGCGCCAAAGCAATTGCGAGTCCTTGCAGATAGTCCTGTATTTCTTTAACGCTTCTGATACATCTTCTTGCTTGACACTAACTATAAACGCCGACGAAACATCTCTTACTTTCTCTGCAAAGGTGCACGTTAAAAATAATTATTGAAAACAAGACAAGAAAAGAAATCGGACGTAGTGGCTCAGGCACAGATATAAGCGTTCAGCGTGAATAGCTGAAGCAAAAATTTTTTCAGATGTTATTATACATGGGTGTATTTTTTCAAAGCAGATTTAACAGTATTATCTCACTACATATCTGAACTTTGGATCAGCAGAAAAAAGATCGGGACGAAACTTGAGATTTTTATAACTCAATAGAAAGATTTCCTTAGAAGAATCTAAGGAAATGGACATAGGCTATTTTTCTTTTAAATTATATACATCATAATATTATTACAAGAAACAATTAGTTAGTGTTGGAAACAATTTGTATAACTTAATATTGCGCACAAAAACACAACGAACAATTGAAGCCACACACATCACACGTCTTGTGTTTCTAAGTAAAACACACAAGATATTTGTATTTCGAGGTAGAGCGTGTGAAAAGATATAAGCTAAAAAAACTGATAAACCTAGCCTGAATAATATTGTACAAATAATCTTGCTCTAGCAATTAACACAGTTGCGGTGTTAGAACGTAGAATATAGCGTAACAATAATATTAGATTTTATGATGTACAGGTACCTGTTCTACCAACCATTCTGGCAATCCACTTTACTCGAAGGATTCTCCGGGCAAGGATCATTCGTCGTTTTATCGTCATTCTCTTTGACACATCTTATCAGAAACATTGTCAACGCCCCAACTATCGGTGGGACGCCGGCTAACAGGAAAGGCAGATCGTATGAACCTAAACAGAACAGAGCGGTATAAAGCACAAGAGATAAGTATTACGCGTACGAGATAATAAACAATGAGATCGAACATTAGAACATTACCGGTGTGATCGTACAGAAGCCCAGCAATCGGCGGACCCACTGTCAAGGGTATAGAACACATCCCCAGGAGGAAACCGATGGCCTGAGTTGCGCCGCTGCGACCGCAAATATCAAACGCGATAGGACCGAGTAACGATATAAAACATCCGTCGAATAATCCCATGCCGAGGGAGATGATCAGGAGTACGACGAAGGACTTGGTGACCGGGAGAAGCATCGTAAGAATGCCGATACTTATAAACGATATCTGAATAAGAGAAAACACTTTAGTTCTTCAGAAATTTGCCGAAAAATGTTTGAAGCCTATTACCAAGTATTATTTATCCGAAAGTCATTTTTCTCTCTCGTGAGAGAAGGCTAAAACAATTTCGAAACGAAAGAAAACATTTCGACACATTTCGATCGATTTTAATTCTAAACAATCGACAGATTGAGATTCTCGCTAAACGTTTCATATGATGCGCAAGTATAGTGTGTATCATCAGAACATTCATAAAGCGCTGTCACCTGCTGTAACAATATTCTGTTCACTTTCGGCAAGTCAGCAATGTAGCCGAAAACCAAACGGCCGATGCCGGAAGTGATACCGATGCACATGACCGGCAGCTTCCCATCGGCATCTTTGAATGTCATAATCACAAACTTTCCTATGTGAACGTACGGTACAAAGTATCTGAAACGTAGCAGTCAACGATAAGAATCGTGCGGTATGTATGCATGCTCTTGGTACGAGCATGCGGTTGATTATTGGCAAAAAAAAAAAAAGAAAAAAGAAAGAAGAATCACCCAGAAACGAAAAGAAATCGCACGGACGGATCGCTACTGTAACTAAATGTGTGTGTGTGTGTGTGTGTGTGTGTGACAACTAATTTCCTATTATGTTGATTTATTGTAATAATCTATCTGGGTTTAGTCTTTGTACAAAGATATAAGAATGTAATGACTTTATGATACGATAATTGCAAAGATTACAAAGAACAAAGCAAGAAGAGATACTTTGTTTGAAAATTAACGGAAATAGACTGAATATGTATGTTATCTGGATATGAATAGAATATGTATGTTATCTGGGTATGAAATTCATAAATGATTGAGCGGGACGATGATGCATAAATAGTTCAACTGACCCAAAGAGAGCAAGAGGAATCGAACATGCCCATAGGACGTATCGTTTCCGCTTCCAAATGGACACGTTCACAATTTCTTTCATGCAATTTCGTAACTTTGCCTTGGATTTCGGCCCTTTTTCGTCTTCTTGCGGCACATTTACTGGAAAAAAAGATGTTTTCGCTGATTCTCCGACTCTCCAGCAAAGCGTTGAATATTGCGATTATTGCGACTTAATGTTCAACCGAAACAATATCAGACCTGGTATCGGCTTAAAAAGTATCGCGCAAGCCATAATGAGGGCTGTGAGCACGGCCAAGCTCCTTAGCGTTCCCTCCAAGCCAAAACGTCGCAACAGGAACTCTATCAAGTATGGAATGAGCGTCGTAAATATGGAACTGCCAGCCGTAACGATGCCGTTCACTAATCCTATATATTTTTTAAAGTAGTGACCCAAGATCACCAGGCTTGGAGTGTAAGCGAGACTTGCACCGAGACCGTACATAACGCCATATGTTAAATAGAGCAATTCCACCTGGAAAAAAGAGAAAAAAGCTCAAAGTGTCTATACTCTTATAATCTATATTCTCAGTGACTTAGACGATGATTTTAGAGATGATTGCAAATAATTATCAAGGCGACATTGTCTTTGATCCCATTTGCATTACCTTATCTGTAAGCAAGGAGGAAAGAAGCAGTCCACCGGACGCGATCGCACCTCCCGCAAAAGTAGTCATCTGAATGCCGAATTTATCCGTAAGTATACCGGCGACTGGCGACAGGAAAAACGTAGTTCCGATAGTCAAGGAACCCACCAAAGCTAAAATAATTTGATGATTTGATGATTCAGCAATTTCGCGCGATGGTCCAGATATCCAGAAGATGACTTCAGGACTCTGATTAATCGCGACTGAGTTCGAAGTAGTTAATCGATAGTCGGAATTTATCAACGTCCCATTATCCTATCGAGAATAACAAGGCGATGCTGAGGAGCATGTGCGTGTCAATAGACAAACAAACAATTAGGTCAATTAATGATCGCGACCACCGATCGGACCCGTACGTACGTTACAAATTAATAGCGCGTATCTAGGTCTTGGCAATTTATGACATGTATATCTTCTTGCAAGAGAAATGACTCTATTTTGAAGATATTTAACATCGGGAACATAAAAGCCGATCTTTTCGACCCTTAAATCCATGCACGAGCACGTATAAAAAGAGTGTATAAAAAGAGCGTTATAAAAAGAGAATAAGTTGCGTCTTATTGTTATAATATAACTAGAATGTGCGACTAGACCTCAAAGCTCATTAAAATCGGAGGACGACACTATCGCGAGTCTGACTCGTTAGTTTGATGAGTAGCATCAGCAAGTAGCATGAATTAACCCCTATTACTGTAAACGACCGCCTAACTGCCGAACAATTTAGGTCCTCGGTATTTAAGGACGCCGCTCATGTAAATAATTAATCACGTTGGCAAAGTTAATTTACATATCGATTGGGAATAATCCCTTCTTTCGGTCAACTTTGACCCGTGACGAACGCGTGAGCGCGCGCGCGCGTGTGTGCGCGTGCGCGTGTGCGTGTGCGTGTGCGTGTGCGTGCGTGCGTGCGTGCGTGCGTGCGTGCGTGCGTGCGCGCGTGCGTGCGTGCGTGCGTGTGTGTGTGTGTGTGTGTGTGTGTGTGTGTGTGTGTGTGTGTGTGTGTGGTGTGTGTGTGTGTGTGTGCGTGTGCGTGCGTGCGTGCGTGTATGTGTGTGAATATCTTGTGTGTAACAATACTGTACTCTGCACTCGAAGGTCGTATTTGATTTTTTTCCTTTCTTTCATTATTTATCTAATTATAGCAAAAGATTATAAATAACAGATTTATGCAGACGGTGAACAAACACATTTCGTTCCACCCAATACCATCGAGTCACTCAGAAGTCACTTCGAAAAAACAACGGAGAGAAAATGCGAACGTACAATCTGCTGCAGTAACAAAAGTCGGCGCTCATACTCATGCGCTAATGCTCATGCAACGAGCATTAGACACGACGTTATCGAAATAGAGAGGCGATTCTTTCGGAAATATTCAGATAACAAGGTTCATCAACCGCTCGCTAACTATATGCTCGCGTTTCGCTCGTGCGAGATGTGCTGGCAAACTTCTCGAATATATGTGCTATCGATTCTCGAAAAGTTTCGACACGATATAATACACAGTGTAATTACACAGTGTAATTATTAAATATTTATTGTTAGTACAAACGTCAATTGTCAATTTGCCGCAAACGCATGCGAACGAACAACGATTACTGCGAATGACAATTAATAATATATGTATTGTTCCAATCGTGTGTGATTTTCATTTTCACGATGAATTATCGTGTGAATTTCGAAACGTTTGTTCCTTCATGCGCGTCTCTACACAAATCTTTTATTATAATTATAAAAAAGAAAGAAAGAAAGAAAAGAGAAAATAAATACGAGCGACCTTTTTCACTCTCAACATTAAATACATAAAGTTAAATATTTTTATTATATAATGCTACCTAATGAAAGGGAAAAAAATAGATGCCAAAGAAACGGGTATATCAACGACAAGAATGTGAAAAAACGGAAGTAATCACTTTTCAGTATATTACTGCTGCTACTTATAAGTAAAAACAATAATTTGCATTTAATCTTTGGGAACGCGCACGTTGATTGATTATTTGTACAAGAGATCATTGGAGAAGTACGTTATATACATATAAATATACATGTGTCGCGCAAGTAAGTATTCCGTTGGCGAGATCGTTGCTGGAGATCTGAAAACGGAAAAGATTGGTGATAAAAAATATCGCAGACTTTTGCGTAGAGTGCACCCGGAAAACGAGTAATCGCAGCATCATGTACATGTTTTATCGTCAAATATGTGAATGTGTAAACACTTTAACGCTGTCTAGTCGATCTAATCGATCTAAATGATCGCCATGATCTCGGGCAATATTCGCGCAAAAACTCGCGACGATATTTCAATTAATCTCTCTGAGGAGCCACTTGTCTCTCTCTCTCTCTCTCTCTCTCTCTCTCTCTCTCTCTCTCTCTCTCTCTCTCTCTCTCTCTCTCTCTCTCTCTCTCTCTCTCTCTCTCTCCCCCTCTCTCTCTCTCTCTCTCGACATATCTCGATATTCCGATAGATATATCAACGATTCAGTAGCACGCAACGAAAATGTTAAATCAGACGACGTACAGCGATCCTTGTAATAAAGAAAGATTAAGCGACAAAGCAGACGTGGTGATGTAATAATTAACGATGAAAAGATAGAATTTTATCGACAAATTCAAAGAACAGGAACAAAGGAAACTCTTTCTCTTTCGCGTTCTCCTTCGTTTCCACTTGTCTCGCATAATCGATAAAACTCTTCGCTGGACAATGTCGTCGACTGAAACGTCTTTGGCCGGTAGTACAAGAGTAATAATGTAAAATATCTCATATTGTGGGAAATGTTGCGGGAGTAAGACGACGTCGCGAACCGTCCGGCGCGCGTGCGCGCGTGCACGCGCGAACCCTCCGCAAACACGGTTCCTCACCTGCTTTGGAAGACACCTCGCTTTCGCCGGCTTCCGTCAGTCGCCTCTGCAGCTCCATGTAAATGAGGGAGTAAGTGTTGATGATGCTAAAGAGCACGCCATTGATCGCGAAGCTGCCGATCATGATCATCCAGGCTCTGAGACCACCGTCCGGCGGCCCCGCGGCCGCTGTCCCATCGCTCGCAGGGCCACCCACCTCGGATCTGTTCGGCCATCGGCTCTTGTTGTTGTCCATCGTCCGCACTGTCTGCGCCGCTACTACCTTGCCCGTTCTTCTCGGTTTGCCGATCGACGCATCGATCGTCACTGTCGCGCTCTGTCCGTTGGTACCGGCCAACAACAGGGGGTTGACCTCGGTCTCGCTCAAACCGGAAATGTCGTCGTCGGCAGTCCGATCGACATAGCTCGCCGCCGCGACAGTCGACTCCTCGGAGCCGTTCGGCTCGGCGCGATCGATCGCGTAAATCATCGGCGCGACGTTATTGCCCGGAACGAAACCGTTACAGGCGTCCTCCGGCCCTCCGGCCTCCCCGTCGATCGTCATCGTTATCGACGATGATTCCCGCCGATTAACTCCGCCGATGTAAGAGATATCTGTGGACTGTGAAGCAAAATTACAGATAATTCTCCTCGGAATCTTTAACGCAATCCCTCAAATTCTTTCTTGCCCCCACCTCTCTCTCTCTCTCTCTCTCTCTCTCTCTCTCCCTCCCCCTCTCTCTCTCTCTCTGTCTTTCCCCCGTTCCTTGAACTGAATTCTCCCAGGATTTGTTGCAATTCTTAATCTTCGATATTACACATCATTCGCAAAGTTGCAAAGTCGGCGACTTTTATCTGTCGATTCTGTCGACGCATTTACGAATATTTATCTGCTTTCGAAAGCGTCCTTGAGTGAGATTACCGCTTATCATAGTAGACGCTATGCGACGTTAAGTAATTTTCGTATCCGCTGTCCTCAGATGTGAAAGACTCATTACAGTTCGTTTGAAATGAAATAAGATCGATCGAAAATCGCGCAGGATGCATGGACATGTACGCGCGTACATATATCTACGTACGTACGTCGCACGCTATTGCTATACAAAAGTCGGCGATGCGCGGGCTTGATGAGTACTTGACGACGCGCGGCTTCAAAGACTGCAGATTTACGATTGGAAGCCCAACTGCACCTGACCGATTTTATCCACACCGGTGCAAAATGGACTACTGTACACGCATACGCTCCAAACCGGTTGCAACATGTTTATTTTTACGCACATTAGGAATGCAAAAAATAAACAATGAGGAAATTTTATTTCTGAAAATTTTTCACAAATAAGCTCTCTCTCTCTCTCTCTCTCTCTCTCTCTCTCATTGGACCATCTCAGTTGCATTTCGAACTGCATCCAGGATAAGTGTTCGTTTCGGGTAATCGTAATTTCGAAATCCTGCGTATGATAATAATGAACGAACCGATGAATCCTCCAATATTTCAATCGCGCCTACTGGTGGCTTCTATGAAGACGATACGTGCTCCGTGTCACTCACCGTTTACAAAAGCAAAAGTGCTGACCAAAGCAGCAAACGTATGTATAATAAAACAAAAAATGTTCAATTTCTTCGAAAACGAGCTGCTGCTCAAACAGAATTTGATACATTCCGTTAATTTCCCCGCGAAAGGCGCGCCTCATCCGACAGTCTGATGATAAATCTCGCGGAACATTCAATGTGTTGAACTCTCATTACTTAATCTCGAATTTTTGCCGCGTTATTATATAGCTATGAGATATTTCGCGCAGAGGGTTGTTTACAGCGAGGTACGTTAACCACCGGTGCCAGTAATGTGCACCGGTTATTAAAACCGGTTATATATTTTATACTTAAAACCGGATTTTAACCCAGATTATTTGCTGACGATGAGACGGATCGGTATAGTCATATTACAGAACCATCCTGCATGATATTCAATCGTCCGCACACGTGCAACATGCTTCGCAATCTTTACGATTGCGTGGAATATATGGTGTCTCTTTTATCTTTATTTTCGCGAAATAGTCGCTACAATATCTGCACGTGCGCATTTTCAGCGATACTTTAACGCTACTTTACTTGACCCTGACATTACTCGGCACCGAGGTCAAACCGAGGTTTAATAGTCCTAGACGATTCGACGATATCCTTTGATATCGTACGTCGCGCGATCATCGTACTGTATATCCGTATTTCCTCATTTTATTTTTATCCGATAAGGTGGTAATGTTTTCAGGAGGGAAACATTCAGCGTATGAATGATCTCTGCTATTTTGTGCAATTCAATACGCGACGTTTCAATGCGCGCACGTACGCGCAGCGAAAAAGTGATAGAAAAGTGATAGAAAACGCAAAATTGAGAAGGAAGGTATATAATAAACGAAGCGCGCATATATAAGTATATTTAAGTTGAATTTCTACATTATTCGATTTAAATGCCAATGCGATAAAAGAGAAGATAAATATTATCTGGACGAGGGAACTGAAATGATCTTGATCTAATCTTGACACATCCTGTGTGTCAAACGATTCGTTATAGGAAGAACAAATAATTCACTCTAATTTATTCCGCTTCCTCAAGCACACATGTACAGTACAGAGCTAATTGTATTTTATACATTAGCGCGGATAAGCAAAAATACGTCTATCTCAGGTTACATTGCATTTGTCTTTAGCTTGTAAAAAACTCAAAAAGAAAAAATTGCATTTAGCGAGCTTTGTCAGTTAACACGCGCCGCGCTATGAAAACGCGAGCATGGTTTTAATTGCACACAATTATTGCACACGTGGAATCGTTCAGACAATCGGTTAGGTTAGGTAGAAGCACAAAAGAGGGATGCTCCTTTCAAAAAGTACTTGCTTTACTCCTTATCGATGCCCGATGCTGCAAAATGAAAAAAAGTTAACACGAGCGACCACGATACGACACACGTCGTATTATTTGGTCATTTGGGCCGCATGTGTACACGCGATTTTACGTATATCGTATATATATATATATATATATATATATATATATATATATCGTACCGCGATTGTTTTATTGGACAGTGTGTATACAATCCTTGATTTACTTTGTGAACAAGAATTTGTTCGCACTCGATATATTCGCACGAACGAAGGGACACGCTCCGTTCGTTCGCGAGAAACGCTGACCGTCTGGAGCAACAGCGGTTTTAGTATCCAAGGCGTTACATTATTGCATCAGCTCGTGTGAAAGACGAACGCTTAAATGCACGCGGCCAAATGATCGTCGAGTAAGCGCCGGCATGTATTAAAGACATTCATGCACGGGCGTATCTGAAGAGATTTTTTTGACCTTGCGTCTAGATGAAACGACAAATAGATTATCAGAATGCGTTCCGACAGATAGCCGAATTTCACCGAGCATTCGCGGAGTCGCGGAATACTGTCACTTATTACTGCCTATGTAATATTGCCTATATAAATAATTTTTTATAGTTCATGTATCGCGTGCAAATATGCCTGCAAATATCTGTGAGTTTCATCGTGAGATGATGAATGAGATTATAGCGGGCGGATACTATGAGTGTAATTCTTGGATAAAATAATAAAAACGAAATTGCTACACACTATAGTAACTATCTTCTATATAAGAAAGTTTGAAATATAATTTCCTTGCAATTTTGTCGAATAAATTTGTATGGATAGAAACTCTTGGTACATTTATAGAAAATGATTACATTTGTGAGTTTGGTGGTTAAGAGAGAGATTCGTAATCAAAACATATGTTGACTTTACAATGTGTGAATATTGTAAAAATTGTATCCTAAAAATTGATGCATGATAACGAATACATATGCGGCGTTTTTCTTTTCTCGTGCAAAATACTTTTGCAATCTATATCAATTGTATCTTACAATCCGATCGGCTTCATATCTGATTAAATCTGATGATTCATTATCGAAAAGTATAACATGTCTAATATAATATGTGCATATGTTGTGTGTGCGTGCACATACATTGCTAAAGCACAAAATCTGATTTAAAAGTTTGAAGCACTGTATAATCTCAAGTGTGGTGCTAAAACCAGGTTTCGAATATTAGAGGCAATTCTTGAGAAATTTTTGTTCTTTTTTCTATCATGTTACATTCCCTTTTTGATATATCGTTTCAGTGTCAGAAGTCGCAAGCAAGCAACCGGAGAAACGGGCGGGGGTCTGTCCGATCGTTTTGGGCTGAGCGACTTTGCGTTCGGCCCAGAATCGCATTTAGAAATTCGGAGCATCTGCCCTGATATAATTAACATGAGGGAACCTTGCTCGCGGTGCAGCAAGTTTTGCGCGAATCTTATGTTCCTCCTTGCAGCTTTTAAAACATAGGCACTGATATCTCAGTGCTGTTAGAAATTTTACGCGAAAAAAAAAGACCACGACTTCAGGTTGGTTTCAATATCATCGAGCATTTCTCGTTTATTAGTATTTTGCAATTTCGCGATAAAAAACCATATTGTTTTACAAGATATAATTACTTGTCATCGTGAATTGTAAGGTGTCCCAAACCTTCTAACGATACCACAGAGGCTTGCTATACAAACAAAGAATACTGAAACTAGTAAACGTAGCGGCATATCGCATATCTACTAAGAGTCAAGCAATATCCGCGCGCGGCGCGCGGCCAAATTAGCACGTGGCAATACGTACATGTGATTCGCACACGTGTAATGAAATGAATAAAACACTCTGGAAATTCGATATGTGCCTGAGGGATTACCGGATTCGGATGATTCTCTGTGAGCGTGGCGGCATGCAGTGCGTATACATATACGTCATATGCTCCGGTACGCGGGCCGTGAAATTCTCCAAAATCGCCGACTCCAGGAGTCCGACGACGGCAACCACAGTGGTAGGGAGAAAAGAAGAAAGACAATATGGCAGGCAGAGGATCGAAGAAAGAGACGAGAGAGAGAGAGAGAGAGAGAGAGAGAGAGAGAGAGAGAAGAGAAGAAAAAGAGACGGGCGAAACAGCGAGTCACGCAACCGATCACCCTTTGCAAGAGACCGACAGACCGGCCGATCGCGTCGTCGAACGTAAACTAAAGAGACGACCAATGTTCTCGCGAGGCGAGAGGTCGAAAGTTGCGACGAGAGTCAAGAGAGAACCCGCTAATACGCGAGCTTGAGACTAGACGAAGCGAGAAGAGAGCGACAAAAGGATAGAAAAGGGGTGTGCGAGGAAGGAGGAAGGCGAGGGGAGAGGAAGAGTGCGAGAATAGGGGAGGTGTGGAGGAGAATGATAGAAGAGGACACAATAGCGATAAGCCGACTTGAATAGCAAACTCGATGTATACCGCCACGTGCACATTTGAAAAAACGCGAAAGAAAAAGAAGAGACATTACGCTGTCGCGCGCGCGCATACACGCCGCGCGCATTCGGATCGCATGACGCATCATCAGTAGTATTTCTACGCGCTCGACCCGGATTCGGCGCCGAAAATGTAACACAGGGTGGAAGAAATAAGAGAAAGAACGGGGGGAGGGGAGGAGGGGTGAAGTAGAAAGAGAGAAAATGTGCGTGCGTACATTTCTTCGAAACTGTACAATCCCTTTCGTAGTTGTTCCCTTCGTGATTTCAGAAATCAAACAAGCTGCGATATAATTTACATCGGGTTAGATGATGCAATATATATTGCGTAGAAAAAAAATGTATAAATATATCCCCTAGAGATAAACGTGGTGTCTGCCATACATACGACACAATCTAAAACGATAAAAGCGGTAAATAGTGCGTTGCGCGGGAAGTGCATGTTTCTTTATCGATTCACTTTCCGCATATACGACATATTTATCCACGCTCGATTCATCTAACACTTGTACCTATAAAATTGTTTCTATATCGAGTAGTTTATAGTCTATCTTTTCCTTTCGTTGATAAAAAAGTTGATAAAAAATAGCGAACAAAGTTACTGACTGGATGTATACAGGTTATTAGATTAAAAGTTGTCTTATAGTCTTTTTTGCAATTGACGTGATTTATAAGTGCCATGTAGATGATCCGTTTGATATTACGATAATAAATCAATAACGATACGATATTAATTCTATTAGAATTTACTGATAAATTAACAATCATTCAGTTTAACGGCGGAGCTGTCGTTGAATTGAACGAGATGTTTAATTTGCGCATATCTCTCTCTCTCTCTCTCCCTCTCTCTCTCTCTCTCTCTCTCTCTCTCTCTCTCTCTCTCTCTCTCTCTCTCTCTCTCTCTCATATCTACCCATCTACGTATCTATCTCATTGAATACAAAAATAATTCAACGCTAATTAACAAGAATATATTGACACTTTTCAGCATCTGAGGCTGAAAATCATCAGCTTACTAGATTGACGCAATCTACTGACGTGTGTTGCAACAAGCATGTGTGTTACATTAAACAAGTATATGTATACGCGATTCTTCTAGCATATATGCTCGCATAAAGATAAAAGAGTTCAGCCTGCTTGAGATACGGGGATAGAAAAATAATGGTTGAAAACGCACATTTCGAGCGACCTCGTGCACGTATTTTGCACGCAGCTTGATCAAACGTGACAGATTGATCGACTTCGAGAGGTACTAATCTAAGATTATATGCATGAATTATGTGATAATACAGTAAATTGTCACGTACCACGAAAAGCGTATACGCTTAATATCCACCATGTTAAATGCGAACAACTTGCGACGATTTCACTATACCACGCCAAGCTCCGGTTAACCTCGCTTTAACCAACAACTCGTGACGTGTTGATTATCGACGCAGGGCTCGGGGATGATGATAACATAATCGACCAAGTGACATGCGCCAGCTATACGTAAAATATTCTCGTCGTTACATGCGGGCTTGTGCATGCCCGCGCATTTTATATCTCAACATTTAAAGTTTAAACATTGTAGAACGTCGTCCAGACCCACCCAGGTGGTTATGCAATGTTTCCCAGAAACGATATAAAAGTGACAGATGCGAAACTCATCGAATGTAACGGGATCCGCGACAAACTTAATTAGATTTCATTTTATTAGATTTTCTCGATTTCTTGCGCTAGACATAAAATATACGAGTGAAAAGAAAAAAAGACATATCACGTGTCGAAAGATACTATGTCTGTTCCGAAGCTATCGTACTTGCTCAAAATACACTACTTGTTCAAAAATATAAAAACTGCAAACAACCGCAAAACCTAGCTTAATTCAAAATCTGCAAATGCAGTTTACTGATCGTTTGCACAATTTAAAGACACGATAATCTTAAATATTAATAAAAATACCAATAGAATAAATAAATATATAGAAATTAAAGAGCCACTTTTTGCGATTACAAAAAATAATAAAATATTTTTACATATCTGACAAATCTCTCTCATTCTTAATTTATTTTTATATGATATTGTACGTGTAAGAATTATATATGTATAAATTTATTTTTATAAATATATATCTGGGAACTAGAGGGTGGAAAATAACTCGCCCTCTTTCTCTCTCTCTCTCTCTCTCTCAGAATCTCATTATCGTTATTTTTATCAAAATTACAACTTATTAAACTTTAACGAGATCTACAATAGAAGTCGCAATCTTAAGTCGTAAAGTCATGAGAGAATTAACCAATCGCAGTTGATTATTCTCTTTGCAACCGAAGAATAGTCAATTGTGATTGGTCAATTCTCTTGGTATAATCTTGAGACTTTGGAACTTCTATTGTACAGAAGCTCGCTTTAGGCTGCGTTTCGATATTCACTGCCAGTACTGAAAATACATAGTTTGTGTCACGTATACTATAGATTTTCAGTGCTGGCAGTGAATATCGGAACGTAGTCTTGGTTTAAGATCTACCAACTTTATAACTAAAACCAAAGTTTCCGAAACCGATTTCGAAACAAACCTTTTTATACATTGGCCACGTTTAGTAGAACAAAGTGATCAGAGAACGCTTAGTGATTATTGTCTGTGATTGGAGCATTCTTTTAGATTCTTCATAGACCCAGAAGTATTTACCAATCAGGAGCGAGATTCAGTGGAAAATCTAGTAATGTTGAGTCAACTGTTGAGTCTGCTGAATGCAGCCATTGACATAGAGGATTTCGCCTTAATAGAGGTGTCTGCAGCCATTATTGAGAGAGAAAAAAAAAGAAAGGGAGAGAAAGAGAGAAAAAGAGAGAGAGAGAGAGAGAGCGAGTGAGTGAGTGAGAAAGGAAAAAAAGTGTACTCTTGAGATACTTGTCAAAGCAAGTCAGCAAACGTCACCACGTTGCTCGAGTTTTAACGCAACTATTTAAATCGTAGAACAATAGAAAAAAGATGACTAGTGTAGACTGGGAGGAAGTTAAAAGATTAGCTGCTGATTTTCAAAAGGCGCAGCTCAGCTCGACTTTACAAAAGTATGTGTTACTTTTATTGTGTTTTCAGTTAATCTAATTTTTATCCTTGCGATAAACAATTTACAATAAATGTAAAATGATTATGAATATCTGATTGTTAATTTTAGTTAATTATATTAAATTTACAAATGTTTTTGTCATTCGACTCATGTTTTGAACATAATCTTATTTCTTATATATGTTCTGCAGAAACTCTATAAATCAATCCAAACATATGGTATTAATAATATTGCGATAAATCAATTTTCATTATAAACTTGAATGCGTCGATTCGATATATTTAATTTTAATAATTATTATCTATTGTATAGACTATCACTAAATTTTGTTTTTAAGATCTTTTTATTTCTAATATATATATATATTAGTAATTGCACTCATATTATTTGGGATATTTAAATTAAAAATCTAAAAATTCAATTAGCTGCACATCTATGTCGACACACAATATTTATTAAATTTGTGTAGTGATTTGACATACAAGTGAGTGATATATGAGTGAATTTATATTACAGGCTTTCAGAACGAAACTGTATAGAGATTATAACAACATTGGTAGAAAATAAACTTCTAGATATTATATTTACCAATGATGGCAAGGAATATGTTACTCCACAACATCTAGGAAAAGAAATCAAAGATGAATTGTATATTCACGGTGGGAAAGTTAGTTTGGTTGAACTGGCCCAGATTCTTAATGTCAGTTTATCGCAAGTAACAAAAGTCGTAACAGAGATCGAAAGACACAACAAGGGATTAAAAGTAATATTGGGACAACTTATTGATAAAAGTTATGTAAATAAAATCGCAGAAGAAATCAATGATAAGCTTGTGCAACATGGCTGTATCAATGTAGCAGAGCTGACGCTTACTTATGATTTACCAGCTGAATTCTTACAATCAGTTGTTGAAAAAGAGCTCGGAAAAATAATACACGCAACTCAAGATTCTCAAGATCCCAAGGTCTTTTATACGGAAAGTTTTATCGCTACAAATAGAGCAAAAATTCGAGGTGCATTATCTGCCATCACAAAACCTACACCATTATCTGCAATATTAGGACAATGCGCTATTCCGGAGAGGATATTTTTTTGTAAGTATTACATCGTAATATGAAAACAATATGACCAGGTTTCTAACATAGCACTCTTGCTCTCTCTATCTTTATATTATTAAATTATCTTAGGCATTAAGCAATTACATTTATTAAAACAGCTTTATTATTTATTGTTATTTATCTTTGTAACATTTTAACTTTTGACTTATTTTGTTTATGTATATACAGTAATTTTTATTTATACTTATCAACACTTATATATATGTATATATATATATATATATATATATATATATGTATATGTATATGTATAGCATATATTTATATATATAATGTGTGTGTGTGTGTGTGTGTGTGTGTGTGTGTGTGTGTGTGTGTGTGTGTGTGTGTGTGTGTGTGTGTGTGTGAGTGTAGCAATTCTAGATGGTTTACAAGAAATAAAACAGGTGCCTGGAGTTGTAACCGGGAAGCAAGGTGGAAATAGCGTTTATATACCTACTATCTACTCCAAGAGTCAAAATGATTGGGTCGAGAACTTTTACAAGCAAAATGGTTACTTGGGTAAGATATAGAATCTGCAAAAATTCCTATGTACATTCCCATGTAACGCAATAGAATTTACTTTTATCTTTCAGAATACGACGCGCTCGCTAGACTCGGGATATCAGACCCAGCGAGTTTCGTAAAACGTCACTTTCCGGATGAAAATATAGTTTTATTGAAATCCGTAGCTACCGGAACAGTAATAACAGATCAGGTCGATGCCAATATCGAAGAAGCTGTTGCGACCGGATTCTTCGTTGATCTTTATCCCCTTTTACCGTCTGTATTTAGCGACGAAGATGCGGAAATTCTTCTCAAACAGGCCACGAAGAAGACAAAGGCCAATGTACATATATTCGTGAAGACAGTTGCAGTTTCCGACGCATTTTTGCAAACTTTAAATAAATCCCTCGAGGTACTAGCGGACAAAAAGGCCAGAGAGATCGTAGCTAGCGGAAAGTGGATCCAATATATGGCCGAAAATAAATTCAAGTTCAAATCCGTGGTCTTGGTAACCGAGAGTAAAGTAAGTAAGAGAGAGGAGCGTAGGAAAAAAGCAGTGATCGGTAAAGCGGGCGGTGGTAACCAAGGCAGGGAAACCAAGACCAAGTCCACGAAAAAGAAGTATCTTCAAGGAAGAATACAGGAGAATGAATCCGACGAAGAGGAGACCAATCAGACAGCAGTCGGAAGGGTTGAAATCATATTGATATCCGTGGAGGATGTGAAAGCAGAAATTGCGAAGGATGAGAACGTATCCATGATCGAAGAACTGGCGGGTGAACTAGCCAATCACTTGCAACCGAAGCTAAACAAATCGGCGTTGTTGTTGGCCGAACAATTAGGGCAAACCACCAGTAAGACCGCCATTCTGAGTGAGATCGAGGAACGTCTGAATGTTCTAGTAGCGAATGTCAGAATATTCGACAAAGGTGTCAAACAGCTGGACAAGGCGGATCAGGCTCCGTTGACCAAGTATTTGTTGAAGTCTCTAGGCCTGGATTTCGTGACACGTATATTCAAGCTAGCGGCTCAACAGAATATGCTACAAGTCGCCGAGAATCTTACGACAGAAACGAGACAAAAACTATTGCTAGAGTTACCTACGGATGTGAAGGAGCCGTTAACCGCTGTCCATAAAGCAGCGATGGGAGATACGGTGGAAGACTTTTTGAATACTGTCGACAGTGCGATGGCAGCTTGCTGTTTGGTTCTGAAGAAGTACGATAAGAAGAAGGAGAAGCCGCAGGTGCTCGCTCACAGAGAGGCTCTGTTGGAAGAGCTCAACGCCACGCAAGATCCTGCATTGGTGTTGCATCTGGTCACGAGCTTGCTCTTCACTGCAGTTACGCAAAGTGCCTTACACATGTCTGGTAGACACGTGTCGTCCATTCTGACGTTTCTTCGAAAACACTTGGAATCTGATGCGATGTCGATTTTGTCTCGATACCACGGTACGTAAAATACATGCGGCGAATCAAAGACTGACACTTTCTACAACAAAATCTCTAAACAATTACGACAAGAAATTTTCCTTTTTTTTCCTCTGCACAGATTTGGTGCTCAATTTGCTTCAAAGTGCTTCCGATGAAAACGCAAAGATGGACGCCTCAAACGCCTTGAAAGAAGGACTGGCTGATATTAAAAATATTGCTAATAATTTCAAGCAACACGTAAAAATGGACAAATCCTGAGAGCGGTTACGCAACTAGTTCTATACTTGCAAAGATTCGAGAATTTCTTTTTAATTTTGGCAATAAATTCCCTGTAAGATGAACACTTTGGTCTCTCTGCAATTTTACTCGTGACGCGAACGTAATCAAAATTAAATTACAGAGTTAATATTCGTCTCTCCTCATACTGCGTATGAAAACAGTGTTATGGAAAGATTAAAATTTGTTTAAAATTATGAAATTTCTTGTATTCTTAGATAACAAAGACAACGTAGAATAGTACAAGTTTACTTACTCTACAATAGACACGTGTAAATTATTATTATATATATTTTATGATATGAAATATAGGATATATATATATATATTAATCATTTAAAAAACATTTTTTTAAGAATTAATTTATTGATATCGTCAAGTTTTCTCATCATAATATTATAATAAATGCATCTGTCTCTTGTTACAAAATTCCTTAAAAGACATCTCTTCAACGACTCTTACAGTTTATCGTTTTTACACTTAATCCATTGATAGATATTAATGTAACTAAATATCTACAATGATAAACTTACCTATGTATGTACAGAGCTCTGTATGTGTGTGTGTGTATATATTTTTGCGTGTATATACTTAGAAGACAGTTGATCACCGTTTTCACGTATGTATACATACTCATATACATACACACACAAACACACACACATACAAATATCACAAATGTAGTTCCTAGGTTCCTAGGTTACAAAGTTGCTAAAATTCGTGTAAATCCAACGCACGCAGCTACTACAGTCTGCCCAATGCCCCAAAATAATGCATACAAAGGCGGCATTTGATAACCTGATGCTCTATATACAAAAGCAACTGCCGCTGAACTGACGACTCCTGATGTCAATGGCAACAGCACACCCATTATTATAATAAGCAGTGGAAAGAATCTATGGGCGTACAATAGACAGGGCGTACGTGAGGTAATCGTATCGTTCACATATATGTAAATAATTATTAGAAACTTAAAACTTACATACTTGCCGTATTTGTGTTGCCGTAAGGTAGCAAAACAGATTGCTCCAGCGATTGTATGTACGAATATCGAAGAAAATAGGGCCCATAAAAATATCTGATACCACATCTCTGAAAAATGATGAGGAAACGTTGACTCGAATTGAAACCGATGACTCTCTCGAATGTATATATTAAATTGTTTAATCGTATACCTGCGAATGACGTCAAGGGCATATAAAATATGTTGCCCGAGTTCATATTTCGAAGTGCCATTTGTAGCCGCAATAAATTGACATTCGTTTGCGCACGCACTTAGACATCGATGAAGAAACGTTTTCCCGAATAATCGTCTCGATTTGCGAGACGACTAAATTTTTCGTTAATTTTCCACTCTCTTTACACCAGTATGACAGTTGTGGGTGAGGTTACGTCAGAGCATCGTTACGAGAGTATTTCGGAATTGTTGACTGATATCATCATTGTGATGACACGCAAAAGACAATAATGGCGATAACAATGTAAATGGGTAAATATATATCCTTGACGATAGAAAAAACGAATAGAAAAAAGAATTCAAATTGGACGTTCAAAGAACTCAATATCAGTCGACGGACACGGTTGTCAAATTTGACATCACACGTCGTTACTCCGTTGGTAACAGTTGGCTAATCGCAGTAGGAAGGTTATATAAGGTTGGTACTCGCGCATGCCCGAGCTCGTTCAATTGAGATTCAAATGTCATATAATCAATAACGATCAAATAGTTAAATAAACTATAATTGTATCGGCCGATTTCTATTAGATCCAGACCCCATATTGTTATAGCTTTAATTAATAGGAAAATCATTGAAATAAAACTGACAAATGAAACCTTAATTGTGGGGTAGAGTAGAGCTTTTCTTTTGAATCAAAATTATCAAAGAACCTACAAAAATAACGAAAAATTTAGAAATTATCCAGACATTTCTTTCTAAATAAATAAACCGACTCATTGTTTCTTTCTGTTTCTTTAATGCTATATCGTCATGCATCGTATTTTGTAAACGTACCACATAATAACAAAATATTATATTACATATACACTAAGTTAGTTTAGATTGTAATCGCATCTCTTGCAGGTTGGAAGAGATAAGACGAAAATATGAGTGTTTATCGAAAGAAAAAAAAAAACTTAATAATGTTATTAGTGTTGCTTTTATATAATTTTGAACATGAATTTAAAGACAGCAGTACTTCTCCAATTTTCCAATTTATCTGCAGGTACTACTTCTACACATATTCACACGTACACCCTCATCTTTCAAAATTTATATTTAAATTTCTCTAAGCACATCAGATATTTGTCTACTTGGTTATTGGGTTATTGAGTCTTCGGTATACAAAAACATTTATATTGTAATGATCTTTATATTTTGCGATTCAAAACCATAATTGAACGAATTTAATCGATTTGTTAATGAAAAAGAAACTACGTAAATAAGATGTAGCGCTAATATTGAATAAGAAAAAAGTTCAAATAGTGTAAGAAACACTGGCATTATATATCTGCATGATATATATACATACATATATATGTATACACGACGCACATACACACATACCGATAGATATACACATATACATATATATTTTTTCTTTTCGTATCAATTTTAAGATTGCGCAACAGCTAACATTTCTTCCTGATGAATTAAATGTGTAGTATGATTCACGAGACCCATCAATTTCGATAACGATGCAGCCCATGTGTCCAAGAGAGCAGCTGCTTCTTGCGTACCAGTAAAACGGACCACGCCAGCTGGACGATCTGTACGTGCACTGATAATACCAGTCTCGACGAGGTTGCAGAGACATGCTTCCGTTTCTTCGGCAGGGAGGTCTAATAACTCAGCCATACGAATTAATGTAATCTTGGTATAATACTTGGCCATGATTCTGATATTCTAAAAACGTGAAAGAAAAAAAAAAAAGACCCTTTCAGCAAATAGTATAAAATATATACTACTCTTCTGAGATGGACACGCAAATGTCTCATATTTTAGATATATTTCTAGCGCTGGTCAAGAACTTACATGTTCCACCACACGATTCCGTAGGTCTGTCCATCGTTTTCTGCCTTCTTCGGTCGTAGAACTAAAAACTTCTGTTGATCTGAGATCTCTTTCATAAATCTCACATAATCCCGACCATTTTATTAACTCGGGATTTACAAACAAACGCAGTAATTCCCTGGAAATTATTTAGTACCTTGCTTTTAGAAACACAAATAAATATATTAGATACTTCAAAACAAAATCAAACATATGACTACATTGTAGATTCGCACAAAGTAAATATAAGACTGTGTGTATGTGTGTGTGTGTGTGTGTGTGTGTGTGTGTATAGTAGGGGTTATTGCCCACATACACACATTATTAATGATGCAAGGGTTGACGGTTTACATAGATGCGAGAAAAGTCACAGTTTCATTATTAGACAGTTTTCTATTTATTCTGTGTGTCAAAATGGTTATAATTCTTACTTGTATGTGGGTATCTCATCGAGAAGTTTGTCGGCAAGTAGTCTATGAGTCAAATCGGCCTGCTCAGGTTCATGTGGAGCAAGAACAAGATACAGAACCGCTCGAGAAAGTGCAGTGTGCCTCTTCTCTGAATCGTCCCTGATCGCTGGAGTTTCTAATACTGCTCTATTATGCCGACACAATTCTAAATGCCAACCTTCATGGCGGGCCAATTCCATCATCAAACTAAATGTAAAGTGCGTTTTATTTAAATTGTCCTATATGATGAACTTCAACATAAAACACAATGCGTACATACTCGTAATATTTCAATTTTAAAGCCTGGGTTTCATCATCATTCTCATCACTAAAGAACTTGACATTGATTTTCTTCGCTATGATTTGTGTTCTCATAAAATCTTTCTTTGCCAGACAGAGTCTCATCTGCTCCAAGATCAGAGAAACTTTTTCCCGACGTGACATGCTACCATATGTCTCCACCTTTGTAAATGTGTTATTATGTGTTGGGACGATATGTGTCAATTAACTAACAATTATTATACCTTTATCATTAAAAATAATATACCTGTAATTCCAACATTACAGATGCAGCTCCTGCTATGTCCCCTTCTGCCTCTTTTATTTTGGCCAAACGATTAGTAAGCCTAGCTCTTTCCACTTCCACGTATATCTTGTATTGTTAAATTTTATACTTAATATAGATTAAGTCACTTGAATCACATAATTAATGTATATCAATTAGTACAATCAAGAAGATCAATAGACATTTCACCTATTGGACAGTTTGAGACACATTAAGGTACTAATTGTTCTGACAATACTAATAATGCAATAAGGATGTTAAATAATTAAAGATAAAGTAGTTTCAGTCAAGAAAATATATCTTAGATGCTATTTGCATCTTCAAAGAGGTTGCCAGCTTCCCTCAAAATGTCTTTTTTCTTTTTGAGATTAAAATCATGATTATATCATGAAGTACTCCAAACTTCTGTGTGGACTGTACTAATTAATTTATAATAATTAAAAATATAACTCACCTTTCCTTCTGTAACCGAACGAAGAGTCTCTATTAGCTTTACCATAGTTTCTTTATTGGGTGTTTTGTCTACATAAGTACAACATTCCTGAACCATCTTTGTAACAGCTTGTTTAAGTTGGGAACGTCTTTTTGACAATAAGATTATATGTTCATTAAGCGCTGACCAGTTTTTTGCTTCTAAACAAATTTCAACTATGGCTACAAGAAGTCTTGATGTTGATGCCATATCAGCACCCTAAAAAGATATAACAATTATACAAAGTTTGTAGCTATACGTATACAAATGTTCTTTACTCTGTAGTATCAATACTCAACAGTTCTAGTGAGTTTTTCCAAGGCCAATAATTGATCTAAAGCATCGTGTAGCTTTCCCTCAGACGCGAGTTTCTTGCATTCCGGGATCTTTGTATCGCAAGTGTTGCTGTAGTCCACTTCCATCTTCACAAGTCTGCCCGAGTTGTCCATTGCTGCCTCTGTCATTTTTACTACTTGATGATATCTAATTTCACAAGATAAATAGATGTACGTATTACAGTAATCCTGATTTAACAAATTTTTATAGTCGGTAAAAGGTTTAAGGTTTGGAAAAGGAGGCGATTCTTAATAACTTCCGAAGAATTGCCGTCAACTGCTGTAAACGTATACACTAGGTGTATATTCGTTTTAAAGAGGTTAGAACACCAATATAGAAAACCCCAAAGTCATTCCATCGATTGTACAAAGTTGTCAATTTGGTGTCAATTCATCAGCCTTGAGAGGCGTGTGACCTAAGATGTATACAAAATCACATATATTTCACATGAAACGTGTTATCGCTTCTCCAAATTCATTTTGCATCATTATACATGTGTATTTAAGCTCACCGTTTGAACTCAATCGAAACGAAGTTAAATGGAAAACTCTCATTCGTAACGCTCGGCAGATGACGTCGTATCAGACTTTTCGCATTTGTTCTGCTTTAAGCCAACGGCACACGGTGCTTGTTTTCGTGCTAGATTGCTTGCTGGATGAAATATTGCATTCTGATTGGTGCATTTCCGACGATGGATGGAAAAAAACAAGCACCGTGTGCCGCTGGCTTTAGTACCTTCTACACTTTATTGCTTCTGGCAATAAAGTGTAGATAATAATACTGCTAACGACACCGCCGACAACTATCGGTACGCGAGTACGGAATACAGCCCCCCCCCCAGTCGGCACTGCAGACAAAACGAACAAGCCTATTGATTGGCTGCTATGATATTCCCTAACCAACTTCCGCCGCGCGGCAAGCGACAAGTTGTCGCGTCCTATGTGCAACCGGCCGTAGAATATGAAGACAGGAATGCGGATTGTAAAAGTGATGTTACGAGTTACGACCTCTCTGTTACGGCAGGCGTAAGGAATTAGTCTTCAAGATACGTAACCGTCACGACTATGGTTGCGTTCCGAAATTCACTGTCAGTACTGAAAATACATAGTTTGTGTCACGTATACCATAGAATTTCAGTGCTAGCAGTGAATATCGGAACGCAGCCTATATGTATGTGGTGTTAAAATTCAAATTTAATTTCTTCATACTAATATACAGATATGGCACGTGCGGTAGAGAATATGAAAAATATATTTTTCAATATGCAGTTCAAAAGAACAAACAACTTGCTATACACAAAAAAGCCATTGAAACTATATCAGAGGGTGAGTCCGAATTACACTATTTTTCGTCAAATGGATTTTAACTTCAGTTCAATCTTTTCCTCTAAAATATAGCTTCAGTTTTGAATGAATATGTGTCATGAATATATGGGGCATATTATAGTGATTTATAAGTATTCCCTTAAAATATTTATAAGAATTCCCTTAAAATAGAATGAAAAAAGAAAGAACATATACGTGAAATGCTACAAAGTGTGTGACCTCTGTTGCTCAAGCTGTTGTTTATCCCATTTAAGCAAACATTCAATAAACTTTAAATGAATGTTATTGAATAAACCTTAAATAAATTGTAAATGAATCTTCAATTAAATTTGTCTTATTTTCTTTTAGACTAATTTAGATACGTTCTCAAAATATTTCATATCATGCTTAAAAGTGCCTCTTACAATGGCTCAAGAGCATCCACATATTATAAACACATTGGAATTCTGTGCAGGCTTCTCCATGAGCCTGTATTCCTGTGCAGAAAGTGAATCTATAGAACCTATGAAATCATTTCTCAATAAATTGTTCACATTCTTGTTGTCTTATGCTAATGCAGTAAGATATCGAATCTGTCATTATTTAACTATGCTTTTAAACTCTATAGGCGATCATGCTGTCATTGATGACAACTTATGTGATCAAATTACAAGCAGAATGATAGATCGATCGATGGATAAGTCTCTTGAAGTTAGAGCGCAGGCTGTTTTTGCTTCGCATAGATTACAAGAGCCATCTAATGATCAGTGTCCCATAATAGAAATGTATTTATTTCATCTGTATAAAGATACAAAGCCTGAAGTTCGCAGAGCAGTTCTTGCAACAATGAGCGAGAATCAGAAAACCTTACTAGCTGCTTTGAAAAAGACACGTGATATTGATGACTCTATGCGTAAGATGGCATATGAATTTATCAGCAAGATTACAGTAAGTTCATTGACAATTAAATAAAGAGAACAATTGTTAAAAGATGGTCTTAAAGATCTGACCGATCTGACAGTGTCAAAGCCTGTGTAAGCAAAGTCTTATTACCAACATGGCTACAATACTATAAAGGAGAATACATAAACCTTATACATGCTCTGAATGCTGGAATAGGGACAGAAGTTGCAGCATTAGCTTTACAAGCATTATTCAAGTAAGTCTAAAAAAGAAAGTAAGCAAAAGTAGCATAGAGAAATTCTATGTATTAAAACTGCTGCTGTCAACATAAATTAGACAATTTCTATATCTAAATACTCATATTTCCTATTCGGTGCTCAAATGTTTGAGTCTTATTCAAATATTTGGTACAATTGTAAATAATAACCTGTTAATATTTGTCTACCATGTGTTTTTAATTATGTAATAGTTAATTTTGTATCTGCTGATTTTGTCTGTTTCCTTTTTCCGAAATATTATACTAATTATATTTTGGTAATTATTTAGAATAGGGGAGCCACCTCCGATTTCAATAATTCACACATATATTGTTATTACTATCCTCTCTTAATAACATGCAACAAATTTTAGTTGTCAGTCGATGCTAATTAAAAAGTTATTAACAAAAATTCTTCTGTGGATATAATTGTACAACACTGTATATAGAGATTTATTTGCGTATTATATTCTTCGCTTGGTTTGTTTATTTACCTTTCTTATACTGGTTATACATCGAAAGCAAAAGATGTCTACATAGTGAAGGAAATTCGAATGCTGAGCTAGTACAAGGTAGACTGCGAAACTAGAACAGACGGCGAGGGTGCCGAAGGCCCCCTTTGTACCCCCTTGTACCCAGTCTATCTTGTACTAGCTCAGCATTTGAATTTCCTTCAGTATATAGACGTCTTTTGCTTTCGATGTATAACCAGTATAAGAAAGGTAAATAAACAAACCAAGGGAAGAATATAATACGTAAATAAATCTCTATATACAGTGTTGTACAATTATTTCCACAGAGGACACGTAGTACTTCAATATGTGGGCATTATTCATTACACTTTTTTGTTAATAACTTTTTAATTAGCATCGACCGACAACTAAAATTTATTGCATGTTATTAAGGGAGGATAGTAATAATAATATATGTGTGAATTATTGAAATCGAAGGTGGCTCCCCTATTCTAAATAATTAGCTATATTTTAATAATTTTCGAAATGATCATCTACCTTTACTCGAAAAGAAATACTCGAAAAGCTTGGTACTTAACAGTTAGTATATTCAGTTTGTACCTGAGTATTCAGATATCTAAATATTAACTGTACACTAATTATAAATCTATTCACATCAAGTATTTCTTTTTCAGAGACGCTGATGTAAAAACTTTGTTGGAGCAAGTAGCAATAAATAAAAATATAAAATTAATTCCATTGTCTAGTTTGTCGTGCGAAAATGCCTTATATTGGAAGTGTGTTAGAAATCATCTCCATAATTTGTCTTGCACAGAAGAGTTGGACTTAATCATTCCAGAATTATCCGCTTTTTGTAATTACATATGTGAATTTATCGCTTTCATATCGTCTAAGCAGTATGAAGAATGGGAAAAGCAGTGTCACAAATTTATTCTTTTACAACTATTTGAGATAACTGAAAAATATGATCTCTCAGACGAGGTTGGGAGAAAAAATCTGCAGAAAATAATAATAGATGGTCTGATGAGCGATTATTGCTGCAATAAGATAATTGAAAGTATAGTGCACCAGCTGGATAAGGTGGTGCCGAATATTAGTAATATGCTGGACTTAGTAGCCAATGTCATTAGCGAGATCAGATTACCTTTACCCAAAGAAAGTACATCCACTCAACAAGCACCTGAAGAGAAGCAAGAGAACAATATTATGTAGGTGCATGTAAAGATTTGTTAATGAATTCAACATTGTTATATAGATAAATTCGTCTAATTTCGTTAACAATTAATTTAGGCCAATAAGAATGCGCAAGAATGTTGATAATAAACAATTATTTTGGCCGGATACTAATGTCAATGATGGACATTGTACGTGCGGAGATTTCTCTTTAGTCTTAAGGCTTCTGAATGTTCCTCAGTGCTACCGAAACTTCGACAGTATTCAACACAAGCACGTAGTGCTGTTAGAAGTATATGTATAGTAGTGCAATATTAATTGTAAGCAGTACTACTGCTCATAAACATTATATTACTCTAGTTCTTTTGCCTTCTTATTGGCCTAAATTAATTCCTAGTGATTGAACATCTGAGGATCTTGATTTAAATATTGGTGTTCAATTTCCTTTTGCCTCTAGAAAACGCAAGTGAAGGTTGACTTGATGGAACTCGAGGAGGAACTATATGAAACAGTCAAAAAGGAGGATTTCCTGAAAGCAGACAGCATAAAAGAAAAGATAAATCAACTGTCGAAAACTCCGGAGAATATAATAACCGATGATATTCGTGACGAAAAAAATGACGCAGCCACGATGACGAAGTGCTTCAACATTCTGTGTGCCGCGATGCAAGTTCAGTCCATTTGCACATCGACTCCTGCACTCAGGCATGATGTCTATTGTATTGAACAGTCTCGACGTAAGTGTACACCACATCATTTTACAATGCGTTTATACAATTATTTAACATGGTAAATTATTTTTTCAGCATCCTGACGATAATGTGCATGTGTTAGCATTAAAGGCGTTAGGTGTGTACTGCATATTGGATAAGGAAATGGCTAAGAAGTATCTTATGGTATTCTTCTATCAGTTTTCTGCGGAACAAGAAAATCCAGACATATGGGTAATCGCGTTAAAGGGGATATTCGATCTCTTGCTCTCATACGGCTTGGAGTATTTCGAGATCTTGCAGATTCCTGAGGAGAGATCTGGATGGAGCCGTATGCTGTACACACACGATGTCGATAGCGTTGTCTCCTTAAACGAGCGACCTGCAATAGAAGATAACAGTCGCAATTTTGTTCACATATTAACAGGATTGTTGGACAACGCGGTATAAAAATACTATCATGATTGAGTTGTGCTATAATCAAGTGAGAAATTTTCCATGCAGTAATTTTATCCGTTGAAAATTTGCAGAATCAGGAACTACGCACTATTGCAGCAGAGGGTCTCTGCAAGCTATTACTGAATCGGCGGATTAGCAGTAGTAGCAGCTTGGTGTCGCGCTTAATAATTTTATGTTACAATCCTGCTAACGATGACGACGTTTACCTGCGACAGTGCCTATGCGCTTTCTTTGATCATTTCGCGATCCGTGTGCCCGATGCTCCGGAAAGGTTCGAAAGTGCATACTTTCCGGCTGTACGAGTCATTTGCAATGCGCCGGATATCAGTCCTTTACAGAGTATCGATACGTATCACGTGTCCATATTTATACTAACTTCAATCACGCGAAGCAGCCAAAAGTTCGGCAAACAAGTGTTTGACATGTATAATAATCTGGCATTCGCAATACTAGCCGAAATCTTGAATCCTGACAGTACGATAGATCAGGAGACTCATCTCATACTGACAGCAGCAGTTTTTAATACATAGAATTTCTCTATGCTACTTTTGCTTACTTTCTTTTTTAGACTTACTTGAATAATGCTTGTAAAGCTAATGCTGCAACTTCTGTCCCTATTCCAGCATTCAGAGCATGTATAAGGTTTATGTATTCTCCTTTATAGTATTGTAGCCATGTTGGTAATAAGACTTTGCTTACACAGGCTTTGACACTGTCAGATCAGTCAGATCTTTAAGACCATCTTTTAACAATTGTTCTCTTTATTTAATTGTCAATGAACTTACTGTAATCTTGCTGATAAATTCATATGCCATCTTACGCATAGAGTCATCAATATCACGTGTCTTTTTCAAAGCAGCTAGTAAGGTTTTCTGATTCTCGCTCATTGTTGCAAGAACTGCTCTGCGAACTTCAGGCTTTGTATCTTTATACAGATGAAATAAATACATTTCTATTATGGGACACTGATCATTAGATGGCTCTTGTAATCTATGCGAAGCAAAAACAGCCTGCGCTCTAACTTCAAGAGACTTATCCATCGATCGATCTATCATTCTGCTTGTAATTTGATCACATAAGTTGTCATCAATGACAGCATGATCGCCTATAGAGTTTAAAAGCATAGTTAAATAATGACAGATTCGATATCTTACTGCATTAGCATAAGACAACAAGAATGTGAACAATTTATTGAGAAATGATTTCATAGGTTCTATAGATTCACTTTCTGCACAGGAATACAGGCTCATGGAGAAGCCTGCACAGAATTCCAATGTGTTTATAATATGTGGATGCTCTTGAGCCATTGTAACACACATCACTCAATAAGTTCGTAGGATGACATATAAGTGGCGCTACTATTGACAAATCCATATGATTTTTAGGAAGTACTAACCTTCAAATGATACGTGTCAAAATTTCATGACAATCGGACGTTTAGTTCACAAGTTAAAGTGGTTCGAAGTGGGTACCGCGTTTGCTCACAGTCAATCAAAAACAGCAACGCTTTGATGATTCAGCGGGCTGTTTGGAGCTGTTTCGGCGCAATAAAAAAGATTTTTTGATGCAGTATGTGACAATGGATGAAACATGGATCCATCACTACACTCCAGAGTCAAATCGGCAGTCAGCTGAGTGGACAGCAACCGGCGAAACCTGCCCAAAGCCGAAACTGAAGCCTACTTTGAGGCCAAAGATAAATCGTTCTACAAAAAAGCCATCGAAATGTTAGAGAAGCGTTGGAATCAATGTATCACACTTGAAGGAGACTATGTAGATGAATAAAGTCAAATTGTGCCTAAAAGTTGTTGTTTTATTAGTTATCCTACGAACTTATTGAGTGACGTGTTAAGAGGCACTTTCAAGATGCATGATAGGAAACATTTTGAGAATGTATCTAAATTAGTCTAAAAAAAATAAGACAAACAAATTTAATTGAAGATTCATTTACAATTTATTTAAGGTTTATTTAATAACATTCCATACATACATAATCCTATACTGTATACTTTATGAATCAATAAAAAATTTACAGTTTTTAATTATAAACCTGTATTTCCTATCAAAGTTACTTCTTGCGTGAATTTTGATAGAACACCCTTTAGTTGTATGCCGCTGATATCTATAATTTTGTATTTTCTATACAATTATTTTATAAAATTATACAGACATAAAAATTCCATCATTTCATTTTACCTAATAATTTTGAAATTATACATTACACAATTACACAACTCAATATGCATATATATAATCTTGTACAATTAATAGGGCAAAATACTGATTAATTAGCATGTATAAGCAGACATGAAAATACAGTTTTGTAAAATACTTATTAAAAATATTTCTTTTTCTGTGTTCACATTTGCACAAAACAGTATATATATGAAAGTGCGCGCGGCTGCGAGGGTTTGAATACCACCGCGTATCCCCACTCCGTGTCACGTGACCCATTTTAATTCAGCAACGTCCGGGTATAGCTCCAGGTGGCGCCTGGCACTCGTTTTTTAAGAGGGGAGTCTGTACGTGTACCTGGGAATTAGTTATTGTTGGACATCCAAGGTAGGGTTATCGTTGTTATCGTCGTTCGTGCGGCGGAAGGTTGGTGAGTGTTTCAAATCATTATCATTTAATATCCATCGTGTGACCAGGGTCGAGCTTTGTTTTCTTTTTTTTTACACTTCGCTCGTATCAGGGCGCGACAATTAAGCCAGCGGCACACGGTGCTTGTTTTCGTACTGGATTGCTTGCTGGATAAAAATACTATGCTCTGATTGGTGCATTTCCATCCATCTTCGGAAATGCACCAATCAGAACGCAGTATTTTCATCCAACAAGCAATCCAGCACGAAAACAAGCACCGTGTGCCGCTGGCTTTAGCCGACTTCTCTTAATTCCGAACACCGGTGTCGTCGTGCATTTTCCCTTCGAATGTTGGTAATTTCTTCGTGCGCTTTCCCTTGAGGATCTGTGACTGCCCACCAGCGGTTCGAGTGTATGCATTTCCCACTTCGGATCGCCGTTTGGTAATTTTTAATCAGTTATCACATGAAGTAATTACACGGAAGCTTGACTCGAAGTGTCCTGGCATTCAGTGCGCACCGGATCTTGCTCGACCCCCCCAACAAAGAGACATCTAGATTATGATTGCATTCCGAAATCCACTGCCAGTACTGAAGATACATGGTTTGTGTTATGTATACTATATATTTTCAGTACTGGCAGTGAATTTCGGAACGCAGCCTACATTACCATTGGCTCATCTTTTAATTTCTTCCTTTTACTTCGAGCCGCCCGTCTATATAACTATATATACACGTCTATATAACTCCTTTCCTGGTGTTTATATTTATGATTTCCACGTGTAGAACAGTATAATATGGCACCTACTATCCAAACCAATACCAATCAGGCGGACAGGGATAAACGTCCGGCTAGACCGGCAGAGAAGAGGTAAGTAATTCGCTTCAAGTAATTTTAGTAAGGGTGAAACATTGATACATCAGGTCTCTTTTTGTTCTAGGTCCGAATTAATATGTCGTGTTAAATATTGCAATACACTTCCAGACATTCCATTTGATCCGAAATTTATAACATATCCTTTTGAACCATCCAGGTAAGCAGCAAAATGTGAAACTCTGGCATGTAGGTGTAGGTGTCTATTTATTTGGTAATAACCTGTCATTTCATAATGTAGGTTTATTCGTTATAACCCAACATCATTAGAACGAAATTACAAGTACGAAGTACTAACGGAACATGATTTGGGTGTTGAGATCGATCTAATAAATAAGGATACATATGCAGGAGATCCAAATGCGCAGTTGGATCCAGCAGATGAAAAGCTGCTTGAAGAAGATGTTCTGACACCACAGGATTCCAAGAGATCAAGACATCATGCTAGAAGCGTATCGTGGCTTAGACGTACGGAATATATTTCCACAGAAACCACAAGATTTCAGCCACAGAGTGTGGACAAAGTTGAAGCTAAAGTTGGATATAGTATCAAGAAGAACTTTAAGGTATAATTTACTTATTACTTAAGATTACTTACGTTTTGTATATAATATAACATTGGCACATTTACTTTGACAAATTTACTTATTTTCAATCAGGAGGAAACATTATACATGGATCGCGAGAGTCAAATAAAGGCTATAGAGAAGACATTTGAAGACAACAAGAAACCAATTGAAAGACATTATAGCAAACCAAATGTCATACCTGTAGAGATATTGCCGATATATCCAGACTTTAAGGTGCTTCTACAATAATGTCTTAATGTAAACATTACAGTATCTGTTACGGTGTTGTCTTTTACTTATCTGTGCTTTCAAATTGCAGTTGTGGAAATATCCGTGTGCTCAGGTCATATTTGATTCTGATCCTGCACCTTCTGGCCGCTCTGTACCTGCACAGATTGAAGAAATGTCTCAAGCTATGATACGGTAAGCACAGAATATATATATATATGCAAAAGTAATTTTAGTCTTAACTCTTAGACTGCGAGTTCCAAGGGAGATTGTTACTTGATTGCGCAAAAACAATGATTTTTATAGAGGTGTGATGGACGAAAGTGGCGAACAGTTTGTGGCATACTTTTTGCCACTGGAGGAAACATTGGATAAGCGCCGACGGGACTTTACCGCTGGTATTGATTACGCTGATGAGGAGGAATATGAGTACAAAATGGCCAGGGAATACAATTGGAATGTCAAGAGCAAAGCCTCCAAGGGATACGAAGAGAATTATTTCCTCGTGATGAGACAAGATGGGGTATGTACATTGCGGAATAATAGCGTTATGTTGCATGTACGTTATCAGTCTGATGATCAATTGTCTCATGCAACGTAGGTCTACTACAACGAGCTGGAGACGCGCGTGCGGCTGAGTAAACGTCGTCAGAAAGCCGGGCAGCAGCCAAATAACACGCGCCTGATAGTGCGTCATCGACCGTTAAATGCTCTCGAATTCAGAATGCAAAGGTATCGAGAGAAGCAATTGGAGCCACCAGGAGAGGATGACGAAGATGAAGAGGAAGAAGAGGAGGAGCAGGAAACTCTGGAGAAAGCCGACAGGAAAGGTTTGCAACTCGATTTGTTCGTTGTGTATTGTTTTTTTGTCGTATATCTTGAAAAGAATCCACCACGGCTAGAATACCCCAACGCAAATTTCTCTCGCAGGTTCCGAAGGAGAGAACGAAGCGGGCTCCCGTGCGTCGTCAAGAGCGTCCTCACGGGTTTCCAGCAGGAAATCGCGATCTCGCTCGAAATCCGCATCGAGATCCAAATCTCGCTCACGTTCACCGTCCAAGTCTCGATCGCGTTCACGATCGCGCTCCGCGTCGCATTCGCCGTCAAGATCGCGATCGAGGTCTGGTAGTCCTCAGTCGAGGAACTCGTCCAGATCAAGATCACGATCACGATCACGATCACGATCACGATCACGATCCAAGTCTGCATCGAGGTCGCGCTCCGCATCCCCCGCCAAATCACCGTCATCAAGTTCCAAGTCTAGATCGAGATCTGTTAGCGGTAGTGGCAGCGGTACCGGCAGCGCAAGCGGCGAAAGCGGTTCCGAAAGCGAGTGAATCGATTCTGGATGATGTATATACGTACAATTTTTACAGAGTGACGAGTGAGAGACGAATTTTCAGCATTAGATAAGAGAAATAAAAAGAACAATAAATAAATAAATAAATATATATAATATTATAAATAAATAAATATATATTTGGAATAATAAATTTAATCGATATAAATATTTGGAAGCATCTCTGCACACGCGAGAGTGTGTATAGCTGTGATTGAGAATAGTCGAATAGCCCGAGTGTTTTTCGCAACGATCCGTTATCATCAACGATCATGTTATCGTTCTTCGTATCGTTCGCAGGAAATAGAGTCGCGAAGGCGAAGAGTTCAAGTGGGAGACATGATTGGCCCAGGTAATTTTGTTTCTACACGCTATATGACACAGGCTCGCGTAAAGGCGGGATTACGATGAACTTTACGTAACGGGACACGACGTTACGTGAATTTGACGTTTGATGCTTGAGGTTATATTAGTGTGAGAGATATTTTTCGAAGAAGAATTCAGTTTGGCGACGGGCGTAACCTGGTGAAAGAACTCCAGCAGGTTTTTGAAAGTGTCACATGAGCAGTCCGACTTGACGGAACGCGACATCTAAACTTGACATTGGCAAGTTTTACGTCGCGTTAGTTCGGAGATTTCACGTCACGTTACGTAAAGTCGATCGTAAGTAACTAGCCGCATATAAAACAATGTGTTGTAGGTTTTGTGTCACTTCCCGTCGCGTCCCGTTACGTCAAGTCCATCGTAATCCCGCCATAAGGGCCATTGCACAGAAAAAAAGCACAACTGCATATGCACGTACGCATATGAGCATTATCTGCGAATCAACATGTCTTTTGCGCTATGCATTTGCAGTTATGTATATGTATGCAGTTTTTATGCGTGATGGTCCTGGGAAGGGAACAACTTGGCGTACCTAGCGAGAGTACACTGGAATGCAAAACGGTTTCGACAGTTTTTTTTTGTTTTTTTTTCTTCTAGTGACACTAGACGATCCGTGTAGTTGTGTGAATTTGGGAATCACTGCTTGATCTTGACACAAAGCAGTCTCAAGATCGTTAAGGTTAGAGAGAGAGAGAGAGAGAGACTTGCGATTAACATCACCTGTGAAATAAGGATATTTTAGAACCTAATCACGTCACAGGTGATGTTAATCGCAAGTCTCTCTAACCCCAATGATCTTGAGAGACTGCTTTGTGTCAATCAAGCAGTGATTCCCAAACTCACAACTGCACGGATCGCTCATGTCACTAGAAAAAAAAGAAACTGTCGATATCTCGTTTTGCATTCCAGTGTACAAATGGAGTCAGCGCTAAGAGAGGGCGCTACCTTTCACGCACTCGTTTGTGCGATGGAGTGGACGATATGGACGGACCTCTCGCGTGCGTGCACGCGCGCGCGCGCGCGCGCGCGTACGCCGTCAGTTTCATTCGTTCCCCGATCCATGCCAGCACCTGCGATGACTCGTTCGTTCACTCGCGTCATCTCTGACCTATCTTACTGAGTCGTCACGGATCGTGTGGTCGTGAACAGGAGCGCACATGGCATTGCGCGATTTCCGTTTGGACAGTACCGAGGTCGAGGAGTGAACGAGTGCGCGCGTGAGACAGCGGCTTCGCGACATAGAGAGGAGGTGCGTCCAGAGATCCGCGCGCTGCGGATGCAGTGAGTAGAGAGAGTAGAGCGCAGAAGTAGGAAGAACGGCTTTTTTCGTGTGCTGCGCACTCTGCGTCGCACGCGGAAATTGTCAGGGTCGCGGGGATGTTCACACGCGACGTATCTCGTGTCGTGTCGCGGTTGCACGCACACGCACGCACACACACACACACACACACACACACACACACACACACACACACACTCTCTCTCTCTCTCTCTCTCTCTCTCCCCTCCTTTCCCCCTCCCTCTTCCTCTCTTCTCAAAACGCGTCAAAACGCGTGACGCGTTACTTAGCAGGAGCTTATATTATTACGTACCAAGTGCAAGAGAAAGTACAGCCGCGACAAGCAAATTATCCTCGTGTTTGTGGTGTGCACTCGGCGCCATGCTTTCGCATCTCAGGTCGACCACCACCAGGTTATCATCGTGATCGTCGTCGAAACTGTGCGGTGACATGTTTGACAGTTGGGAAATTAAATTTGAACGGGTATTCGAGTCGAGAGAGGAAAATCCGCGAGTGTTTCGTCGCACGACGAGATTCGCGCAGTGCACAAGACTGTGAAGGTGTACACCTATGCAACGCGATCTCACGTTGATAAATATAGCATAGATAAGCAGCATGCGTTCGAAGGAGTTCGGACAGGAGTGTATACCGACACGGAATTGATAAAGACGGAACGAAGCACTGATCCGCGCGCGTTGTCACTTGACATTTTCGTCCGCAACATGATTTCGTTGTCGCGACATGATTGAGAGAGGCGATACGCGCGAGTTACCGCCGCGTACGTATGCTGAAAACATTGACCCTGGAGACGCGTACTAATTGCTAATTACGCGCATTGTCTCTCGCGCTCGGCCTCGCTTTCGCGAGTGCCGGCAAAGTGCCGCGTTTGCCCGTAATCGACAACGGCGCAGTGCTGCGATTCTGTAACTCGTTATTGGAGTTAACGACACTTTCGTTATCGTTGCGCAGCTTTTGTATACCGTAGAAAAGCTGCGCAACGATAACGAAAGTGTCGTTAACTCCAATAACGAGTTACAGAATCGTGGTACAGGCCGCGATCAGACAGGATCACAGACCAGAGGAAAGATCAAATCGCGCGGCGACGTTTCGTTCCTCCCAACGTCGTCCCGGGCCCCGGGTCCCGGGTCACGAAATCGGGGCAAAGAGAGAACACAATTTTCCCGTGCGCGCGTGCCCGCGCACGTGCGTGCGTGCGTGCGTGCGTGCGCGAGCGAGTCGCACGCACCGGCGCAGCCGGTATTCATATCTCGCTGAAATGAATAAATTCGTAACAACGTTGCGCGCGACCATCGACGGGCGCGAGCGAAGCTCCTCGGTTTTTCGTTTATTACACACGCGTGATCGAGCATCTCGTGCAGTGCACGCGGGCGACGATGATGTCAGGGATTTATATAAGAGTTTTATGTGTTATCAATTCGCGGAAACAGATACGATACGATCGTGTGAATGCGTGACGAATAATGTGACATGTTTATATATAATAATACGACGACGAGCTACACTTCTGTAGCTTCTGTATCTTCAAAGAGGAACCATCCATTCCATCGAAGAGATATTATGTATATTAAAAATTAAATGTCCATTTCCTCTCTCGTAGATATACCGATGCCAATCGGTACAATCTTCTTCTGTAATTTCGTTCGTGATTATGTACACACAATCACAAAATGCACGCGCGTGTATTGTGTAAGCATTTCAAGTATCGCGTTTAATTACGTTCTCTCTCTCTCTCTCTCTCTCTCTCTCTCTCTCTCTCTCTCTCTCTCTCTCTCTCTCTCTCTCTCTCTCTCTCTCTCTCCACACACACACACACACACACACACACACACACACACCACACACACACACACACACACACACACACACACACACACACACATGTCTACATCGTGCAAAGGATCGAGGAGATAATCCGGAGATACGCAGTACAGGTACAGATATATCGCCTGTATTCAAGATCGGTGAAATTAAATCGTCGCGCGTTCTGCGCGAGTGACCCTGAAAGTTATGTTTAACGGAACGTGCCGTTGACGACCGTTTCAGCGTTAAATTCGGAGTTGCGTCCCCGCATGGAAACTTGAATCGCGAAAGCGCTACAATGAAAGCCCGATTTGCGGTTTTCGAGCCGAGGTTGTGTGCCGACACGCGAAGGTGTCAGGGCCGGTTTCTTAACAGAACTCAATAAAGCCTCAAGGCCTTATTGAGTAAATACACCATGCGCGACGGCGCGCGTTGTTCAAAGCGAAACGTAATGACCGGTTTGTCGTTGTGCGTGCGTGCGTGCGTGCATAGTGTGCCGTACGTTGAGACGCATACCGATCTCAATATTTGTCACGTATCTACTTCTGATATCTCGATTAGCAAATTGCACGCTTGAGCAACCGCGCAAAAAGAGTCACGCAAATCGTCGCGGGTGATTAATTCTTTCGGCAAGCCGAAAATATACCGCTACGTTATAACATGGTTATAACATGGATCTTTAAGAAATGTCAAACTTTCACTACACCCCAGCGCGCATGGTCGATACAAATTGGCGCTCTAAGAATTAATCAAGCGCAAAACTTAATACAACATGGACGATGTAACGATGTAAAAACAAAAAAAACGGGATCAATAGAGAACTATGTATTTACACTGGTACATTACTTTTTTTGTCACGTCGATATTTATTTGTCAGACATGAGATATCTTGTGCTAAAGAAACGACATAAATATAGCGATTGTTTTGAATATGTATCATTTAAATATCTTTAAAATCATGTAGATTTAAATTTTTCATGCTGATTCAGATGGCGCCGAAAAATAAAGAAAATAGCGGCAACAAGCGGAAGAAGCAGATGGAAGACGAGGGCGACGAGGACTATCGAAAGCGAAGGGATCGAAACAATCAGGTAATCCATGGATTTCGTAACGTGTATTGTTTATTATGTTTGCGTATTGATTATCTGTGACGCGAGCGTTGTCAGTCGTTATTTTCATATTCCACAGGCTGTAAAGCGATCTAGGGTAAAGAGCAAATTACGCACGCTACATACCTTAGAGCGAGTTAATCAGCTGAAGGTAGAGAATGAATTACTGGAGGAGAAGATCAAAATGCTTACCAAGGAGTTAGGCTTCCTCAAAGACCTGTTTGTGGCACATTCAGGTAAAGCAGTTTAAGCAACTTTGGTGATACTAGATTTTCTTATCGTTTCACGATAAGCTCGGATAAATGTATTATTTATTTGTATTATAATATTGCTTGTGTACATACACGCAACACACGCGCACGCGCCTATTCCTTTGTATATTTTCTTATGAAATATTGATGTCTCCTTTAATTGAATAGCGTTTCTCTTACCTTTTTGTCTTAGGTTCCAATCAACATTCTATGAATATTCAAGATATAGATCTAAATGCTCTGCTAGAGGACAAACCTGACGAGGAACCAACGAAAACGATCACAAAGTCATAGACGAGCACAAGCGCCACGTTAAGCAATCAACGTGGGTATTGATAGACCTGAGGAGATACTCTTGTTCGTTTAACCGAAACAACAAATGGACATCTTGGAAAGATGTCCGTTTTTAATTCTTTATACAAAAGTCGAGACACGAGATGCAGTTTCCTGAACACAAGAGAGCTTTCAGAGTTGCAACATTGTTGGTGAGAATTAGATTATCAGATAAATTTATATTTTCAATGACGAGCGACGGGAGCAAGAAGATGAAACGCAGCAAAGCCATCCAGATTAGCAATAATATAGAATCAAGTGCAAAGGATAAGTAGTATCGGATAAATTTTAATTGTTGACATTTATTAAAGTACTTGTTTTAAGGAAGATATTTATATATATGTAAACGTTAAATATGAAATTATGATTTGGATGCAATCAAGATAAAATTTTTATATTGTTTTTCGACATGTAATCTGTACATAAATTATTGTTGCATGCATGTGCATGCACACACACACACACACACACACACACACACACACACACACACATTCTTTGCATTTTGAAAAAAAGAGTTCTTCAATGTGGATTGTCGGCTATATTTTGATTGATTGAATCAAGAGTAAAGGGCACACATACATATTTCTACGATCTAATATTGATTTATCAATAGAACATAATACACTGTTGCGTGTAAATATACTCGTCTGTAGTAAGATAGAGGCATAAATATAATTTTAAGATATATGCAACAACAAGCTTTATATCGATATAATTGTATTGTAAATGACACAAAAGATATGTAAACACTATTTTGAAGTTTGAAATAAAGAACGCATACGAATGACATAGGTTAGAAATAGTATATTACACGTACACTTGTTATAGTAAACGGTTTACTAAATATATAGTTACTAAGTAATTAATTTGATGTATCGCTGAAAAGATTTGACGAGGTAAGCATGTCCAGACGCGCTGTCTTCAAATCGCCGGTAAAGTGTAGACAACT